ATAAATCTTGCATGACTGAGTACCTAAATTCTGAGAAAAGAGCTATTCAATCAAGAAAATATTCATTTCGTATTCATTCTGCTTCACAGAAAGCATTGGACGAGGAACGTATGAAATATTACTAAAAAAAAGCGCAAAGAAATCCTTAAGAGTCGCCTAATTTGCATAGTAATGAGGGACAAACTTTGTGTCTCCATTTATATGCTTTCTCTGTTCTTTTCTTCCGGAACCATCGCGCATGAACACTTTCAGAGCGCGAGGGTAATAAAAGAATTGTTCATATTTCCTCGAGCACGGACGACAATGTGTCCTACAAAATGTGCGTGAGACAATTATATACGAAATTTCATATTCACATACAAACAGTATTCGAGTTCTTTGAACTCATTAGGCCATAATTAAAGGTAGAGGAGTAATTTGCATTGGAAGTTTCATCTCCCACTTGGATGAGGCGAAGTGAGGTGAGGCGCACAGCGAGCACTCAATGCTAGAAATCACGTGAAGTAGTAACTTGGAGTTGCGTGAACATTTCTTTTGAAATTGCCGTCAACATTTTATTTAATAGCACCTCGCAACGGCAATTCCCTCCTAATTTGATTTAATATCCGGCTGTGAGGGGTTGACTTCTGCTTTACAAATTGACATCATACCAATTGTGGGAAACAATGAATCGTGATTGTGTGCTGAATAAATTATCGCTAATGAACTCTTCACTGTAGCCATCGGCTCTGTTCTAGTTCTTCCTTGCGAGCCAAGCAGAGCATCTCATTACCCTCGTCCCGGTCGGCTGTTGCCCTGCTATTTCCTCCGCCGAGCAGTGTTAACAGCATGCAAACATCGTCATCGGCAGTTGTCTCCACTAATTTTTTACTTAAACACACTCACTCGATGGACTTGGGCGATTCTCTGAATCAATTTCTCCTCGTCTCCGCGCTCCTCGCCGAGGCAGACTCAATGGCCGGCCGGCTGGTCACTTCTTGGGTGCGATTCATTGGAAGAGATCCCACTATCTCCTTACCTGCGTGACTCTGTATTTGTTGTCGCTCACAAGCCGACGGAGAGCATGGATACAATATTGAATTTCAAACAAACAGACTCGTGTGAAGTAATTTCATTAGGTTGAGGTGTCGCTGTGTGAGTCCCTTGTGCATATATGAAAGAAATTCACTGGAATACAACTCCTGCCACTTGCCCGGATACGTGGGCACAGGGCCAAGCAAGGGCAGGGCAGCAGATACCCACATGTAGGCCGCGACAGAGCCGGCAAACACGAATATTCGGCACTCTGGTTGCCTGTGAAACGAGACGTTCCAACGAGATTCTGGGAATTAAACATATATGTGGAAACGCCATCGAGAATTTTGGTCGAATATGGGAATTCTATATACATTTGTGCATATAAACGCATATATATATATATATATATATATATATATATATTGTGCGAAACAAGGGGATAATAGCTAATGCAAATGCTAACGCTTGCGCCACCTGACTTTCTGTAGACCACAAAATTCGCCTTTGGAGTGCATAATAAAGACAGATTCCACGAACCGAATACAGTTTAGAGCTCCCATTCCATTCACATCACTCCCAGTGTCTGCTCCAGAAGACAACTAACATTAGTTGCAAAACCATAGTCACTATGTGACTATTTCAGACTATTTGAAATGGCGCAAATTTCGGAAATCATTAACTTTCTTGTGGCTTTGTGTAAACTATATCGATCGAGGAACGGATAGTCTGGGAAATCTGTGTTCAGACTCAAGAGTAATAATAACACAGCGTTTATCTAATCTCTTGAGATAAGTTCGTTACTCAGAGTGAAACAATGTTTTCCCGATAATTGGTAAAATTGAGCAAACGGAAACATATATTCTTCGAATGATCTATATAACTTTTTCCGCGAAATTTCTATTTGGACACCCTCTCTTAGCATTCGGCATCTGAGGTCATGCGGAAACATTGGGAGGAATTACTGTTAATTTTTTGCAGTAATATTTATTCTTGCTGTGTGCGTATTACAAAGCGCGTCAAATTCTGAGAAGTGATTTTTGAACTTATCAGAAATTTTTTATTGACTTTGGCAAATTTAGCTGGAACCCGTGGCGTTTTTTGCACACACATGCGCCTCGTCAGGAATGATAATACTGTGACCGGAGGCATATTTTGGAGGCGATATTTCTGTGCGAAATTTTCTTTTCTGGGAATCCTGCAATTATAAACAAAAAAAATACCTCGCGATAAGCGTTCGCTCTAAGATTGTGCGTCTGGCCGAGTGAGTGTGGGAAAAGGGGGATAGAGGGTATAATAAAGTGGTACGAGGAAAACCAATAATTTATTGGAATAGCAAATAAATCACTCGGTGATTCCTGGAATTTCGAGGAGGAATGAGCCAGAAGAAGAAAAAAAATTAACATCATAATTGTCCTCGGATGACGATGAACGAGTGTGCAGCGATTTGCACGTAGTGGAGTCATTTTTTGAGCGCGGAGCAGCTGGAAATTGCCGGCCAATTCACTCTTCATTCTCCATCCATCTACTTTTATGGCGAAAAGAACTCGCCGTTGCAGATTGAGCCGTGCATTGGTGGTGTGAGTGTGCAGATAATAATTTCTGAGAAACGCTTACCACACACACAATTGTCATTTTTTATTCCACACACAAAGGTTCTCATGTACCAAACGGCCAATGCAATACATAAGGCAGCGAAGGAGTGCGGATTTTGCAAAGGCAAAGCCACTCTCTTTGTGACGCTCGTCAAGAGGTACATATTCTCAATTCTCACACAATTTTCGATTATTTATTTATCCATAAGCGGGAACAGGAGGGATCGACCGCTGAGCCGTTTCAATCACTTTTCACTCTTGGTGTCCCTTTTGGTTGCTCTCTGCCAGCCTCAAGAGTTTCAGCATTTGCCCATTATTTCACCATGATTCTCTCTCTCTCCTCTCGTCTTTCTTTGTGTCATTGAATTGGCACACATATCCAACGTTTTGGCATTGTCTCTGCTTCCAAACACCCCTGAATATTCATAGAATCGTTTGCCGAAATTATCCTATTCATGGGCCGTAGCATGAGAAGAGAATAAAGGGAGCTCTGTTTAAGTGGCCAGACTCGTTATTCTCCGAAACACAGAGAGATTGAAGAATAATAAAAATCATGATAAATATATCATTAAACATTTTATTCCTGAAATGTTTCTAGTCAAACTGTAGTTTCATTATTGTAGGTTAATGAGGTTAATTCAGTGTTGGCAAAATCAATTATTTCTCATGTGCACTCTAGCACAATGATGCGGTTTTACCGCGAATGTGAGTACATAAACTGAATTCATGAAATTTCGTTAAATGTGATTTCAAAAAGAGAGTCATAAATATAGAAGCTTGATGACTAAACACTTCGAGACTTGTTCAATTTCCTGACCCGAAATAAATATTTCGAGTATGTTATGTACATATATTGATTATAAATATTGACTAAGCTCTCTTTCAATAAGAGGATGTCTTGTGCTATCCACAAAGCAGTGCATTTCCCAGCACAAATTCCGGGAAACCGCAAAAGTTAGTTTAGAAGATTAATTGGATTATCGCAAAATTCAAGGAGATGAGAAGTAAAGAAATTTCTGCACAATATCTACTCTAGCCCAATTTCTGGCAATATGGAAATTCTCAGAGTTATATATAGGTTAATTGAGTTAATTTGTCAAAAGTGCAAACGAGAAATGAAATGTATACAATGGAAAGTGTTGATGTCGTCTCAATAAACTTCTGCATAGTAATTCAATGTTCACAAGCTGTTCCGCAAACTCATTCATAGTCCATTTAGATTTATTGTGAAATAATTTTTACATCGTGTAGAATTGCAGGGGAGAATATTCATTCGATACATTCCAATGAATGGTTTGCCGGTGTGAAATGCAGACGGTGTGACTTAATTGATTAATGAGTGGGGAGCCAGTAAAAAAATCTGTTAATTGTTTTCCATTATTGGGAAATGTGATGTTATCTGCTGAATATCAATGAGGGAATTAAGTGATCATGCTGAGATCTATTCCTATAATGAGGGGCCTGGGAAAATCTGTCGGTTTTTTTCACTTCACTTTCCGTGGAAAACAACTTGCGAAGTGATTATGGTGGAATTCTATGGTAAAATAACTTAATCACTTCAACGAATAACAACTCTTCGATATCCCGGAACTTTTACATTCGTCCTTTAGTCACATGTTGTGGAATTTTTGCAGAGACTTTTCTAGAAAATAATGAAAAATGACTTTAGTTGAATTTCACAATATTTCGAAAGCCGAGAATATTCTTGGGAATCGGCGGGAGAGTTTCTCAATGGAGTCCACCTTTTGGTGGTGGTTTCTTGGTATTCCCATAAATCTCTATTGGACGAAGAAGGAAAGAGAAAAAAGTTGCAAAAATTAATTCTCTTTATTGTTTCCCTCTATGTATTTCAATACTGTGAATCTTCTCGTCTCTTCTATGCTTCTTTCGGAGATTTTTTGTCGGCTACCTTGAGAATCTCTCCCCCTGAGTTTTGTCGAGATATTACAGGAATGAACACCACAATAGGACTCTTTGGACATTTCTTGTCTCTGCGACATCCTTCCTAGAATTTTGCCATCTTTCTCTCCCTCTGAAACGCCACACAAGACATCATTTCAATTCCCAAATCCCAGCGAGAGTGGGAAAAGAAGCAGAGAGGGCCCCAGTGGTGAGGTGTGTGTGCATCATTTCGATGCATTGTTAGGGATGGCTTCTCGAGAATGGTCGGCTGCCGGGGAAAAAAGAGTGATTCAGTGAGTTGAAGGAGGTCGAAGTGTGCAAGGGATTATTTATCAAAATGTTTGACACACTAAACAAAAGGCGACCATTCGTGTCGTCTCGTTTCATTTCCCAAGAAGACCCAAATAGAGATTTCAATCTCCTCAAATTTGTATTTTATGCACTCAGACTAAATGAAATGTCTCTCTTTCTCTACTTGATTACACACAGGTTCAAGGATGGCAGACCGTATCCGTGGTCCGGGGATGTTTCCACACTCATCTTGTACCCGGAAGCCTCCAATCAGACCATCTATACGAGGCATGCCTCCTTCGTGGACAACGGAAACTACACGTGCGTAGTGAGCAACGAGACTATGAAGCTGGAACAGCACATGAGCCTCGTGGTTCAAGGTATGTGTGATTCGCTTTGACTTTTAAGCTCCTCAATTATTCACGTCCCCATGAGAATAAATTCATCAGTACCATATGATTTTGCGATATTAAGGCTTTCAGTTCCATTCATACAATTTTTGCTCTGCTAATTAACAATTCAGTTTTGTGGGAACAAATGCACCTTTACATAGTAAAGTTAAATGAATACAAGCTTTCAATGCATGTGCTGATTAAAAATAGAGAAGAGCTTTGTTCAGCGAAATTGAAAATCCTTTTCACAAAATATATTGTTTGTATTTGAATTAATTTGAACTCGAATTTCAGCCATAGATATGGATTAAACTCAAAATAGCACCATTTAATTTATATTGAATTGTTTACATTCCTATAAGCTTTTCAAAGTTGCATATTCCAGCTGGTTTGTTTTTCAATTCAGTTAATACTTTCAATTAATATTTAAAATACATGTGCAACTTTTACAGTACTGCCTTTAACCACATCAGTTCATTAAATTCTCACCCTTTTCACTAAATAAACCCTCAATCCTTGCGTATGCAGAAATTAATATGATTTACGATGTCGTGTGTAAAGCATAATTCCATCTGCGTAGTGACCTAATTCCTCTCTCATTAGTTCTGCAGTTTAATTAGGATGAGAAAATGAAATGAAGTTAGGGTAATGAGTGAAATAATAATGGCAGTGCTAGGATTTTCCGCTAATGGAGTCACCAACAAATTTTCTCTGCTTTTCCTAGAAATCGTTATCCCATCAGAGCGTGAGTGCAATGAGTGACTGTGAAAGTTTCTCTGTGCAAAAATGCAGAGATCATGTTCATCACTTTCATAATAAAGCAATTAAAGTCGCTGTCGTAGCATTTTAAAAAGTCGTCTCTCTTCTTTATCTGCAGCCAACTCCCCGGACGCTCCGCTGCCCACGTACAGGCCCAAGGATCAGACGGTGCCTCTGGGCCACACAGCGCGATTCTACTGCGAGGCATTCGTGGGGAATTTGGGACTGCCCGACGTCAACAGCGACATTTCGTGGTACAGGGTGTACGAGAGGGAACAGGTTCCGGTGTCGGAGGACCAGCAGAAAGTCATCCGCAGGTAATTGCGAATTATATTTGCAAATTCACCCCAATTAGGAGATCTCCAGAGAGTTCTGACCAGTGACTGTGTGTGGTGACATTGCCAAAATGTCTCAATCATTCCACATAACATTATAGCTCGCTGACGTAATTTGATAAAGGCTTATCTGAATGAACACCGATTGTCATATACGTGAATTACGTTACGTCTTTGATATTGATTCTATATCCGGTGTGAGACACATTCCAAAAGATAATAATTCGTGAGACTTAGTATTGCCTTACGTTCACTTAAGTCTGATGGACTCTTGTTGATATACAGCCTTGAAGTATTTGCGAAACGATTCTGGGAAGAAGAAAAAGAACAGGATAGTTTTTTTGTCATTTAATTTGCACTCTTCGGAGATTTTACCTGGCAATTGTCATTGAATGCCAAGTGAAAAGGGCCAGAATTGAATGTCGAGGCCAAAATTAGAATTCACGGAATAAGTGGGCTATTCTCTGAGAACTGATTATCCTATATTTGTTATGTCTCATTCCAGGGAGGATGATCAAAACATCGGCGCGATACTGGAACTCAGCAACGTGGACGTGAAGAGCTATGGGCGATACATGTGTCGCATAGAGATGGGCAATGCCGCCCACAGATTCGAGATGTCCGCGTGGCTGTTTGGCCCGCCTGTGAAGGCGGACGAGTCCTCGGGAGCCCTGCTTCAGTTCCTCGCCATTGTCCTGGCGTGCATGGCATTCGTCGTGCTCCTCACAGTCTACAGATACGCGCCCAAGTGGCGACAGGCCAGCCGAAAGAAGTCCAATCAGAGCAGGATGGATTCAGCAGAGAAATTCAATATACCCACGAGGCCGTAATGACCTTTTCTAGAATGTGTTACTGAACTCAACATTTCCAAATTCACATCATGTAGAATTGGCGGGAGAAGAGCATGTAAAAAATATTGATGGTATTCCTAAAACAAAAAAGAAATCACTTTCTGCATGAAGAAAGGCTTGCATAATGCTCTGTTTTGATTGATATTTCCTTGAGGCGACCTAGAGCAAAGCGCTAACGTAGTTTTATTTTAGCATGATGATAGGGAAGAATCTGAATATACCAGAAAAATGCCAAATTTTTCAGATCATTTCATCTTGAAGGTTCACCATTTCATTTAATCTGCCGCTTCACTGTCTGACCTGACCTTTTTCCAGTAAACAGCAAAATAAGCAAAACATCGAGTAAATATTTACTTAACTGTTGCAAGAAATTAAAGAATTAAATGACATAAGTACAGGAAGAAATGTACATCAAGTGTAAAAAATGCTAGAGTAAACGTTTTCAAAATTCTATTAGAGAAAACACGTGTAAGTAACTGCGTGAAACTAAACATTTCCATCTCGAGAAGGTATAATTAAATTTGATTGAAGCTTCTGAGTCACGCTTCTATTGTTTTCGATTTAATAAGTAAAAGAATTAACTTATTTTCACTTTCCACAGAGAGGAATCTTTCGAAATTATACAGGTTGATAGTAGAATTTATTTATGTTAAGTTAAATATTTTTACAATTGTGTGAATATACTTTTATACTATAGAACAATTAAATAAATGATGAATGAAGACAAACTCACATACTTTTAATTATACAGTTTATCTCAACCCTAAGATTGCCGTGAACTCCAGAGCATTGTTATCAAGCTGGAAGCAGAGGAAACCGCAGTGCAGCAATATTAATGACATTTTGGATTGGAATTGTGGTTTATTGCCACAGACTAAATAAGATAGATGGCAAAATTAACTGCAAAATACCCGAAAATACCAGATAAATCAATTCACAATAGTTTTGATGTGTCGCTATCGTTTTTTCTTCTAAATTTTCTTCTTTTTTCAAGCGAATATTGATCCTAAATTTTATACAGATGATTGGCACTCCCCTTTAACCGTACTTGATGGTTCGCGAATAATTTATATGAACAGCTGAATTCACATCAGGTGACAAAATAAAAATAATTAAAGGGAATGTTCAATTGCTTAATTTACTAAATTAATCATTTTGCCGTCGATGATAGACATAAGTTAAAATTCAATAATTTCGCCGCGATCTGCATTATCGTGCTATAAACAAGGTGCGATGTGTTGCAAACTTCAGAGCGTGAGTTGTTTTTTGTAGTGCATGGAAATTTGGTGTTTTTGTGCAAATTTGCTGATTTTACGGAAGTCTGCGACAAAAAAATGCTAGACAAGGTGAAGCACATTATTCTGGTGCTATCCGGAAAGGGGGGCGTCGGGAAATCCACCGTCAGCACACAATTAGCGCTGGCGCTGAAGGAAACAGGATTTAAGGTTAGTGCGCATTGTTTACATTTTGGCAGGAAATGCGAATGAGGGGATTTTGTTTGCAGGTGGGCCTTCTGGACATTGATCTCTGTGGACCTAGTGTGCCCTACATTCTCGGATTGGAGGGCAAGGATGTCCACCAGTGCGATGAGGGCTGGGTTCCTGTGTACACGGACAGTGAGCAGAGTTTGGCCGTGATGTCCATCGGATTCTTACTGAAGAATCGTGATGATCCCGTCGTTTGGCGAGGACCAAAGAAGACAGCGATGATCAGGCAGTTTCTCACGGATGTGCACTGGGATCAGCTTGACTTCCTGGTGATTGACACTCCCCCGGGAACTTCCGATGAGCACATCACAGTGATGGAGTGCATGAAGGAGGTGAAATGCGATGGCGCTGTGCTGGTGACGACGCCCCAGGAAGTGGCTATTGACGACGTGAGGAAGGAGGTGACATTCTGCCGGAAGACGGGAATAAAAATCCTGGGCATTGTGGAGAACATGAGTGGATTTGTCTGTCCGCATTGCTCGGATTGCACCAATATCTTCTCAACTGGAGGCGGAGCGGCTCTCGCGGAGATGGTCAGTGTTCCGTTTCTGGGCACACTTCCAATAGATCCCAAAGTGGGAGAACTCGCTGGCACGGGTAAGTCTTGCCTCCGCGAACTTCCTGAGAGCTCCACATCCGCCACTCTTCGTCAAATAGTGTCAATTTTGAGCAAATGATACTTTTAATCCATGCCTAACAATAACAAAACCATATTTTTGTACAGGATATACCACACTAAATGCTTATAGAGATTAAAAGAGACTATTACTGGTTCAGCCTCTTGGCTTCGGCATGTAAAATCTCCTTCCAGATCTCGGCGGCGCGGGAATTGCACAGATTTTGCTCATTGCAGAAAGCGAGGATGATTGACGGCAGCGCCTGTAGATATTCTTGGGCCAAAGAAGTCTCCTGCAGAACACACTGCAGACTAAAGGCACTGCGCCGCCCCAGAGTGCCCACCACGCCTGTTTGGGCTACTTCCTTCTCGTGCAGAGCCGCCACATTGTCCGCCGCCGTGCCCCGGATGACACCCTTCATCTTCTGCTTATTTAGCGTGAGCATCTTCGTTAGTGCTCGCTGGTGCTCCGCCACGATTCCCTTCTCCACGCGATCACACAAATCACTGTGGGCTGTGAGGACGTCCAGGAGCATATTGAAGCGTTCACTTATTGCACTTTCAAGCGTCACGGCGGATTTTTCTGTGATCTTGGCCACTTCGTGGAAACCTCTGGTCATGTCGGTGAAGGTGTCGAAAGTGAAAACACGATCGCTGGAACTCAATAGCTTAAGGATGGACGAGATATCTTCCATATCCTTGGATTTGCCGGAACTCCGAGCGACTTGCTGATCGATGAATTTCTTGAGGCGTGTCACAGCATTCAACATGGTTCGCATGATCTCTCTATTGGAGGCCAACCGACCCTGATCCTCCAGTGGTAACTCCTGGGGAGAAAAAAGTCAAATATCAGTGAATCTCTTGGAAGGAAGGGAAGGAAATGGACCTACAACTTCCTCACTGAGCGTGGAAAACTCATCTGGTTCACTGTTGAACAACTCCCGCAGGTGTTCCTGGTGATCAGCGCTACTGTCTGTTAAGAAATTCCTGAGAAGGGATCCCGAGCCAATTATAGGATGTCGGGAGACTATCTTGAGCCATCGCTGAAGCCCACGACGACGCTCTTCGAGCAGGGAGTCCAGCATGAGTTGCTTGGGTGGCAGTCGCGGAACCATTCTGCGAAAAACATACAACGTAAATGAGTGACCATGAGATGTGTCTGGGATTTCTCACACTGACCGATAAGGAAATCTCGTAACGAGCAAATTGTGTAGATTCACGAAATCATTGTAACGCCTCGCGACGCTGCACTTATAGTTGCGTGAGGAGATCTGCAGGGACAATCAGTTAGTTTCTAGAATTCAGTAACACTATTTGGTGAGCACGAGACCTCATATTCGGAATGCTTGAGGAACAGACCCTTCTTCTCTGGCACCAAAGTCACGAGAATAACATCTGGATCACCTTTGGAGCCACTCGCGGCGACACTGCTTGTTTTGCTCATTGCATCTCTGATCGTTGCGGATTCTGCTGGGAAAGAGACTTGCGCTTGAGCTCTGGGGGGAGATTTGAGACGCGGAAACTGCAAGCTGAGGCAGTGCTGCTGGTTAAATTACCATTTGACGACGATAGCTTGCCGCTCATAGTTTCTGCAACGTGTCACGGAAATTGCCAAGATCACCGTTGCTCTTGCTTGTCCCCGTCTCGCGCCCGGGAGACAACATCAAACTTTTCACTCTTTGTTCAGCACCTCGTGATCACACTGTTAGTGGGTGGATATCTTCAAATGTTGCAGTTCAATTGCGAGCTCAGCCACTCTTCACTTTCTCACGATCACGTCCGATGTTCTGAGCGGCAATGCCATGCCACCCAGGAGAAAAAGTGGGAGATTCCAGAAGGTACACAGAGTGAATTTCAGAGGAAATGATCTCACAGAGCGGAGAAGAGAACAGCGATCTCACACCTCGTTCATCGGCACCGTCAAACTGCCAGGCGAGACTCTCGCGCTATTCTCACTGATTCCCCTTTCGTTGTCTCTCATAATTCCACTTCCCCCTCACACAACAGCATTCGCATAAGCTTCTCCCGCTCGCGGAGAGTTTCCCGCTCTCGCGCTGGAGAACCGGCTCTTTTACATATCATGGCTGACTTGCATCATCAGCCAGACGGAGACCCAAAGCAGAGCGTCCCAAGAGTAACAGAGATCGCAACGCTGAGAGAACTTGGGCAGATGTAATCTCTCTCTCTCCGGGTGGGGAGGAGTGCTCCAGTAATCTCTGCATTGTGCGATTCCCTAAACGATCTCGCCAAACAATAACTGCAGATGATCGGGACTTGGATTGAATTTCCTCTCGATTCCCACAATCGCTTCTATTTGGAGAGATTATGTAAATTTATTCCACAGTCTCTCTTGCCTCGTTTTTTTTTTACTCAATATGCGATATGATGCGTTTTGCGCACAAAAATACTGATATGACGACTAATGTATTGCGAAATTGAGAAGTTTCATAAGTGATTACAGCGATTATATAAAAAATGAGAAATATCTTAATACAACTCCAGAAGACATTGCGCCAATTGCAGATCGGATTTCTTATCAATTTCAAGAGCGTCTTGCGATGGTATTTCTACAAATCCACAACTGTTAGTCTGAAACACTCCCCTGTCCAGAAGATTTCTCGTGGCGAAGTAGAACATTCCGGTCTCTAGGAGTTCTCCGTCCCAATCTTGACGACGAGGGCGCTTGGTGGGATCAAAGTTAATAGGAAGAAGTTGACTATTGGAGAACTTCCACCTCAATTTGTGACTTCTATAAAGGAGAGAATGCTCTCAGACACACATATCTACCCAATAAAATTGTTAGAGATTACTTTGTAACCGTAAAGACGCAGTCTGACTTCTGGAAGAGTTCATAAGCTAGTTCCAAATAAGTTTCCCTGAGGAATATTGACGTACACTGAATCAGAGCGACATTTTCAATTTCTGGATGGTGATGAAGAAATTCTTGAACACTCTCAATGGACGACGTTGTGTCCAGAGCTTCGGATTCGGGCCTGTGATGTACAAAAATCTTACTCACAGTCCTTGCTTCCAAGGCAATCAAATCATTATCTGTGGAAACCCAAATTTCCGAAAATATTTTCGAATTCTTAACGACCCTAAGAGCTCTTAACAGCAAAGATTCTCCTTGGAGAATAGCCAGATTTTTCAATGGAATCCCTTTAGAGCCTCCACGAGCCAAAATCAGCGCCACAACTTTCCTTTTCGCAACATCTGCCGAACATTGCTGTTCGGATAATCCTATGGCGTTGTGAACAATCACAAGCACTCCAATTAAGCACTTTACCACAATTCTGAGCTGCATAATATCTCCTGCGAGACAAAATGTGACGCGGTCGAGTAGAGCTGCGGTAACAAAACAATACCGGAAGCATACAATTTCTAATCTTAGCAATTTAGCGAGAGAGAAAGAGAGAGAGAGAGAGAGACATCAAATTGTATTCGTGGTATCGTGCGAGGATTTCACAGATAACTTGCTCAATTGCTTCTCGAGATGCTCCTCCAATTCTCTCCTGTGATTGCGCCTCTCCAGCATCTTGATTTGTCGCAATTTCTCCGCTATTTGATTGTGAATCACATCACGATGCCTCCTGCCCTCGCCCAGCGCCTCCATTTCCGCCAGCCACTCAGCCCTCTCGTGAATCTCACTGAGAACTGCGGGAGAAAGAGAGATTTCCATTCCTCACACTTTCCACAGCATTGCGCATTCCACTCACGTTCGCAAATTTGATCTCTCTCCTCCAGCTTCGGGGACTTCTTGCGGTGCCTGTACTTGTGTGCATTAGCATCAGGGTCTGGGAAGTACTTCAGACCACTCATGACTTCCTGCAAGCGATGTTTTGCTGTCTCCGATGGCACCTTCCACGGATACTTAGGAATGTAGCGCGTCTTCTCAAAAGCTCCACTGGCTTTTATCTCCTCAAGCGAACGCTTCCGGGCGCAACGAGCCCTCTCAATAATCTCCCTTGCCTCCCGGTCAGAATCCCCAAAAATGCTAATTGGTCTTGGCTCTTCTCTGGGCATTGGCAGTGGCTCACCGGTTCTCAAGTAGCCATTTATGTTCTTTCTCTGGAGCATAGTTAATTTTGCTTCATCCATCAGAACTTTAAACAAAGGAAATTGATATTAAAATTTTCCAATGCGTCTCAGTCTAAGGCGTTTCCATTTCTGCATCAAGTGCGACGTTCATCTCATTCAAGGCTACATACCTTTAATTAAATTCCGCGTATCCTTGCTGTAGCTTTTGACCTTCGGCGGGTGAAAAACTCCACCCGGAGGAATTCTATCGCTAGGCCACTCCATAGCGAGTCCCAGAAATTTGGGCTCAGAACTATTTTTGATGCAACGAAATTATCTGGAAATGAACCCCTGTTTCCCGGGAGAGAGTTTGTTCAATAACCACTTACCTCGGTGCAATGGAGAGTGCATGGTTGCTTATGGCAACATAAGAGGTGAAGGCAGTGGTGTAGATTTATAGCGCACGGAATTGCAATATTCATTCATTTCCTTTCAATTTACATTCACTTGTTGAACTTGACGGAACTACCCAAATGCATACGCCACTGGGAAAACCTTGAGGAGAATTCTGGTCGGGATGTTTTGAAAAGGCGCATGATTGTTGCTATTTGCAAAATATCCTGAATCTACCTGGCGAGAAATTAACAATCGCAATTTGGCAGTTGGCAAGTACACTCGTGCGCTTTCTCCTTAGCATTTTCCGTGTTGCATCTTGCTGAAAAGACTTCATTCTTATCGCTATCATTAACAGTGAACTGCGTTTTGGATTTCATTGCTGAATTGTGTGAAATTGAAGAATTTTTCTCGAGTGACAAAATGATTTCCGGCCCAGTGCTCTATTACCAAATTTTTTTCTTCATGATTTGTGAATTCATTGCCATAAAGATGAAGAAGTACCGACATGGACCAAACGTTGCATTCTCAAACATCTTCTCAATACTGACCAAGAAAGTGACAAAGATTTTTCAACTTCTCGATTATTATCACAACATTATTCTCCTGTGGATGATCACTAATCAAGTTGCTATAACTGTAATAACCATTGCACCAGCAATGTTTTCCTTTAAAGATGGAGTTTGGCTACCTTTGTACCTTATGAACACAATTGTTCTATGTATGTTTTTATCGAGAAAGTAATCTTTTATTTTTTCTTTACTTTTGACCTCTAAACGTTTTACAGCGCACAGGTTCTTGACATGGCTACTCACCTGGTACATGCTTTTGTCACTGCATCACGTTATTCAGAATTACATCACTATGAAGGAATTGACACGCCGCGCCAATCAGCGCACTAACCCTCCCACAGCTCCCGCTCAGCAGGACATTGACGGCTAATTAAACTATATGACCAAAGAAGTCAACCCATAAAAATTATCAATCATAAAATAAATATATATGTAACCAAGACAAATCCCAATTTTCGCAGAAAATGTGAAATAAAAAAAAAGTATCCAAATCATGTATTAATCAGACCATTGTCGTTAATACATGATGACTTGATGTAATTTTGGAATCGTCACATATGGCGAAAACCAATAAATAAATAAATAAATGATTTGATGTAAAATGATTCTTGCTATCATTGACGCATAATTCCAAAAGTCGATATCGACGTGAAAATTTCAACTTAATTATCACTTTTCCCCATTTGTGCGCATTTGTGCGTTTCGCTCATTTGACCAATCATTCAATCACTGTTCCTCTAAATGTGGCCTCGCAAATTTGGCAAATAGTGTTAAAATACGCAAATAATTTACTCAAATAGCAAAATTGAATATAAGAAAGCTCTTCATGAATTAATTATATCTGTGTGTTTGTGTGTGTGTGTGTTAGAGCGTTTGTATACCTCAAATATCCTAGATAGCTAATCTACTAAGAATTTAAGCACTAATTATCACAGATCCAGAACTACAAAAAATTGAGAAAACACATTCATTACATTACGTCGCATTTTGTACCACGCCTTACTCTGCAAGTCGACAATACAAGAGGAGAATCCTTGTTTCTCTTGTCTTGTCTCGAATGCGCATGAACAGCTTTTTCGATTTCCCAGTCATCAGGAGACACCTTATCTGGTAGGTCGTAACCATCGGCCATTGCAGTTTTGCAGAAGGTGCAGTTATGACCGGTTCGAAAGACATGCAGTCCAGCTGGTGCATCGCCAGGAGCCCTGTTCTCGCGCGGAAGACTCTGCGGATCATAGCTTTCATTATAGCCGCGTATCAGCTTGTGAGTGCAGTGGCCCGAAGAGGACTGTGATTGTGCAATAAATTGACAAATACCCTTTCTTCTGCAATAGGTTATATCCCACACTCTGCTCTTCATGGTCTTCATCGGTTTGATGCACGCCAAGGAGGTTCATAAAATGCTATTAGCCGATATTGAGGAGGACAGGGAGATAAACGAGTACACTGCTATGCCCGACGTTTATGCAGTCTCCCGCAATGAGATGCGCTTCAAGACCGCCCAAGAGTTGACCAAGTGTAAGTAAAATTAATATTATTAATATTGACGTCATACGCGGCAGCAGCCAATGACGTCATATGTGGTAGCAGCCAATGACGTCATATCTAACTTGCACCTCTTCAGACACCCTGACAGTCCTGTACGTTGCTCTCGTGCTTTCGGCCACCTACGTGCTGAGCTGCATCATTCTCCTGAAAGGCGTTATGAAGAACAATCCCTGCATGATGTGTCCGTGGTTGCTCTTAAAGGGATTCTCCACTGTGATACTCTTTCTGTTCTGGATATTTGGCAAGATCCAGTGCCATTTACCCTTGAACTTGAGCGCTATTTATGGTAATTTTTCTCTAAGAAATTCCATTTTGAGTGCCGACAAATAATCCCTTTCCTCTATGCAGAATCTACATTCATGGCATTATATCTTCTCGACATGATCATCTTACTCTTCGTCCGACAGTACTATATATACGCTAAGCAGGATAGGAAACTAGCAAACGAGCTCATCGAGAGTGCTACCGTAAAGATTCCTATCCACGATAAGGAAAAGATCATTGAGGGGAATGACGGCTACACGCATCACATCCATACAGCAGCTGATCCAATTTTGGTACCAGTCAAATAAATGAATCCTCTCGAATTAGAGGTATTTACTGCCATATCCGAAGAAATATAATATAATATAATAATACAACTCGAGAAACCCCAGGAAAACCCTAAATATTCCACGGAACATGTTCCCAAAGCTCCCCTCGATGTATTCCTTATTCTCGAAGAATAAATACATAAATGTATGCATTAAATAATGTTTAATTCAAATTACTTACATCGCTGGAAAACACTTCAGCATGCTGGCATGTGGCGCACAAAGTCTCCACACGCTTCGGCGAACTCATTGCGGATCATGTAGGAGGCAATCACCTCAGCCACCTCACAGGGACGATCCTCATGAACGGCATGACCACATCTGGCGAGCACTTGCATCTGGAACTTGCCCTGCATCTGACCCACTGTCAGTGTCCTATCCAGGCCGTCGATGCTCGCTAGCAGCAGCAGTTTCGCCACCGGCAAGTCCAAAAATTTCTGACTCAATCCCTCAAACCATCCCGCCCAGAACTTTTCCGATTTGGACAGATCTATCCTCCAAGTGTACTTCTTGGCATTCGCCATCTCGAGCTGCGGTTGCTTGAATACTGGAGCTTGTGGAGCGTCCTGGCCCTCTGTCTCAGGATCCTCAGCGATGCTCAGGGGATTGGCAAAAGTACTGATAGCTGGGGCGGGTTCTCCTGCGTCCGGCAGTGGTAGCTCATTTGTGGAGAGCTTCAGTGTCTCTGTGTTCATAATTTGTCCCGGCATTGAAACTTTCGCAGACTCCAAATTCCTTATCTGCCCACTCCTCACACTGAAAATTCAATCAAAGACAATTCATCACTCCGTCCCAAGCCTCGCCCAGCATTTCACGCACTCACCTCCACTCTATGGCCTGTGGGATGCTCTTAAAATAGGTCGGCCGTGACCTCAAGAAGCTCTGCATACTCGCAAGCGCATCCATTGCTGTTCCCTCCACCACATCAATCACCGTCAACCCAATCAGATTCTTTACGAGATCCAAGTGAACCAGGTGGGCCGCTATAGCTCCCCCCATTGAGTGTCCCACGAGAATTACGGCTGGATTGTCCTCAGGATACAATATCGAAAGCACCCTCGCCACATCCGTGGCCAGTGTTGTGGCCGACAAATCCCAGTCGTCCGTGGTCTCGGTGTCTCCATGACCACGCAGATCCATCGCCAGACACTGGCAGTGAATCATAGAAGTGATTTCTGTTGAGAAGAGTGCCCAGGTAAGTGCTGAGAATCCTCCGCCATGGAGAAGCACAATCAGAGGCCCCTTCTGTGCAGGCTCAGCCGATCTGTACACGCAAAACTTATTTTCATCCACGGACACCATTTCGCGCTCTTTGAAGTACTCATGCCACTGTTTTGGGGAGTAGTTCTTTTGGAAACCGCGCCGGGAACCATCCCTAAAGAGGAAAACAATCAAAACAATAAAGAGATTTTTCAAAGACTACAGCCGATATTCACTCACAATTTGGATATCTTAGAAGCCGATGGTATTGGCGGAAGCCGAGATTTCATGATGGACTTCTGTAAGCTGGACATTTTTGCTGGAAATCACTGAAAATCCCTGGTCTCTCTGCACCCTTCACATAACCTCCATCCACAGAAGATGCTTCAGACGCCCCCTCGCGGAAAGCGCAGAGGAGGGAGTTTATGGCGCGCGATGTGCTCTCCAACGGTCTCTCTTTCCATATGTACTTTCACTTTTGCTGCAACGAATCTCCGTGCCATTTGGTGGACCGTGAAGCCACAATTCCACCTGATTCACCTTGAGGGAAACAGAAAAAACTATATACGAGTCTATTGAGGTGTTCAGTATCTCGCGAACTGCTGCATGAATCACTTGTGTGTCGTTCTCAGAACGAGAACCAGTGTGGAACCTTCTGTCGAAGAAGTTAATTTATGCAGACGCGTTTAAAGCCACGAGTTGATAGAAGAACACTCCTTGCTAGCGCTTGAATTGCGCTGAAAGTGAAACCGTTTGGTATAATTGCTGAAATTATCTGTGCATGAAACAATCCTCTCACCATGAGGCATTACGTTTTGGTAAGTGAATTTGATGGCGCATTTGAGGCTTGCAGTAAAGTATATTTGCTGAAAATATAAGGTCAATAGAGTGATGTAACGCACCATGATGTCACGTCTGGTTGTTGCGTCTCGAGATTCATGGAATTTCCTGTTTTCCTCGACAGATATTCATCACCTTTGGCGCGTGTCTCGCTGATGTGTCCCATGTTGTTTCCCATGATCCTTATGCTGTTCCCTTGGAATTCCACTCCACCACCTCTACAACCCCTCCGCCACCCCCAAAGCCTTATGTGTTCGCCTACACTGCTGGAAGATATCCTGGCCACGTTGATCGCACGCACAGCGAAGTATCTGATGGCAGTGGCACCGTTCGCGGCGCCTTCTCCTACGTAGATCCCAGACACCAAGTACGCACCGTGGAGTACGTGGCGGATCGCTATGGTTTTCACCCAGTCCTGAGCCATGAATCCCACGGTCCGGTGCAAACTGAGGCTGTTCAGAAGGCAGCTGAGAGACACTACGCTCTGTATAGTCGAATCGCTGAGGCGCATGCCAACCACGATCCTCATGTGAGTAGGAGTTGTTCTTCACATCTTCCTACCTGATCTTCATTTGGATCACTCTTTGCAGCTCCAAGTCGTAGCTTATCCAAGGGAATCTGTTGCTGTGGCTCACGCTAAAGAGAAGCACTTGAGTCTGTATGAAAAGATTGCTGCCGAACACGCTAGAATTGGTGCCGAACAGGAAGCCCAGAGACTCGCCTTTGAGGCCACTTCTGTGCCAAACGATCTTGAGGAACACCATCACCTTCAGTGAAAGCCATCAGTATACTCTTACACCCACTAGTAATGCTTCTTCTACTGATAAACCCTTTTGGCTTTATTAAATTTCTGTAAGTAATTAGTAGCTGTAGTCACTGGTGGTACTGGAAGTGTCGGATGATGATCCAGAAGAACGCATTCGCTGATTCATGGGAGGACCCATGGAGCCCCTAGGGCCAGGACGCCCCATGGGACCTCCTGGTCCAGACTGCCAGTTGCCTCCATAGTCATCGTTTGGACGTGGACGCCCATGCCTCCTGCGCCCATTTCTTCCAGGTGGACCATTCATATTCCAACATCCTGGCAAATTATTATTACCGCGGCATCTCCTCTGCATTTTCTGATTTCTGGGAGGCCCTCCATTGAATCCTCCCGGACCCCCTGGCCCTCCTGGACTCCTTGGGCCTCCAAATTGGCTTCCACCTCCCATTCCGCCCATTCCTCCCATTCCTCCCATGGCAGAATCTGCGCTTGGCATGGAAGGATTGAGGCCTGACTGAGCGGAAGCGGTGCCGTAATCGGAGCTGTAGTCAGTAGAGGAGCTTCCGCTTTCAATTCCTTCTGCTCAAGAGATCACACTTAGAATTGATCTGATTTGAGGGATTTGAGGATGTGATTATGAGTCTTGCCTGCGCTGAAGGGTCGAACAACAGCTCCTCTTTTCGTCCTCTGCAGCACATCATTTGTTTCTGTTGGTGGACAGTCTGGGCTGATGTTGACGGAGGTTTTAGCCTCACCAGCGACATCAACGATCAATTGCATTTTGCCATCACATCTTGAAAGAGATAAATTTGGCACAATGCACAATACAGCGATTATCCACCTCATGATGGCTTACAGCAAATATACTTTTGGGAGTTTTATTATTTGCGTGCTATATTTATATGGAAATATTCACAGGAAAGAGAAATAAAAACTTCTTCAATTAATATCACATCAATTCTTCATCTCCATTTTGTGTGACTTCTTTTGTGTTATCGCAATCGTATCATTCTCCATAACTGAACGCATTAACCAGATATTGAATTAAGTGAATTCATTAATTTTTTTCTCTTCTGTTTTTTTGATAACATATCAGTTATTCAACGTTCAACTTCATAACATAGAATGCAGAATTTAAATAACAGACGCCCAGCGCCGCTCGACGGAAACTTTTATAAGCACTCCAGTGGCGGCGTGACCAAAACAAAGATGCACGTGCAACACAGCGAGGAGGCGAGTGTACAAAAAGTCCAACAAATCATCAATCCCGCGATATCCCGATCGCTGCATCAGCTCCTAAACACCAACGAGAATGTGAGGATAGAAAGTGGTGTGAGTTTAGTGCAACAATTGCTGAAGAATTCCTCGGATGATGAAGTACGTCACCTAACCTCCATTTGAAACGCTGTTTCACGCCGAAATTTTGGTTTTTCTCTCATTTCAGAAGAGTCAGGAGCACAAGTATGTACTGAAGAGACTGGTGCGAGGCACTGGCGGTTCAAGCAATGCGTCGAAGTGTGGATTTTACACGGCTCTGGTGGGATACTTGAATGCCTTCAAGGAGACTGTGGCGCTGGAGGAGATCTTTGAGGTGCTGGACAGTGAGCTGAAAGTGTCCAAGAAGGCCACGACCAAGGAGAATGCAGACGCTTACATTGGTCATGTTCTTGTCGTGACGGCACTGCAAAAGTGCGGACTGCTGACAGGGAAGAAGAAGAGCCAAATTTCGAAGGCGCTAGAATATGTCTTGGCGGCGTCTCAGCAAAAGACTTATCACTACAAGCTCTCGTACAACTGCCTGATTGCCTTCCTGACAAGTCAAACGGAGGAGGAGTTCCGGAAGACGCTTTTGCCTTTCATGAGGAATCATCTAAAGACACCATGGGAAAGCCAGACGATGAATTCTCTGCACTTTCTCATGGAAGCCCACAGTCGATTTCCATCCTTGATTGACGAGAGCTTTCTGGAGGAGTTTCTGGGCACAAAGCATATTCTCGATGGGCAGAGCTTTGAGAAAATCTTTGAGCTTTTTTGGAAAGACAAGCCTGAAACGGAAATTATGCAGCCGGCCTATGATGCCTTGGGAAAACATGCTGCCAAGTCGAAGAACTTTGGAAAATTCTGGACCTTTGTCGTCGAGAAGACAGTGGAGCATCCCAACAGAGCCAAGGAGGTGATCACAGTGAAACTGGCCACTGATGCTTTGAATTGCGAGAATCTGGGCAAATCCTTCACAAAGATCTTCTCGGAGAAGTTCCTGGAAATGGTGTTTAACTCCCTTCGTCAGACAGGAAGCAAGGATGAAGTGCTGAAGGCAGTCTATTTGGAGTTCTTTGAGGCTCTATTCGAGGCACTGAAGAAGAGGGAAGACAAACAGATGATAGTTTTGAAGAAACTAGTGACTCATCCGGGAACACTTCTTGTGGACAAATATCATTTCGCCAACAAAATCTTCCACAAAACAATCGGCATTATGAATGAGGCAAACTTGAAAGAGCTTACGGAATACCTGAAGAATGTGGTGATTGAGAAAGAGGCCAAGAATGCGGCGAATGTTGATGAAAAGTGGCTCAATTCCGAGAAAATGACTGCTGTCCAGATCCTCCAGAGAGTGATTTCCGCAAGGCCAGTGGCTTTTGACACAGAATGGAAGCTGAATCAGGCCAAGTTCATTCTTAACATTGCAATTTTCTACTCCAACGATGGCGAAACGGTGGTGAAAAAGCCTGAAACTAGCGTCGTGCCTATTGAACTGGCCAACTACATGATGAACCTCTTCTACCACAGCCTGGAGACTTCATTCTCCACGATGGAGAGTGGACGTGTGATTCTCAGTGGATTAGCGGATCACTGCAATACAATTCTGTCTAGGAAGAATGCCCAGAAACACCTCAGAAGAGATTTCAGCGCTGAAAGCCTCAAGATGTGGGAGGAAATGTATGCGACTGTGAGTGACCTGAACAAAAAGGGGGAGAAGTTCCTCGTGTTTCAGGTACTGCTACTGTCCATGGGTTTGCAGCTGTTCAGGGACGCGGAGATGGCGGAGAGCTCGCTGAAGGAATTGCAGAGCTGCGTGGTTCGGGCGGCAGAGAAGAAGAGTAAACTAAAGAGTGCGAGTGATGAGGAACCCGAGTGGATTGAAGTACTGATGGATTTAATCCTGCATCTGCTGTCGCAGGGATCAAGTGTTCTGAGGAACATCATCAAGAAAGTCTTTCCTTCACTCTGTCCAAAGCTCAATGTCTCAGCAATCTATCAGATTCTCGGACTGCTGGACATGAAAGATGGACAGAATCCGCTGAAATATGAAAATGAACAAGACTCTTCGGAAGAATCGGACGACGAGGATGCAGAGGATGTGCCAAAAGTCAATGGCAAAGGTGACGAGTCTGGAGATGAGAGTGAAGATGAGACGGACGAAGAGGACGAAGTGGAGGATGAAGGAACAGTTTCTGACAAACTCAGACTTGCCGTTTCATCTGCTCTGGGCTTTAAGAGTGCTGATTCTGACCAGGAATCCGTGAATCTGGACGACATGACAGAGGAAGAGGGCCAGAGACTCGATGATGCTCTCTCCACGGCCTTCAAAATGTTCCGCGAAAACAAACCGCAGCGAAAGACGAAGAAGGATCACCGGGAAGATACGACTCTCGTGCACTTCCGCAATCGCCTCATCGATCTACTTGTGATCTACCTGAAGAACAGCCCGGAATTGAGTGTCACGCTCGAAATAATAATCACTCTATACGACATGCTGCCGTACTGCGTGGATGAGGAGTCAAAGCCACTGCTGGGGAAGATCGAAGAAGCACTGACGGTGCTGGTTGACGTTAGGAACTTCCGCAATGACGGAGCTCAGGTGGTTGACAGTGAGAACCTTCTAAATGCCCTCACGCGACTGTGCCGGAAAAACGAGAATCCACAATCGATGGAGGTGAGGAATAGCTTTGTTGTGAAGGGAGTGAAGTTTATCTTGTTCTGCTGCTCTAAAATCTCCGCTTCGTCCGAGTCGATTGAGAAGGCGCTGGGAAACTTCCTGGAGGAGTTCATCAACAGCAGAAATCCCACACTCAATTACACCTTCTTCACGAGCCTCTTCAACGGTCCGTGGAATGGACTGTGGAACCTTTCGGAGAAGATCACTGGGAACGGCTTGACGACCACAACGAGGGCATTTCGAAGGATTCAGTCGTTCGATCTGCTGTGCATCTTGTATAAAAATCATCGTGTCATGCAGCAGAATGTGGAGAAGGCATCTGAAGCCACTAAACATATAGAAGGAGCTGTGAATGATTTTCTGAAAGAGATATCCTCTGACTCCGTGTCTCCTAATGAGTTCAAGAGCCTCACGTCATTCCTGTGGGAGATTCATCGATGCCACAGACAGTTTCCTGCGCTGAAATCCACACTGAAGTGGAAAGAGGCCTTAGAGAAGGTTCAAGAAATCCGCATGCATCTTCAACTGGACGCCGCAATCATGAACAGCTATTCAAAGCTCTGCAGCGTGCTGGGAGGAACTGTAGTGAAAAATACATCCATCCAGAAGCCACAACAGGAGGTCAACGGTGTTGCAGAGGATGATGATGATGATGATGAAGCTGAAATGGAGAGCACAGAAACCAATGGCAACTCTCCAGTGCGGGGAAAGAAGCGGAAAATGCAGCAGCAGAAGCTGAAGGCGAAGAAGAGCAAGAAGGAGGCGCGATTGAAGGCGTCCAATGAGGGATTGGGCGACGGCATCAATTTCGCCCAGAAAATTGAATTGGATTGATTCAGAGAAACAAAAAAATCTTATTTGTATTCATAGGAAAGAATTCTTGTAAAATAAAGTTAAGGAATTCACGTGTGAGTTCACTACTTCCTTCACTACTTCTGAAGCAAGACTGCGAGTGATTTCGCGCAGAGAGAGGTGAATTTTTCATACATATCTTCATGTATCCCTTTGGCCAGATTGTGACAGAGTTCCAAAGGATCCTGCACGCACATTACGGTGTCAGTTACCAAGAGATCCTTCGCGCTCTCGGGAACTGGAGGCAGTTGCTTAACAAACTCCTTGTAGCGCGCCATTTCCTGCGGCAAGAGTTCAGGGGTTTCGAAGAGCTTCCTCTCGATCGGCTTGCCCAGCAGTGGACACACCACGAGGTTCTTGAAGTCAAAAGTGCTGTAGAAGTGGAAGAAGCCGGTGAGGATTAGCTTTGGATCATTGGACATCAGCAGGTTCAGTTCACTGAGAGTGGGCTTCTTGAAGTCTCCCTGCCAATCTGAAATGGGAAATTCTCAGTCACGTGAAAAGCTTCAGAAAGGATCCTCATTGGCAACTCACGTCCGATCATCAGAGGTTTCTCCACGGTGTTCTGCAGATAAAAGATGGGCGGCAATAGATTGATGGTTTGCATGAAGAAAACCACCAGGATTGTGATCATGTAGCTGGATAATTTGTTGCTTTCGTATGTGCTCACGAAAATAGACTTGTACCAGGCCTTCACGAAGCACGCCACGCGATGGCAGTCGGGCTGCAGCGTGAGCAAATATCGAATCAGCGACGTGTTGATGTGCGACAGACCGCTGGTGAAGGACAGATCGCAGGGTATCTTGTAAGCCATATTGAACGCCTTCAATATCGGCGTCCGAGCATTCATAATGGGCACCAACTTGCTCCATTCTGAATTTGAGGGAGACAAGCACTCTCGCACCTTCTCAATGATGTTCACGACTTTCTCCTTGTTCTTCAGCGGCGCGTTGTAATAGTTGTTGACATCCACAAAGAGATCCAAGTCGCCCAAATCGGTGCTCAAGCCGGTCTTGCGACTTCCAAATACATAGACCTTCACTTCTGGGAACTCTTTCGACAGTATCTTTTCCAGGTCCTCACTTATTGTTTTGTACACGGTCAAATTGATGATTTTCTCGCCGATAGCCATGTTCTGGTATATCGTCTCCTCAACATTGTTCAGCAGCCATATTGGTCCTATAAAAATACAAGCGTTTCAATAACTTCCTTTAAAACAGAAGCCCAAAAATACTCACTTTTCTGTAGTGCAAATGTCTTCTTCGCTTTCTTCGCATCTTTCTTCTCACCCTCCTTTGCCATCTTCTTTATTTCTTTCCGCTCCTTATTGCACTCCTTCAGCTCTTTCTTACACTCTTTCAGTTCCTTCTTAAACTCATGTTTGATCTCCTTAATCTCCTTCTTGATCTCCTTCATCTTGGCCTCCTTGAGCACAGAATCCACCACAGGTTTCTTGCTGCTTGGCTCATTCAAGTGATTAGAGGGACTTTCACGGAACAAGGGGAGTCTTTGAAGTTTCACAGCCTCGTTTGGGGCTTTTGAGCCACCAACCAAAGATTGCTGTTCACTCAATTTCGCTCTCGGATTACCCTTTGCCTTGATCTTCTTCCCGCCAACTGCTCCCTGGCCGCACTCTTCCAAGTGCTCCTGAAAGTCAGTCCAGAGAAATGGTATAACTGCCTTGCAGGACTCACACAGGAAAGTCCTCTGCAAAGTAACATTCTCAAAATCTTTGACGACCAGAGGCGCAGATCCGTAAACCTTCTCAACTTCCTGTCGGTGCAGGAGACGGTCAACAATCTTCACGATCTTTACGAGATAGTTCACAGTGGTGTGATCAAGTTGAGGAGAGTCGCTTGAGAAACTATCCAGTATCTCGGAAAAGTAGTACAGCTCCATGTTGAAGTGAGCCAAACAATCCAGGCTGAGGATTTGACGGTCTTCATCCTCTGAACTCATTGTAAACTACGTGAACGCTCCGTCAAGTTGTAAAATTTGCCACACGCACAGAAATTTTGTTTTTAAGGCACGCTGAGGTTAAAATCACTTTATTTGCATTCACCATCCTAGTTCAAAAATATTCCGCCATGCGGTGCACGCGTCAATTCTTTCAAAAACCCGGTCGTTCACTCGCCTTCTTGCACTTTAGTACAAAAGATATTTTTAAAGTAATTTTAACATTTTAAAAATATTTTTTATACTTTTCAAATTTTCTTTTGCTGAATAGAATGCGAATCTCTGAAAAAGAGCTATTGGATATGACGGACATAGCAGAAAAACGGAGAAAAGTGATGAGTATGAGCAGAGTAGGACTGCTCAACTGGGATGTGATAAGAGATGTTGTTTACGATCAGCGAGAAAGAGAGAGATGAAGACAAATTATATAAGAGAGTGTGAAAAATTGATGTGAGAGCGAGATAATCTCCTGCCGGTCCTGGAATTTAGTGTTATTTACAGTGTATCAGCAGGGCAGTTTGCTTCGTGATCAGAGGGAACGTCGGACTCGGGTTTTAGGTTAACTTCTCCTATCGCTGTTTTTCTTTTTTTCTATTCCCATCACTTAATTTTTCGCGATAAGCCCCGTTCTGTCAATAGCCAAGGAGAAAAAATGTCTTCTTTTGCCCTCGGAGCTTCTCTCTGTCGCCAACTGCTTCCCGGATTCAAAGTGAGTGGGGTTTTGGGGTGCTTCTGGAGATTTTTTCAAATGCATTCTATTTTGCAGATCTTCCGCGCTTCCGGACGAAATCTCAGCTTGCTGGAGTATCAGTCAAAGCAGCTGCTTGACGAGAGCGGAGTCTCCATCCAGAAGTTTCGAGTTTTGGCAGCGAAAAATGACACCAAGCCGCTGAATGACTTCCAAGTGCCAGAGTACGTAGTGAAGGCTCAAATCCTAGCCGGGGGGCGCGGTAAAGGCCACTTTGACAATGGCTTTAAGGGAGGAGTTCATCTCACGCGAAAGGCCGATGAAGCAATCTCGCTGGCTGATAAGATGCTGGGCCAAAAACTCATCACGAAGCAAACGCCAAAAGAGGGTATTCTCGTGCGGAAGGTTATGGTGGCCAAGAGTGTGGATATTGTGAGGGAGACTTACCTGTGCATTCTCATGGATCGCGACCACAACGGGCCCGTACTTATAGCCTCGCCTGCCGGTGGAATGGACATCGAGGCAGTGGCTGAGGAGACCCCAGAGAAGATTAAGACCGTACCGATTGACATCACGAAAGGCATCACGAGAGAGCAGAGCGACTCAGTGGCTGCTTTCTTGGAGTTCAAGGGTGCTCTGAAGGAAAAAGCAGCGCTGGAGATTGAAAAACTGTGGCAACTCTTTCTCAAAGTCGACGCCGTCCAGATAGAGATTAATCCTCTGGCAGAGACGAGCGAAGGAGAAGTGATTTCCGTGGATGCCAAGCTTAATTTCGACGACAATGCTCAATTCAGACAGAAGAGGATCTTCGAGATGGAGGAAGAGACTGAAGCCGATGCCCAGGAAGTGGAAGCGGCCAAGTATAATCTCAATTACATCTCCATGGACGGGAATATTGGGTGCTTGGTAAATGGAGCTGGTCTGGCGATGGCCACAATGGATATTATCAAGCTCAACGGCGGGAATCCGGCCAATTTCCTGGATGTTGGCGGTGGCGTGAAGGAGGATCAAGTACTGAAGGCATTCCAGATCCTCCTCTCGGACAGCAAAGTCAAAGCGATCCTGGTGAATGTCTTCGGCGGAATTGTAAACTGTGCCACAATTGCCAATGGTGTTGTAAACGCCTCCAAGGCTATCGACCTGAAACTTCCAGTTGTGGTGCGCTTGGCGGGAACGAATGCGGAGGAGGCTCGCAACATCATCCTGTCCTCGGGACTCAATCTCATCCCAGCCTCAGACCTCGACGATGCTGCCACAAAAGCCGTGAAATCCCTGGCAAAATGATCTTTTTGGCGAAACGACGAAGTCCCTCGAACAAATTCTAGGCGGCATTTATCACCGTGACCCGCGTGACCATATTTTTTCGCTATTGTTTTTTTTTCACGAAAAGTTGCAAGTTTATAGATGTAGGGTGAATAAATTTTTCAAGAATTAAAAATACAAATAATTTTTTCACCCAAGAATTCGTTGTGCAATTTTCTAGCAGTTCACAGTACGCGATATCTGGCGATATATCGCTCGATATTTTAGTACCGCTGAGGGTGTTTTAGAACAGTGATTGTCAAATTTCAGTGCGATTGCAGAAATTACATAAATATAGAAATTCTCGGTATTGCTTGTTAAATCATGGCTCGCTCCAGTAGCCCACCGCGTTTCAACAACTACGAGGACGACACGGTGTTCCAGAATGCCCACTTCACACAGGACATCAGCGAGCAGATGCGAGTGCCGAAGAGCATCAAAGCCACTGGGGAGTACTTTGATGAGAGGGACATTCTGCCCGGGAGCGCCAACCTGAACTCATGGAACTACTCCGAGAAGATCGACATGACGGTGCCGGACAGGATTGTGGTGATTGGACAGGAGAAGCACCATGGTAAGTCCTGAGTGTTGTGTTTGACTAACCTCGTGCTGTCTGGGTACAACAATGGCTCTTCCTAATCGCACAGTTCTCGGTTCAGGGACCCGCTCGGCGCCGCGCGAGATCCTCTTGGAGAACTCCATTATGTCCCGCGGAGAGCACGGTCAGGTGAGAGTGTCCACGCCTCCCAGGACCATCTCACTGGCGGAGCACTACTTCCCCACGGCCTCGGAGCCCGACGAGTCGCCGCGGCACGAGGTCGAGGACGAATATGGGGCCGAGATGCACGGTGACGGAAATAGAGCGACCGCAAGACAGGCCAAGTACTCCAGTCACCCATCCGAGCTCGTCATCAGTCACAGGTGAGAGAGGGACGGGAGAATCTGTGGAGTTTCTTGAACTCTAGCGACAGAAATAATTGTTGATTCTCACAATTTCATGCAATTTGTGGCAGATCCGCTACTTTACAGTCGCGCCCAAGAATGTTGGCATTTTTATCATAAGGCAAAATCATAGGAGCATTTCAGTCCTAAACATATCACAATTTTGATAATGATTGTCGATAAGGCAATGCTAAAAATAGACCTGAATTTACTTTCAAAACCACAGACAGATAGCTTGTTTCGCGCGCATCTGTACAAAGAGTGACCAATTGACCTGTATTTTCCGCTTCTTGACCACTGAACCTTCTCATAAAATATGGTAATGGAGACCTTCGAAATGTCTTTCAACAGTCCCAATCGGTCTTTTGTCCTTCTCTGAACATATTGATAAAGAAAATACACAAGAGAGAGACTCAAATGTTTCTTTATCACAATGAATCTAGGCTAAGAAATGCTGAAACTGCTGATACTGAATTTAAATGCCGTTGCAGTCGCGAGAGCACACCTCCGATGAGTCAATCGCTTATGGAAGGAATGACGCCGTCTGAGGAAGTTGTGCAGCTGAGACGTCAGATCAACAAGCTCAACCGTCGTGTGTACTCGATTGAGATGCAGAACATCCAGCGGGAGCAGCGGGAGAAGATCGTCTACTGCCTCGGCCTGGCGTATTTCATCATCAAAGCTTTCCTCTGGCTCAACCGAAATTGAGTGGTATGATAAGTTTTGTTTTCTTTTCTATTACCAAAACCATTCCGAAGCGAAATCCCAGTTCCTGCCAGATGCAGAGGACATGATGATGATCTCCTGCATGATCAGGCGATGTCGAGAGGGATTTCTCATGGGAATGGCACCCTTAATTTTCAGTAGAATGGTAGTGTGAAATGCCGGAAAAAGTTAACTCAGGCCCACGAAATTGTGTATCCTTTTTTTTCGTAAATATTCAACATTTTATTGCATCTCTCTCTCTCTAAATATACAATTAATGAGTAAGAATTTGTTTCTTTGTGATAAATACAATTATACAAAAGTAATACAAAAAAATGAGTAAATAAAACCTTGATCACATTTTTCTTTCTTTAGAAATTGTTGCAAAAAAAAATACAAAAGAGAAAAGAATTAATGAGAATTTAGCGGAAAAAAAACTACCAACTTGTAAAGCGATAGCATAAAAGCATAAAATTATTTCCATTTCTAAATTGAGTAGAGAAAACAAATGTAAAAATAATTTATATGCATAAAAGAGAATAAAGGTTGAGTGCAAACCAACTCTGTGTGGTTGCAAATTACGGAAAAGTCGCAATTATTATTTTTACTTTGTGAGCTTCTTAAGCTGCGCGCGAGAGAGTATTTAAGTCAGTTTTAAGAGCTATTCATCCTGCGTGGGCAGCACACAGAGAGATTGAGTATAGAGACATTTGCGAGTACTATTGGGGCAGTGTCTTGTTGGGAGAACACATTATTATCTCAACAGAGTCGAATAGTATAATCCTAGAATTAATTAAAAATACCTATACACGGACGGAATAAAGTTACAGACAAATCTCCTTAAAGTCTTCTATCAGTGCTATTGCTCCACGACACTTGATTTCGTGGCGTCAAACGTAAGGAATTGCGATCCTCCTCATCGATGACCGGCTCGTAGGCTTGATTCACTTGGCCAGTCGTTGTACCATAAATCTGGAGGAAACAAGAAGTGCGAGTTAGAGAAAATTCTTGACTGAATGGCAAGTGTTTGATTGCTTACTGGTTGGCCAGGGCCTCCGTTAGAGTCGAAGACGTCTTTTACGTTGATCCCAGCATTGGATATCCTGTGATTTCGGGCAGGTGCAACGCCCAGGTTGTTGTTCAACTGCATACCACGACAATTAGACTTAATGCCCTCAGCAAATTATTGATTGTAGACACTTACCACACTGTTTGACGTTGTTATTCCGTACTCATTGTTGGCTCCGAGAGTCTGCATCTGAGACTTTCTCCTCTCGGCCATTATAGAGTTCTTCCTGACCTCCAGAGCTCTGATGGTCTCTCGGCGCATTGTCAATCGTCTCGTTAATATGGGAGTTCCTGTAAATAGAGAGGATCTTTTCTTAGTCTCTTATTCTCTACTTTATCATTTCAATAACATTCAAATTTATTGAATATAATGACAATAAAGTAATTATGAAGCTTTCCCTTCTTTCCACTGTGCAAATTTAATTCAAGATCTTATGAAACGCTTTCAATTTATCTTGCTCATTCACGGTAATACTTCCACTGAAAAGAAATTAATTACACTCTTCCGCCAGGTTGGCAAGTGGTTGAATGTGCCCAAAAGTGGAAGACTTGACAAATGCGCAATTAGCTCTAAGCCCCGCAAATCTTGACACCCATTCAGCCCGTGAAGAGATCAAGAGACACTCACCTTGGTTGTTTTCAGCATCTGCCGTGAGCTTCAGGAAGCGCTTCTTGAAGGCCACATCCAGTGTGCCAATTTGTCTTCTCGGCTTCGACGCCTTCTCCAAGTTGTGCACCGTTCGCCTCCTGGCGATACGATCCGGTCCACTGCCCGAGTCATTGTCATAGTCTCCGTCTATGCCTTGCAATCTCTGCAGGTTTTTCACTATTTCCACCGCGTGTTTGTCTATCAGGGCGTCCTGAGACAGGTCCTCGCTCTTCTTGTTGAAGCACAGATTGAGTTCTGTGGACGCGAGGATGTGGGAAAGGGTGCCGAAGCGATGGAACAACATGGCAGTGAACTGAATTACCAAGATGAGGGCAAAGAAGAACACAAAGACAAGACCAATAGGCTCCAGCTGAAGGTATTCCTTGGAGATATGAACCTACATTTGTGGGAAGTGAAAGTGAATTAGAGTGAGATCTCATTAGCCGCTCCTTGTAAGCTAAAGAGGAGAATTATTGTCGTCAAGTTACATTGTTTTGACTTGCTCATTGACAGCATCTCACAAGAGATCACTTAAGATCATTACTTCGTTAATAACTCTCCTCTTCAGTGGGATTTGTTATTTACATGAAAGGAATTATTAGCACATGTTCAATGTTAAAACACAATTAGTGTTTTAAATTGGGCGAAATAAACCATTTTAGCCTGAGGAATTATGTAAAAAAAATTGAATTGATCTATTCTAGGGAATAGTTAAGAAAAATCATGCAACACATCCATTATGACAGAGTTTAACGATTGTCGTATCAGAGTATTTCGTTTCAGTGTGCGCTAATAGGAAGGATTGTTATCAAAAGGAATTGACTTTAGAGAAAGAAACAATCGTGCTTGTATTTTGCGCCTTTAGCATAGAGAGAGTCGTTGAAAAAGCACTTATAATTTGTGTTCTTCTTTTACAGCAAATGTTTTTTTCTTTTATCTTTCGCACAATCAACATTTTGTCCTATTCGGTGTTTTTTTTCTCTAATCCCCATTGAAATAGCTAGAGATGAAAAGTATTTCTGGTAAACAATTGAGTTCTGTGGGCAATTTACAAAATCACTATTTAATTTCATTCATTCACCATATTTGATTAAAGGCCGAAAAGGGGGTGGAATAGCTTCAAGCAATGTTATTATAATTTTGCATGCAGTGAAACGAATGAAATTATTTGTGTCTTTTGTGATATTTAATCGCGTCACAAGTGTGTTTATGAAAGAATTACGTGTAATTTCAGACAGTCAACACAAATTTGCAAGGAAGAGATATTGCTTTGCATTAAAAAAAAATGTCGATAAAAAGCCGCATCCCTTAACAATAAAAGACAGAAGAGAGAAATATAGTGTGTAGGTGGGTGGTATTGTAATAAAATGAAGAGGTTCTCTGTTCTTTGATTGCTAAATTAACAGATTAATAAAAAGAACTGCTTTTCCCGCGAATTGCCAGTGATTAACAGTAAAAAAAAATAAATTAGAAAGGAAGAGAATAAAACATAAAGTAATAAAAGTATTGGGCTTGCAGTGATAAATCATCCAAACCTCAGACGTCTCTTCAATGTAGGTAATATTTGTCTTTACACCCAGCGGCCAATCTACATGTAACTTGTCTTTATTGAGTTGCAGCAGAAACACGATTAGCACGAAAAGTGCGTTGAACATGAAAAAGGCAAACACTGACTTATTTCTCAATTCAATCAGATCTCTGGCGATTCTGGCCTGCATTCGCCGATATTCGCGTTTGGATGCGAAATGAGAAAATCATCACGCATATAGAAGAGAGGAAGAGAAAAAAGAAAAAAAATATGTTAGTTCAATCTAATTGAGAACGGGATCACATGCAGAAATATCGCTGATCATCGAAGATCGGTGGAGAAATGTCTCTCCATCGATCTTGGCTCTCAATCCACCACGACATTACGCTGTGATCCCTTGTGGCTTTACCTCTTGAGTGGTCTCATCATATGTAATATTTGTTTTCACACCAAAGGGCCATTTCACGTGGAGATTATCTTTGTTCAATTGCAGCAGGAAGACAATTAAGACAAAAAGTGCATTTATCATAAAGAATGCAAACACTGAATTGTTCCGCAGATCCTTCAAATGAGTCGCTATTCGGGCCTGTTCGTGGAGATGGAAAAAAGTGGGAAAAGAAGAAATGTGCTTCATTATTATAGGATTGAATATGGGTACAAAACTGCTACCAATGTTGCTCGATCACAAAATACTGCGTTGGAACTTTGTAAAGTGGGCGAGTTTCAAGCCATGATAAATTTACGCTGGCTGAGAAATCATCAGGTGAATCGTCCCATTTGAAAGTAGACCGCTTTACAGAGTCTTCCAACACTAGTAACACTACTTATTAAAAGACATAAATAAATAAATGATCGCTGTTCGCAATCACAAAATGCACTTTTGACGGTGAAAAGAATATAAGAGTTGTGGCATGAAATTGATATGATGATTCCACTGCTTTGACTTACCACTTGCCTTTTCTCTACTTTCTAATATCTCATTTGAGGAATTCATATAAATTGTGATAGAATGATCATGAAATGATGGTGAAAAGGTGACAATACCTGTTCCTCCTTGTTTTGATCAATTGGATAGAGGTATTTGTCGATGAGATCGCGCCAAAATTGAATTTCTGAGCTCGAGAGGAAATCCACTTCTCCCTTCCTCAGCTCCGGGTCTTCGATCCAGTATGGATTTGTGAGGAAATCTCGTTCCTCACGTTGCACCGTGGACGACTCCGAGTCACTATTTTCGCTGGAAGAAGCATCAAATTTTATTGCGATTGCTGTTTGGCATTTGAAAGTCAATTCTACCTCTCATTTTCCGTTCCCTCCGCCACGGAGCCAAGCTGGTGTTCACGTGAACTGGCTGAAGTGGTTCGTCGGCGATGGTGATGATGGTGATGTCCCTGCGGATCGACAACTTTCTCCAGTGTCTCGAGGCGCTTCTGAATGGCATCGAGGGACTCTGAGATGTGGGACAGCTGCGCCTTCTCCTCGGTGGTCTTTCCATGGGTGCACAGCATGCACCTGAACAGCCCGTTGAGCGACACCTCAATGGCACCCTCCTCGTCTGGATTCTGACCCACGCCACCTTGCAAGAAGCCCAGCAGCGATTTCTGCTTAGCACGCTTCGCCGCCTCCTCGGCCTCCTTCTTCTCCTGCTCCAGCTCTTTCTTCGTTTTCTTGGCCACCACCTCGCGCGTGCCCCACGACACGACATTGAGATTGATGATGGAGTAGAGGATGAGCAGGAGGTACATGGAGGGAATGGACAGGAGATAGATAATTCCGGCTGTGACACACCAAAACTCCTGCGGATGGAGGCACGCCGCTATGAAGAATGACCCTGATAAGGCTATCAAGAATATTGCCGATGGACTCCCGATGCCGTCCTCGCCCAATTGAAGTGCCGTACCCACGATTACCGCCATCATGACCAAGGCGTATAGCGTGGACAGTATCTGAGCCACAATCACTTGAATGTTGGATTTGCACGTAAAGCAGACAATCATAAAGAGCATAATGGGTATGATGTTGTAGTAGAAGGAGGTCCAGTTGTCAATCTTGAATGCGGCCACGAAGGCACCCACCAACATGAGAAAGATCGTGCCGGGGCCCAAAATTGTACCACCCATGAGCATCATTTGGTAGAAGATGTAGAGAAGGGAGATGTTGTCGTTTATCTTAATGGTCCTCTTGTAGTCCGTGAGCAGATCCATGATGTTGGCAATTGTGGACGGCACCCAGCGACGCCGTTGATTATAGAACTCCGTGAAGCCCTCGGGACAGTGTGTGTAGGCGTCCGAGGCAGCAGAATACTCCACACGATATCCACGCTGCAGCAGCAATGTGCACAACCATCGATCCTCGCCCTGATCGTACTGCACATAGTGACGAGCCTCGTCAGATCTTGTCGTGTACTTCCTCATCACATTATCGTCCATCAGAGCCTTGCCGCGAAACAGTGAGAAGCATCCAGGACTACACAAGACACAGCCGATCATGTGCTCTGTGGCCTTCTGCAGCCAATGTCCAATGGCATACTCGAACTTCTGATACCACACCATCGGACCAGAGCCAATGGGGTGAATTCGGCCACATGCGGCGCCTAGATTGCGATTCTTCTTCATCAAATCCACCAAGAGAGTCACTGCACTCGGCTGGAAATCGATGTCTCCATCGAGCGTCAACAGATATGTGTTCTCCGCCACCACGTCTTTCCGGTCCACCGATATGGGAAGCTCCATGAGCCGATGACCGAGCAAGTAGTACATGTACATCACTTGAGACCATCGTTTTCGGTGTCTTATGCGATCTTTGTCCTGCAAATAAGGCCGAGCGTGTGAACGAATGCACATTTGCATAATCATACACTCTCAGTATCTCACCTTCAAGTGGGCAATCATCTTTGTCTTCCCGGGCAATGTCCACACGAGACGTCCTCCATAAGGAGTTGGATACTTCTTCGGCGGTCGAATGCGAATGTTGGTTTGATGGACATCCGAAGCGGCTTCGTCAATTGTAGCCACCAACAGCTTCACGAATCTATTGACCTGAATATCGCTGTCGCTGTGATCAGAGATTTCAAAGGCATCGTCGAAGAAAATGTGAGCTGAAAGGAAAACAAAGATAGTTTCACGTCTTCAGAGAGGCCAATGAGAAACTCACTTTCAAACTCATAGTAGTCAGGATCTACAATCCTGAGATATTTCTGAGCCACTCTTCGAGCACACTGGTCTTCATCGAGTCGCAGAATACTCTTCAAGAACTCTATCATCTCATCCTTGGTCTCGTGCCACATGGTAGCGCAGGCGTAGATCCTCGTGATCTGATCAGAAGACTTCACACTGGGTTTCTGCACAGCTGATCCTTCGGTGTGAACGGAGATTGTCTCGTAATACTCATCGCCCTTCTCCTTCTCAATCTCAGCCAAATCTTCCGTCTTCACATCCGCCTGATCGTCTCTTCGGCGATTCAGTGCCATCGATTGATCAATTAGCAGTGCATTGTACATTGGACTCACGAAGAGTTTCTCCGTTGTGGCGAGACGCTCACATTTTGGCGTCCAAATATGCAAAGTGATCCACGTCTGAGAGAGAAGCCATAGAAGCCAAGCCCAGGCCATTTGGCGTGATGCGAAGTCACTTAATCGGAAAACTGGAGGACTGTCGAAGAAGAGGTAGTCAGGAATGGAGCCATGGAAGAAGCAGGGATCGCCATTTCGGATGCCACATGCCGCAATTAGCAGAGAAATCGACACGGGAATTGTGAGATTCACAGGGAAGGCGTAGCTGAAGCCCTGAATTAGGATCTTGCAGGCAAACTTTCCGAAGACGTAGCAGAAGTACGCGGCCAGGACTTGAATAACGATCAAGTAGATCACAGTGTTATAAGATGCGTCCACTTCAATTGTGTCTCCAATTTGTCCAGCATTTAGGAGATCAGGCAGCGCTTGGCTCACAGAGACCACCTCCTCGACGATAATCTTGTGCGGACCGAATCCAGTGCCGAAGAGACTGAAGAAGTTGGCCACGTTCTCACCCTGAATCCACCAAATCAGCAGTACAGAGCAGAAGAATGCGAGAACTTTCCAGATGGAGAGGAAAAGGTAGGAAAAGTATCTAGTCATGCGCAGCTCCTCCTTGATCCTGCCCAGTCCGCGCACGAAGCCAAAGGGACTTTGCGGGGACACATAGTTCTCCCACCACCCGCAAGAAGTCATGAAGGCAGCTATGGGGATCACCCAGAGCACCGGGCGATTCTCCAGCAGTGGCCAGACCACAAATCCCGTGACTTGAGCCGCGATAGCTGCAATGTCCACGATGGCCTTCACGGCACGGCGTCCCTCCTTTTTGGTGCGCGACAGCAGACCCAGAAAACCCGGAACGACGCACAAGCAGTTGGTGAGCATGGCCCCCTTCACGGCGTCCAACTCAGGCAGCACGACGAAGAACAGCAAGGCCAGTCCGATCGTGTGAAGTGTCTCCATGAGGGTGACAAAGAGGAAGTGTGTGGTGAGAGGTCGTTTCCACGACTGCAAAGAGAGAATGAAAGAGAATCAAGGTGTTGAGGAAAAGAACATGTTATCTCGATGGCATAGGCGAAAAGACGTGTACCTTGAAGAAGCATATTCGCATAGATCGGATCAGGGCACCGACCTCAGGGATCGCGAAGACAATCAAGAGCGCCCACGACCACGCCACCCGCTCCTCCTCCGGCAGCGTGACGACAAATTGCTTCTCGCGAGCAATGTCGCGATTGCAATAGGGAATCTTGCGGTCCCTCTGCAACTGCGACGTCATAAATAGAACACAGCCCTTGGCAATGACGCCACCACCCAGCACAATGATGAACGTGAGCAGGTACGCAACAACTTTGAGTATCTTCACAGTGAAGTCCATGCACGCCTGATTGGCCATGGAACCACTGTCCACCTTCACGGGCGGATCCCGGAACACATCCCAGCCTTTTGTCTCATGCACCGTCCGCTGGCTGTAAAGACATACGATCACTCAATTACTTCTCCTTCCTCCATCGTTGCGTGCAATATCACATGCTAGAACCACTTCCTCTTTGCTCTTTTGCAACAATCATATGCCAAAGCTCGCTGCTCCTTATGGAGATTGGAGTTATATCTCATCGGAAAGATCTCTTCTCTCAACAATAAAATTCCATTCCACTCAAATTCTACCATTCATAATTGGATTGTGCAAATCAAGTCTAATTCCATTCAAATTTATTATTTCAACATTGGCGCAAAAAATACCACTTCTCAGTCGATATTTTATAAATAACTCCTATACATTTTGTAGATATGTATACTGTGCCTGTATTTCTCCTATTGCACATTAAATGTTTCACTTCAGTGCAAGAAAAATGCATGGGAATATCGTTTGATAACTTTCTCACCGCAATAAACGTGATTTGAGCACTTTGTGTGCAATGTAAGCTCAATATTTGGCAACTATTTGCGACATTTTATGGCAATTGAAGTCTTCATAAGCACGCAAGAATGACTGTGAAGTCGATTACCGTGGTTAGATCTTTAATTAGACTGAGTTTGCCCAATTCTTAAGTAGACCTTGAAATTACCATATAAAATCTACCCTCAAAGATAACTTTGGGCACTTTCTCTTCTATATCATAAATTCAGAAAGATTTATGATCGATTCATCTCAGTGTAAACAGAGTTTTCAATAATGTGAGAAAAAATATGATTCCTCAATAGGTGAAGTATGTAGAACAAGAAAGTGTGTTTCAACATCGTCTCCCTTTCTTTCTTCGCAACCAACACCGTAATTTAGTATCTCACGTGTAGGAAAAGTGAAATAAATGATCTCTTTAGCAGCACAAAACTCGTTTCGATGGTGTTTTGCATGAGAAATTCTCTTGATTATCTCAATGTCTTACTTGACTAACGCCAGGGAGAGAAATTTCCAAGAGCGTTTGCGGTTTTATGGCTCCATCTGTTCGGGATTTGGTCATCGGCCTACAAGGTAGTTTACTCTCCAAATGAATCACGGGACAATGCGAATCATTAAATTTCCCCCTCTGACGAGCACCTCCAGGAATTTCCTACGGATCTCTCCCACTTTGATGGAAAATGATCGAGATATGGTGGGTGATAAATCAACAAGGAGTTTTACGACCTCTTTGCCTAACGACAAATTGGCTGATCTGGAAAATCAATTAAACCCCATTGCTCTACCGCACAGTCTCCAGCACATTCTAATGTTCTCCTTAGGCAAGTCATTGTCTCCACTTTTGCCAAGACTTTTGCTCTCAATATACAGTCACCAAGAGAGAACACAGTCGCAATCAATAGCATTTGCCGCCAAGATCTTGTCGAATAAATGAGAATGACGACGTTGACGGCGGGTAAGAAACGCTATTATGTGCGATATTCGTGTGTTTGCCACAAGCTCAAGTATGGTGAAAGTAATGTAATTCATTTTCAGCTGAATTTCTTGTGTGTTGGAGATTTGAGCGACATACACCGCTGCCCTGTTTCTTCATGAAGAGCTTTGCGCAACTCTGCGATATACTTTTTTCCTGTAAAAAGCCCCCAACAGAGTGCAATTTAGAAGAGACGCGCGATGGAGAAAAAGAGTCTCATTGCAACAATGTATCTAGCAATTAGACACTTTAATTATGTGAACTGCTTTATTGTACAAATATAAGAAATTCCTCACGTGGCCTCCCTCCCTCTCTAATCCCTATCATTTGCACAGTTCTCTCGTTACCCACCCATATTGGATATCGAATTGCGGTGCTTTGATTAAACTAAACACACAGCTTTTGTCCATTTACCAGCGACAGTTTCCAGCGCGCGCGCAAGATCCAAGAAATCCACTGGTCGACCTCCTAGAGCTCGTTTGTGGCATAAATCGGTTCCGGCCTTTCGAATTTTCTTATAAACCAGTTTTTGAGCAATATCCAATTGAATATCAGCCACCGCTTAAACTCGATCATTGTAAAAATTGTGTGACGCTCTGACTGACTATTTGCAAAAAAATGTCGATTGATCTTTTACATTTTGGCATGTTGATCAAGAAATCCAGCTATCTTTCACACTCCCGCATCAGAGAATCAGACTCACTGGGGAATTTGAATGTTATATTTCGTCACTAAAACCCATATTCGATCGTAGACTATTACGTCTTATGCGAATGATGAAAGTAAAACTGATTAATTGGATGTAATACTTTTATCGTGAGTACAAAATCGGAAATTCAAAAACATATTCAATTTATTCACGTAATTGCACATTAATTTAAAGTACAATAACGTTTCTTCACGTATGCAATGACTGGCTGTCAATAAAAATGTGCCCTCATAACGAGGAATTTGCATACAAATTACACTTATTGTAACTGGTTTTCGCGTTCCAAAAACATAGATCATGCACTGGACTTCAGTCCGTATTTTCATGAAGTTTTTAGGGAAATGTATATAGTTATGTACATACAAATGTAGTGTGTTGCCTAGAGAGGATTTAAATGTTACAAAAATCAATTTTATTAAATACACCACCTCAATTATAATCCGTTTAATGGTAGTCATTTTGTTAAATTTCTCTTTTGCGTTTATTTCCCTATTATTCGCCATTCATTAAACAAAATGACTACATAATGTATGTAATAATTACTACATTAATTCCTTCCCGAAATATTACTATGTTCGAAGAGAAACGAGAATTTCCTGAGCAAAAACCACTACCACCCATGATGATTCACGAATAAAAGAAGCCCAATGCAGACATCTATTGTCCGATGAGACATAACTCCATGGGTTGGCACTGTTGCGGGTCTGACGCCACGCCAATAAAAGTGAGTCTTACCTGCCGCCGTAGATGTCATGGGTCAGCGGAGTGCTCTCATCATCGGAGAAGTTATCATCGCTGTCCCCACCATTGGCCGCTGATCCCAGCAACGGCCGATGTCTGATGGCAGACATCTCCGCGTGCTGTGGTGAGAGCCTGCGAAAGAGCAATTAATTGACCTTTAATTTTTCCACACATCAAATATTCCATCCTCTTCCGTTCTCTATTCTCAGGCATACTTCTCTCTTTCTGCCTTCAGACGACTCGAAAGAGAAAAAATGCATGTGTCAGGAGGACAAAAAATTCTACCTCTCTTAATGTCACGAGTTATTTTTATATGCGAACTTTAGCTTTTGCCTTCGTGATTTATGTTGGAGCTATTAACGCCTATTTATGTGGAAGATAGACATGTGTGAGCAGGGAAAGAAAAAAGAAGAAATATACCAAATAAAGAGGCACATTATAGAGTCTTTCTCTCATTTTTCCGTAGTTACAGTGACTCTTCAGCCACTCTCAGTGCTCAATATTGAGAGAACAAGAAAACGCACGCGATTCTCTAGCAATGGCTATGAAAAGTAAATGTGCAGTTGAGCACCATCCTACGCTTTTCTTGAAATCACATGAAATCCGTCTCTCATGAGCCACACAAACATTGAACTCGCGATGCTGTCGTGGTCAAATGAAGGGAATTAGTCCCATTCTCAACTCCTCTGGCATTCTTGTGGTGCAATTCAGCCATTGGTACATGCGAGAGGAGTGAGTCTTGCTGCGGCCCCAGGAAATAATAAAAAGTGTCTGAATTGTATTTTATATTATTTCATATATGCAACAATTTACTGACAAGGTTGTCTCACGACAGTGCTAAGCTGATGGGGGGATTTCTGATTAAAAGGGAGTGGTTGGCAATTGAATGCGAAAAGGTTGGAATTCAACGGTTATTTTCACATATTGACTCTCTTTTTCACGCCGACCCCGCGTCAATTGCGCGCCTTTTTGCATTATGAAATATCTTTGCAATTTCCACTGAAGGTTGAATTTTGACGAAAGGTCCTACAAACTACATATTTTCGGTGCGGTTCGCCTCTCTTTTTATCTGTCCACAATCGAGGATATTTTTCTCTCTCTCACTCTCTAGTTTCGGCTGAATGTTACGTTTTCAATCACTTTTGTTCAAGTGCTTTAGCATTCTTGAGAATTGAGTTCATTTGTCAGGGCATTACAGCCACTTTTGACTTTTACGAGATTTTTGACCCTCCATCGCGACTCTGGCATTTGGTAAAGCACCTCATCAGCTGAGAATCATTCTCGCATTGAGAAGACTCACACGCCAGTGCATTTCTACATGCGAGATTCAACTACACTTGGACCGTGAATGTGTTATTTTGTCTTCTTCACGAGTGTGATGATGAACCTGAGGAATGGAAAGCATTGAAAAGTAAAAAGAACATCACAACTCCATGAACCGTTTTCTTGCATTATATTTACGTTTAGTGTGCGCCTCTTTTTCACTCCCTCCATCGCTCTTTTTTCACTTTCAAGGTGACTCAAGTCGAAATAATCTCGAAATATCCAAATTGAGAAATGCGCCTCCATGTGTCAGTATAATTTTTGGGATGTGGAAGCTTGTGCTACGAAAAATTTGTATACAATGGCAAGAAAATTGGTAACAATTTTGTTACACGTTGGGAGAATATTCATTTTGGGTGCTTATTATTATTATTATATGTATATTGTGATGAGGTGGCCTCATTTTTACGGATGGAACAATTTAGTCTCATAATTTTGGGGAGAAAATGAAAATTTACGAACGCATTATATGGTTTTTTCTTACACATTTCAATGCTGCGAAGCTTTCAAACGCAGAGTCACATAAAGAAAATGTAGAAAATGCTAACGCACCTCTTTTTTCTTCTAACAAACTCATGCATAAATCAAGATCTTGCACCTTCTTAGGGATATTAATTCAATGATTTCCTCAATTAATTTCTTTCTTCTCCAGCCACACCAACAGCTTCCACTAATACCTCTTGCTGTCCTTGGTGAGCACTAATCAGGCACTTTTCATAATTTCACACCAACGGTAATTTCAATATTTATAGGTCAACATTCTTACATCAAGACACCCTCAAATTTGCTTTTCTCGCTGCAGCGAATTTTGTTACCTCATTGCCTTATTAATGAAACATGAGAAAAAAAATGCTCCGTGATCAAATAATTTCCTCAATTGCACGGTGAACGATTAGCAATTGAAGAAAGTACCAAGTGATGTGTTGCAGAAAAAAAACAGAATTGAATAACCTGCATTAATTGGCAAATATTCAACTCTTTTTTTGGGAGCATCAACCATTAATGCTGCCTCCACGATAATTTATTGTGAGACGGAGGAGAGTCTGGATCAATTTTCAAATGCGAGAATGATTTCTTCATCAGGAAAGTTGGTTTGTGAGTCTTTTTTGGGGCAATGACTCCTTCAATCTGGTCATCTTCCGTGTGTAAACAATAAAATCAGAAAAACAGAGAAATATTAAGAGGACTGCGGTGAATGACTTTAAGAAATTATACAGTTTTTGACTCGCGAATTGTACTACGCGATGTTGACAGTAAAAAATGGATTATGTAAAGAAATAGCAATAAAAAGCCACTTAGTTAAACAAGGAAAAGACTTTTGCAGAAAATTACCGAACTCTGGCAAATATTTGTCAACATATTCGGCATATTAAAATAACAACTCTTGTCGGCGGACATTAAACATTTTATGAATTTCTACAATAATCCAATATAACCACTATCTAAAGTCATTTATTTCAATAATCTCAAGAATGCTTAATGTGTTTTTGACTCAAATTTTGATTGAGTTCCAGTGAGGAGGGCAAACTGAGCAACAACATTGGGCAGAAAAAGTGAGTTTCTCCCAACGTTTCTGCATATCTCCACACTTCACATATGATTCTTTTTTTCTTGTCATGAGAACCAGAGACGGAAGGAAAAGTCCCATGGGAAGACCTTCGCCGTGTAAAACTTCTTTGAGAAGACATTAAAAGCATTCAATGGGCATAATTTAATTGAATTATTGTGATTGTGAATGATATGCACAAAATATACACTTTATATGCATTATGTTGAGTGTATTATTGCGGCGGCAGAGAGACCAAGAGAGTCGAAATGGAGACAAAAACGACATGCGGAGGAAAATATTATTAAAAATTGAATACAAGGTTAGAGAAGAAATAGGCGGCGCACGCAATGGTGTGGGGAAAATCGTCGTTGATTTTCTACAGCTTCAATTTTTACACGTGGAAATGTGCATGAAGAATTTGGCAAGTTCACTAATTGCCAATGGACAGTATTTCCTCTTCTTTCACATTCAATTGTCACCACGAAATTTCCATTGCGCCACCATTCAGGGGTTTCCCACTCCGCATCAAGATAGCATCTGCTGTCGCCGATGCCTCGAAGATAAATTATTTGTGCCATTTGCAGATCGTGCAATTTTGGCAAATTTCTCACGAAAATACACAATGATTTATTGATCTCAATTTGAATTGGAACCAATTTGAATACAAGATTGCACCAATTTTTCCCTCATCTTCACATAATCACAGAAATAGAGGTGAGAAACTCTTACAATGAAGTCGTTATCCAAGAAACTGTGTTACATGAGATGATAATAATGGAAAAAGTGAAAGAAAGTCTCGTGAAGTGGAAGAGCAAATTGTCAAAAAAAATTGTAACACGCGGACTTTGGATATGAGATTCAGTTCAGATGAATTGTGTCTGTTTCATAGTTCAACATTCCAATGCTTCTGTGGGCCCTTAAAATACCGTAAATTACGTGACAATCTTATTATGATTATAACTTTGTAAAAACAATGCAAAATAATTCTTCAGTAATTACTAGAAAATCCCGACGCGTTACAGCAAAATCAATTCATTTTGTTGCAATTTCCTGGGGAAATCAAATAAATGAGCGAACACGGTGTTTACAAGCAACTGAATTTTAGCCGTGTTTCTCTTTACGCTAAATCACAAACAGACATCAATGCTCGCAAGTGACGAACCCGTGCCAGCTTCTGCCCAAAACCACTGTCTTCGTCATCGGAAATACATTCAAGACGCGCGATTGTGGGTGTATATGCGTGATAACGGCACGTTGGTCAATCGCATGGTAGCCACGCAAACGACAAAATGTGTCTTTTTCACTCTCTGGCATTTCTTATGGGGCCGAAATTGTATAGAGAAAATATAATGAATGAATTGACCTGATTTTTCATTTGGCAAAGCCGCGAACAGTTCAATGGTATTTTTCTTTCATTTCCACTCAACACCTCAAACGAAATGTGATATATTAGCAATTTGCAATAAGTACTTTCGGACATTGAAGCAATGCGTGAAACTATTGCACATTCTTTTCCTTCGCTTCTCATTTTTTTTTCCTCTTCTCTCTCGCCGCTTTAAATAGTTGTAACATGCAATGATACATATCTGGGTTAGGAAATTCACTCATTTGCCGACTGGAAACTGAAGAAGAGTGAACAAGAATTGAGAAGAAAAAAGCTATTTATAGCAATTAATCTTCACTAGCTGGCGTATAAATATTGGCATCCAGCCTTGAGATTTGTCTTGTCTTGTGTCTTTTCTCATCTCGCAAGACGCGCTCCGAGGGGGGAAAAATACACACAAGAGATCTCGGCAGGAGATAAAGCTCATAAACATTTTCACTGCAATGATCATAATTTCCTTCAACTCCCAGTTTTTTTCCCTCCTCTTCTCTTGAAGCACTCTTGGTCAATCGCGAGACAAGGATACTGGACAATGGACAAGCTGACACACGAGGAAGAGTTCCATCGTGAAGAGAATCATTGGGCCATTGTATTTCTTTGTTGGGCACACATCGAGAAAAGTGGGTACGCTTTGATTTCCACTGTCGAATATTGCAGAAATATCCGCTGAGGATTTCTTTTACAATAAAATCAAATGGAAAACGTGTATTCAAGTGTAGTGTTATATGGCTTCTCACTCACCTACTTGCTGTTGTTGGTGTATTTCACGGTTTAATGATATTCCTTTCACAATTCCGACTCTTGGCTCTTGAATGTGTATCCACCATCAGCAGCGGCAGTGTGTCCAACAGAAGTAATTCAACACGGCAATATAATACATTCAAGAAGGCTCGCTTTTCTTTTTCCTCTCTCTCTCTCTATTTTGCTCTGCGTAGTTTTTAGTGGAAAAAGAAGAAAAAGCCACACATCACTATTGCTGTAGGAGAATTGCAGTGTTTTTTATCCTCTCTCAATCTCCTCCACAGAGTAAACTCTCTCTTTTTTTCCTATTCAAAATCAAACAAGTCACACACAAATTCACTGAATTTGAATGTTTGATGAACAATTCAAATATCAGGGTCTGCAGAGTGAACTATTGAATGAAGAAATCTAATATTCAACATATATGAAGAAATATTGAATCACAACGCCAATGAAACTCTCGCAATTGAAAACTGTGGATACACTACGAGTTGGTAAAAATCCACTCAACTTTCACACACTTTGCAATGGATATTGGAACTGAAGAAAAGGTGTTACGAAAAGCCACTCAACTTCACCTCACCTTGTGAATATATTCCAGCAATTTGCACCACCAGAAGACTCCCTTTTGGCGGGTGAAAGTGTCGAAAAGATCTGAAAACTGTCCGACTTGTCGCCAGCTCGCTGGAGCAACGAGACTCCCAACAGAGAGACAGACCTTTCAGACTTGTCCCACCACTCAAATGTGTGATTTGGGCACCGTGTGGAGCACGTCCGACTTCGGGTTTGTTTCTTGAGCAACTGAACGAGTCTTTCGTTGGCCGTGCATTTGGAGCCCGCGAAGAGTTTCTATTTGCCATGGCGTCTGTGTGTGGTTGATTGGCCTGCACAGGCCGCTGGTGTGGAGAATGTCGACTTTTCTTTTTGCACACACACGCTCGCCACGCTGCAGACTTGTGTGCCATCGAGAGTGATAGATCAGCGCTCAGCAGATGAGTGAGTCACATCGGCTAATATAATTCGTGAATCAACCTGCAATTATTTATGGGAATCAATGGAGAAAAACTATCGCAAAAAGTGACAGAGATTGAGGGAAAACGAGAGCAATCACTTTGCTGTTTTTTCACCCTTTCTCATAAGACTAGCAGATGAACCAGACGCTGCGTGAAATATTTACAAAAGCGCTGTACATATTGACTTAATTACTATGTTTCAATGCTATAGGTCAATTTAGGCAAACAGTGTAATTAATCAAACATGTCCTTTCCAAGATGATGTTCACTTTTCCTCATTCATGTCACCAAAATATGGGAAACTTTAATCTATTATGAAGACACACAATATAACAAGTACAGGAAAATCTAAGAGCACAGGAAACTTACCAAATTTATTAGGGAATTCTTGAATTCTTAGAGTTGTCTCTAAAACAGTCTTCTTTTGCCTTTTTGTCTCCCATTCATAAAACCACAAAAGATTGCCACTTGCCGACTCTAAATACTCTCGCTGTTGTGGTTTTTTGCTTTACGGATGGAATATCCAACTGTTATTCATCAAGAGTATTGAAATCATCGTCTGGATCATCAACAAAATATTCACGAAAAAGACACAAAAAAAATCGTACTCATAATTGCTTTAAAAGTGCCTGCCAGGACGAAAAGAATCTCCTTATACGCAGAACCCTTATATGCCAAATTTCTAATGCAATTTTCAACATTTCTATATTCCCACTGAATCTATGGGTAACTTAAACATTTTTCTCCTTTAATATCAAAGTTATTATACTGAAAACGCCGAAAATCTTCGTAAATAAAACCAAAAAAAAAACAGTCACAAAACGAGTGAACATACGAATATAAATAAAAGTGAAGTTAGTTGAAATTCATAGTGACTTCCCAACTTTTCCGCTGCGTGGCAGTATGGTCGCAAAACAAAAGGCTGTCGCGTTCGGTGATTTTTAGAGGAGGATTTTCTCCTACAAAATACAGCAATTTAGGTATAAATATAGCGAAAAGAACATCGTGCAGTCATGACAAAGTGTTTAGCAACGATGGTGTACATAGTACTTACGGCTCTGGTGTGCAGCCTGGGCGGAACGGAGGGTGAGTTTGAGCGCACATGCCGTGGTCGTTTGTGATTGGTTGTTGTCATTTTCTTCCGGACTCCAATAATGTTTTCCCCCCATGTCCTATTTTTCAGCTGTCCGGGCCAAGTTCGTCACCTGCGGATCGGTCCTCAAGCTTCTCAATGTTGCCTACAATATGCGACTGCACTCTCATGACGTGAAATACGGCACGGGATCAGGTCAACAGTCAGTCACGGCGACAGAGATTCAGGAGGACGCCAACAGTCACTGGATTATCAAGGCTAAAACCGGCAAAATGTGTGATCGCGGTACTCCAGTGTCATGTGGAGATATCATCCGACTGCAGCACATGACCACGAAGAAGAACCTCCATTCTCATCACTTCGGCAGCCCTCTGAGCGGGAATCAGGAGGTGTCTTGCTATGGCGACGATAATGGTAAGAGATTGCTTTCGATATTAATTTCCATATCAATTAATGGAGTGTTTATACCTTGCTCAGGCGAAGGAGACACTGGAGATCACTGGGAGGTAATCTGTTCAGGAGACCACTGGCACAGGGACTCTGCAGTAAAGCTGAAGCACGTGGATACGAATATGTATCTCGCTGTGTCTGGCCGCACATTCGGTCGCCCCATCAATGGCCAAATGGAAGTGATGGCAATGACCCAGCCACGAGGTGAGGGTGACTGGAAAGCCGCCGAAGGCATTTTCCTTCACGCCAATGATGTCAAAGACCATTCTTATGCCCACACCGAGCTCTAAAGCACACTACCACTAATTAACCTCCCCTGAGGAACTGTGTGAATCGTGTGAATGAATGTGAATTTATTATTAAATTAATCAGACGAGAGTCGAGTTTTTCATCCTTATCGGCCAACTTTGCCCAGCTTTGTGTCCGTGCGCGGATCAGCAGTGAGATTCTGGACGGCCACGATGGTTTCATTGATTGCCGTCTGAAGGTGACGGACACTTTGGATCTGCAGTAGACGCAGAATTCGAGCCGCTTGCTCCAGATCAGCATCTGAGAAGCCAACTCCGTGAGTTGTCTCCAGCGGGAAGGGAGCATTGTCCAGCAATGATTCCTTCATAGCCTCATTGCTTAGGTGGTTCTGAACCAGTCGCGCGACAGCCTTCAGTGTGACCATTGTGTCCGGATGATAAGGGATTTGCAGGCGTTTGGCCAGTGTCCTCACTCCGGCCTCGAATTCTTTACTGGTAACTGTGAACACGAGGAATTAGAATACTATTGGAATACTTTGCCTCAACTTACAATCCAACTTGTCGAAGGGGTTCGTGGATTTGATGCTCGGTGCTTTGGGTTTTGCTTCTTCCAGAACGAGATCCGCATTCACTGCCTTGTACTTATCAACTAGAGAGGAATTTTTACATTCATTACAACGATTTATTGAATATTGTGGAAATTATCACTCACCATTGTCAAAGTACTCAAGACGGATGGCGTAGCCCATGATCCAGGCCAGCTCTTCCAGGTGATTCTTGAGTCCGGAGGGAACTTTGAGGTCCACCTTGTACTTTGCATAGGCCGCATCCCATTCTGCCGAGTCGATCTTTCTCAGTTCCGCTCTGTCTTCAATCTTGTAGTGACGGATCTTCTGATCCTCTAGCCACAGCAGAGTGCTCCGGAACTGCTTAGGATCTGTGAAAAACATACTGAATAAGATAATTCTGTCACGCCGGCAACTCGATGCTTACCTTCACAATTTACAGTTTCAGGCGTCGGATGATCGAGTGCGCAAAGTTTTACCTTCAACATTCTTATCTAATTGAGGGATTTATTTCGAATAATCAAGTATTTTATCAAATTTTGATAAATTTGGTAAACTTTTCGGCTTTTGCACGTCACTGAGTTTCTTATTATTCCGCCAGAGTGCGTGAACCCGGCTGTCTCGCTCCCATGTTCTAATAGCGCAATTTTATGCTATATGCGTAGCTGTGCTGTCGGTTTTGAATTCCTAATACTGTCAGTTGATTGTTGATCACAATAAATTCAATACCAATTGAATTGATTATATTCAATGCTTGAAGGTAATTTTAAATATGTCCCAAATAATATAATTATTGTGGATTTAGAATTTATTGATAAATGAATAAATTTCGGTCCTAGGGCAGTAACAATCTTGGGCAGTGCATTCTTTCCCATGCTAGTGTTGAAGAAGAAAACTCTTCTCAAATAGATCTTGAATGACTAACAACCGCTTTGCCCATGCAGCGCCTGTAAAAAAAAATCCATGTAACAAAAAGTACAAATAATCAGGAATGTATCTTACTAAATGTGCAAAACTAGAACATGTGCAGATGTTGCTGGATAATTGAAATAGTCCTGACCAGGGGGTCACAAGCGTCGAGTAAATTCAACTCAAATGCACTTGAATATGTGCTTCTTGAGATGTCGTCTATCGAAGAATATTGAGTTGCACATGTGACATTTGAGAGTAACTGATGGCGGATGGAATTTTCTTCGATGAGCAACTAATGAAGTTGCGTGGTAAAACGTTGCTGAGCACAGAGAACATCTCGCGACTTTCTTCTTCAAATGATGCTTATTGATATGACGATAACGTGTGAGACTGTGAATGAACTTTTCGCCACAGTACAGACATTCGTAGCGCTTCTTCTTCAAATGCACTGTTATCATGTGGGCTCGGATAGTGCGTCTAGAAATAAAAGATTTTTGGCATATATCACAGATGAAGGACTGATTTTCTAGCTGTTTATTTTTATGACTCGCCATATGGCGTTTCCAGAAGTACTTCCACACCTCCTTCTTGCAAATATTGCACTTCACTTTTCTCTTTGGGAAATTTTCCTCTGAATCCACATCATCGTTGGTCTTCTTGTGCATGCGCTTTATATGATCATTTGCATAATATTTCACAGTGAAAGTTTTACCACAGATATGACAAGAATATTTCTTGTTGGATGCTTTATTTTGATGAAGTTCCAAATGTCTAGCAATATTGATGGATTTTATGTGAATCCCACAAACTTCACACTGTTTATATGTTTTATCTCTAATCTTCTCTGGAAATTGTGCTTTCTTCACTCTCTGTTTAATTTTCTTTTGAGTTTTTCCGGTATCTTTAAAAGTTGCCTCCAAAATTGGTACTAAATATGTTGTATTCTCATTATTATAGTTATGCTCAGTATTGTCAGAGAGAATGGGATGATTTTCTGTTGAATTTAATTGGAAATCCTCTCTGCAGGGGCCACAAATGATCTCGTTTTCTCCCCCATTTACTGAACTACAATTCACTTCAGTCAATTCCTCTCCACACTTGCTGCATTTCGTCCAACTGTCTCTCTGCTCTTCATGAATATTTAGAGGATTTAGATTTAGAGGTATTTCGAGAGGGACGTTATCGATGAAAATATGACACTTTGGATAAATGTTAAGGCTAGCTAGGCCATCGTAAGAATTGGCAGACATTTCATTCTTTGGCACTGCATAAGAATTTGTGAGAGTCTCGGAAGTGTATTCAATCACGGCATTTTCAGAGTCACCCACATTCGTATAATTGAATTGATCATTTAATTCAATTACATTCTCAGTGGCATTTGATGCAAAATTGAGATCGCCCCTCTCGTCAGCGTTGTCGATGCTCAATATTTCCGGGACTGACGATATGAGATTGATTTCCATTTCCTGTGGCTGCGATAGGGTATTTAATTCAATTATGCGCTCCAATCTGCTACTCTCGTCGTTGTTAGAGAGATTATCTATTTGAGATTTGGCTTGTATGATTAGAGAAATTTTTATTTCAGCCTCGAGGCACTTCATTTTAAACTTGTAGGCACAAATCATTTGATATTCACAGTCACGGCAAATTACGAGGGGATATTCCCTGTGCTCCTCGAGAACAGTGCCAAAATAGGAGTAGATATGTCGATAGGAGACATACTGGAATGACGCTGTGAGGATGTTTGTGAGAAAATCACTGGGTTTTGGCTTTAGGCAGATTCGACAAGGATCCATTTTCAGATATATTTCCTTGTTGCACACAAATGAGGCACTGACGATGATTTTTCACTCGCAGAGACAGAAACAAAGTGTCCTCTTCGCTGGATAGTGGCTAGAAAACTGGTGAAATTTAGCAATCGATCTCAATAAGCTCCGCTTCAATTGAATTTGATTACAGGATGTACAGTGATGTGATGAGTGACGGTTGGATTAGGCGCCAAGAAAGTCACAGCATGACTCATTTTCATCCCGGTGGACTGTGCCAGTGCAAAAGAGCAATGCCCGCTGGGTTGTGCTGTCATCAATTGCTAACTTCACGATTGTTGATATTTTGGAAAAACACGTGTTTTCGCAGCTTAGGTAATTTTCACATTTTTCACCAATATGAGTGCTGTGAAATCATCTGTGACGGTCGAAGGTAAGCATATCTGTCCGATGTATCACTCTGCAATAAATACAAGCATACATATTTGTTGTTTCAGAGGATTTTCCAGATCAGAACGAACCAATAATCGCGGACGAGGATGATGACCGTGATGGAGACATTTCTGGCTCAAATTCCTCTGATGGTGAGGAAACTGAGAAAAAATCAGGATGGGCAGACTCAATGGCACGTGTTCTGGCTGAAGAGAAGCCTAAAAATAAATCAACGGTGATCTTCGCCAGAGCAAAGAAAGAGGCGAAGGATAGCGAAAAGAAGAAGCTGTCATTTGAGATTGAAGGGGAAATCAAGCCAGCCGAAAAGAAGCCTTCAAAAGAAGAGTTGGATAATGAGGTTGCTCGGGTGAAGAATGAACGTTTGGACAGGAAGCGAAAGAGGGAGGCTTTACGGAATCTCAGTGTTCAGCCCGATATCACAGAAAAGTCCCGAGAATTGGCTCTGAAGCGCGTAGCAACCAGAGGAGTTGTTCAGCTCTTCAACGCTGTCCAGGCGCAGCAGAAGGACATCTCAAAGCGTCTGGAGACAGAAAAGTTGGAACACAAGAGAGAAAAGGTGCTGAAGAATGTGAACAAGACAGCTTTTCTGGATGCTCTGATGGGAGGCCCTCGCGCCAAGTCGGAGCTCATAGATAATCCGGTGAAGAGTGAAGATGTCAAGGACGAAGATGAGGAGAGTGATGAGGAGCCTGGTCGGCCGTCGACTTGGAATGTACTGCGAGATGACTTCATGGTGCCGTCAAAGAAGAACAAAGATTGGGACAAGATGGACGAGGAAGACGCGGAGGATGACAAAAGGAGCGAGCCGGAAGACAATGAAGACTCTAATGAAGAGAGTGATTAACGAGATGAATATATTTTATTTGATAAGCAGCGTGTGTTTGCCAGAATGCTGAAGAATCTGCTGTGGAGCCGTGGGATAAAGTGTGACCGGGAGATTCCAGATCATCGTCTCGATCATGATGTCTGTGGGTGCTTGCCAGCTGTCTCCCTTGATTTCAATCAACTTCACATCCTCACTGGCGCTGGTGACAAACTCAAAGTGCAGCTGCCACCGGATGTCCACGAGTTCCGTGGTGAATGTGGGTGTCACGTGAAGTGGGATGGGCAGAATCATCTGCGTCTGCTTCAGGCCCAAACACACTTCGTGGTGTTTTGTAAAAGCCATGATTTTACCTGTTGACGTGGGCTCTGCTTCTGCTTGGGTGCCTTGAGTTTGTGGGCTCTTCTTCAGCAGAATCTCCTCGCATTGGAGAGTCACGGATACTTGGATGCATCTCACGGTGCGACAGGTGAAATCGAGAGTGCCCACAATATCCTCGCCCAACTTGTAGGCTGGCTTGAAGAGACAGAAGCGCCCCACTGTGCCGCGCTTATTGGAGATGAGATAGAAATTGGGACGACGACGTGCAGTGATGTTTTGCAGGTGATGCAGAGCTATTTCCAGTTTCGATTCGGTCTTGCGCGTCTCCAGGAAGGGATTGGTTGGCGCCAATTCCTCATTGGTTTCATTGCACAGCGCCGGAACGTCATCCGGACGAATAACCGTGGGCATGGGAAGAACCCTGATGGGCACTCTGAGAGCTTGCACTTTAGAGCCCAGACGTTGAGTGGCAATGGTGATTTTGTAGTAGTATTTTATAGCTGTTCCTTTGTACGTGGGCGGACAAGACATTGGAAGGGATTCTCTATAGAGATCTACGGGTAAAAGAGAAACTTCAAAGAGAGAAAAAGCTAGGAAACACATAGCGAAGAACTTACATGATTTCGTCTCTCCTGGCGCCAATCGAAGATCACAGAAGAGGATTTTGGGACTTGTGGCCATTACAATGTCGCCTTGGCCCTGGGTGGCAGCCGTGAGGGATGTATCATTGGTCAGTGAGTCTTGATTTGATCTCTCTTGAAACACAGAATTGCAATAACAATGGATCTGAGCTGTTGCCCAGGCAAGATTCTCCAGAATGTCAATGTTGCTCTGGGCAATTTTGTGCTCCGGCAGTGAGGGATTCGTGAAGGAGATGAAGCACTCAACTACCTCTCCGCACAGAAACACTGGGGTTTGTTCCCGTACCAATTTTGAGGTGATTTCGATCATCTTGACCACAAAATTCGTCACAGTAGACTGAAAACAAAACAGGCAAACGTGTCAGTCACTTTCCGGAAACCTACCCCACTCAATGTGTTCGCATTTCAAGTGTAGAAATTGTCTGTGGCTTTCATGTAGTGTAATAAATTGGTGGGGAAAGAAAATGGGAAATGAATTGAATATGAACAATGATTTTTCTACACGAGCATATAAAGAAGGCATTTCTCCTCTTTTCCCCCTCTTTTCGATAACTCAATTCCGGTTTTCGGAGTGTGGATTGAACGGGTGTGGAAGTTGTTCAGGAGGAAGCCATTTGTGGAAGTGTTGTGGAATTTACCGTGAGTGTCGTGGGTTCGGCAAAGAGTATTTTGTAAGTAAATGGCGATTATTAGTTGATTTTCTGCCGCAGTACTTACTTGGGATCTCAGTGGTCATCTGTGCAGGCAGTGGGTGTGTGCAGCAGGTACCCCCGGGGGGATATATGGGCCACGAGACGTGCCATAGCAAACATTCCACTTCGCGGAGATTTTTCGTCATGGCGTTTTCCTAAAATTGTCACGTCGACGAATTTTGTTCTGGACAAGCTTGTCTCAATTTGCCCACTTTCTCTGCATTTTCGCGTTAGTGGCAGTCACCTTCGGTACCCTTTTGTCTCGCCATTGTCCTGTGGGGGGAATTAATTGCGCCAAGAGGGCCCCAAAGTGACCATTCGCCGCCAGACGGAAACTCCCATTTGTGAGAGGAATTCTCGGTGTTCCGGTTCTAATTGTGCGGTGCATTTGTCTTTGCAATTGCAGTTTCGTTTGATCCAGCCAGGCGTCGTGGACGAATAATGTTATAATGGAATTCTACGTGTATTTTGTAATTGCGGTCGTTATCCTGGTTTCGCTGGCGACGTCCCTCATCATTAGTAAGTTGCCGCGTGGAAAGACCTTCGATGAGGTGCTGAGCGAGAAGAAGAAGTTCGCGGAGAAGCTGTATGGGACGAGCGGCGGAAAGCGGGCCCAGAAGGGCAAAAAGCTGCCGTCGAATGTGAGCAAGAAGGGCAAGGAGAAGGCCAAGGCCTCGGCTGCCAAGGAGGCGGAGACCGCGACCACCTCTCAGGAGGACTCGGTGGACAATTCCAGCGAAAAGACCTCCTCCCCGAAGTCCCATGTGGAGTTCAGCGAGGCGGAGGTCATCGCAGACACGGATTCTCCCCGTGCGAAGGTAAATCCGGGGGATTAGTGGCTCCCAAGTGGGCGATATGGCTAATTGTTGGCATTCCTCCCGACAGAAGCAGTTGGGTGTGACGAGTGGAAAGAAGAGTGGCAAGAAGAATGGCGGCAGCAAGGCGTCCGGAACAGGAATTTTGATAAATAAATCTGAGACATCCGCCGTGAAGAGCACAGTTGCAGTGGAGCCGATGAATCATTTTGAGCAAATACACCCGAAAGACGATGCTGAAATGCTACGAGCGGCCACTCATGTGCGTATTCATGCAGAGAAAGTACATGAGACGGGTGGAGGCGTAATTAAAACAAATATTAATTTTACAGAAAGATGAGTCCGCGGAGAGCAATAGAGTCCAACTCGGCACCAGGGGCGATAAAAGTGCTGCGAACAGAGACAACAAGAAAGGTAAAACACATTGTAGCATCTTTTTTATATGACCATCTCTTGCCTCATCTGCCACGCTCGCGCTCGTGAGTGTGTGATGTTGTGTAATCTTGCACTCGGGATGCACTTGCACACTCTTTGACATCATGAGAATGATCAAAATTTCATTCTGTTTTCTACGAGCTGTTGTCTCTAAAAATAGGCCTAGTGCGTCCGGCAGACTCGTGGTTTTTTTTTTCTTCTTTTCTCTCTCCGTGTTTACACTATGCGTAATAGTTTATTGACTCAGCGTCCCTAACGGTTGCACCGCGAGGTACAAATAAGTTGCCGCAGTGAAGATTATATTGAGCACAGAGAGATAAAAAAAATACGCAGAGAGACAGAAATGTGTAAAAATGTACACGTGGTGGATGTGAGATTACGTAAATGAGCAATAATGCTGTCTCGGGAACATTTTATCGCGAAAAACAAGACGGAAAGGGTGAAAGGAAGTCAGAGACAGACAGAATATTGTGTAACGATGAGTTTTTAATGATTTGATATTTGCTATTTGCAGGTAAAAATCCCAAGGCGGCTGATAAGGAGGAGAAGGCGGTGCCAGCTGTAGTGGCGATGGAGGAGAAAGCTACTGCCAAGAAGGTGCCGGAGATCAGCGTGGCGAAGGAGAAGGCGCAGAAGAAGGGCGCTGGGAGTAACAGCAAGAAGCAAGAATCCACTGGACAGGCTGTCCAGAAGATCATTGCTAAAACCGATGAGATTGGCGTTGACTTTCTCATTCCTCTACTGTCGAAGGCTGAACTCAGTCGCTCAGAGATTCAGATCATCATTGAGTATCTGCTGAACAAACAGTCCGATACCATTACTGTGAACCACTCTGAGTGGACAGAGGGCAAGTCGGACACGATTCAGAAGCTGAAGAAGCAGATTGAGCTGAAGGAGAAGGCCTTGCAGGATGAACAGGAAGCCAGTGCTGGCATTCAGGCGCGTCTGCGTGAGTTGCGAGCTGAGATAAATCTGGAGAAGAGCCAATACAATGCCAATCTCAAGGCATATGTGGAGGAGATTGCCCAGAAGACGAAAGAAGTGCAGAACATGACGTCGGACTATCAGGCGTTAAATGAAAAGTATGCGAGCGAGAAGCAATCACTTACGGTGCAGTTGCAGCAACTCCAAAGCAAGTTGTTGCAGGAGAAGAAGACCAATTCGCAGGAGCATCTGCAGCAGATTCAGCAGCTCACAGAGGCGAATAATGTGCTCAACAATGAGATTATTGCCAAAACTAAGCTCATTAATGATGTGAATGAGCAGTTCCAGAAGTTCGCCAGTGAGAAGCATCAGGTAATTGAGACGGTGAAGAAGGATTATGACAGCAAGTTGGCTGAGTATGAGATGATCATACGCAAGAAGGAGGAGCAGCAGCTCTACATGGAGCAAGATTTGCAGAAGATTCGCCAAATTGCCGATCACGATGCCGATGCACTGCGTCGTCTCAAGGAGAATTTCGATGTGAAGCGCTACGAGGTGGAGCAATATAAGACCCAGTTGGCGGAGATGACGAAGAATAATCACAATATTGAGGACATGGGAAAGGTGGAGATCCGAAATCTCCAGAATGCCCTTGACTCGTGCAAGACCGATTTGACGCGCAGTCGAACTGAGGCGAATGAGTGCAGACTCAAGTCGGAAGATTTGGAGGCACAAGTGGTGGAACTGAAGCGTCAAATCTCTCTCTGGTCCAGCAAAATTCACGAACAGACTGTTCAGGTATGCGAAACTGTTTTTAATCTAATGCCCAGCTGTAGTGTGTAATGATGAAATATTGTGTGTGCAGATGACGGAAATGGATGCCAATCTGTCGGGTGTGAAAACCAACTTGGCGGACAAGGATTCGAAGTTGGTGGAAGCTGAATCAAAGATCCGGTGCTTTGGGGAGGAGAAGGAGCGTCTTGAGAAGCAGATTGAGGATCTCAAATCGAAGAACAATGTGAGTGAAAAGTACATTCTTTAGCTACGCAACACAATGATAAAAAGCCCGCAAATTGGAACACTATGCGTGCAATTTGATAATACACTTCTCAAGTGGTTTCGCACTTATATTTCGGTGATACTCTCATGCTCTGTCGATTGAGAGCTTAAGTGCACGTTGCTCCCTTGTTCTCTGGTCGTCTGGCGTGAGGAGACGGCAATTTTGCAGGTACATCGACTGGATGATGTCATTGAGCACATATAAATGTTATTCGCTTCAGCGCGATGTTAATATTTCTGATGAATTCTCGGGTTTTTAGACATTTTTAATTCACAACAAGTTTTTGCCTCGTTGCTATTTCCATTCATTCTCGTGGAGAAAATTCTCTTCAACTGGTGATGTTGAATTTATGGTCAATTCATTGTCTTGTTGCCACGTGAATATATTTTTTGCGAGACACACAATGAAGAAGACAAGAATCATAAGTCGATGGCTGAAATCCGGAATTGGTATTTGAGAGCTTATTGAACTTTGACGTGCGCTGTGTGTAATGTAATGTAAAGAAATTGTGTTGCGTAGACAGATTAATTTGCTAGTGAGATTGATTGGGTTTTCACTATTCTTTTTTCCTTTTTTTTTTTGGTTTTTCTTTTCTTCTCTTTTCCATACATTTTAAGGAGTTGCGCACTAAAAACTGGAAAATGATTGAAGCGCTCAAGAGCGCAGAGAATAACGCGGTAAAGTCAAAACGCATGAATAATAGTGAAGAAAGTAGTTTAAATAACATAGTAAGTTCCTTCTCACGAGAGTCACTCACACAGAGTGGCAGTAGTGAGCTGTTTTATTTTCACGTCACTGTGTGTTTTCGCTTTGCAGGACACCACGGAGGTCCAGCGATCTGCTGCGCAGGAGCTGGAGGAGCGCACACGAAGTAAAATCACCAAGTTATTCCCCAACATCCCTTCGGGACCCACTCAATACGATCAGTGGCTCGATCACGTTGGTGACTACCTGAAAGATCACTACACGTCCGCGAGTAGTATACAGCATTCAACAATTATTAATACTAGTACTAGCAATAGTTGTAAAAATAATAGTAATAGTGAAAGTGACGTTGGTGCTGCTGATGGAAAGAGTGTGACCACCAACAATCACAGCGTTGACAGTGAAGAGGGTGGCGAAGGATCCAGTGATAGTTTAGATACTTTACTGTTACAAAATGCACAACTACAGCGAACGGTGGACGAGTATAAGATAATTGTAGCCGATACGGTGAGTAGTAATCCCTTCATTAGTTGTGAAAAGAAATCCGTGTTACTGCCGACAATATGATTCAATTAAGATTCTCACTTGGGGAAATATGTGCTGAAGAGGCTGAAAATGCGTGCTAAGTGGGTCGTTGAACGGTGTTAAAATTTCAGAATTCACCTCTCTTGGCGGTTTTATTCCGCCGGTCTTCTTGCCAAAGTGTAATCATTAAAAAGTAATATACATTGTTCAGACTCTGCAACGAGAATTTTGATGCTTCACACGTTATTATTATTGTATCTTGGAGGTTACAACATCTCTGTGTCTCTATTTGATTTTGAGCATTTTCAGACAATGTAATGAGACTGTTTTTTATTGACTGTCTAAAATTAGGATTGATGGCCTATTTCTTAATAAATGCCCGAGTAAGAGGGGCTAATTTATGTCTAAAAGCGTCACGATATTGGGCTGTAATGTGATAAATTTATGAGGTATTTGTCTGTCTATCGAGCAAATGATAAATGGTTTCCCGGAATTCTGTTATCCGTGATAATATTGGTGGTGAAACATGATTTTTGACCGAGAAATGTGCTTATCTTTTCGTGTTCGATTAGACAGCGAAGCGAATATTTCATGGATTTTGTATTGCTGTGTTATCACATATTCCAGCGCGCAAGCTGTATAGTGTTTTGTCTCTTTTGCCTAAGCATACCACAAATAGAAAGAATCTTAATTGTTCTCTATTTAAACTGCGACACTGGAATGCTGATGAGATACGAGCGATCGTAAAAAAATACTATCTTTATCTGCACGTGTGACCCATTTAGTTATGAAATGAGATGAGTTTAATAAGATTTCATTGTATAATAATTCTTAACTATTGGATGGAAATCCAATTAAACGTCATGCAATGATTAGAAATTCCCAAGAAAGCTAGCAAAGACTTTAATAATGCTCTCTTCGTTGGGGGGAAGACGTGAGATTTTCGATAAAACATGCATTTATGCTTTAGCATTATGTCTTAATTGACGTGTCTCACTATTGTTGTGTTCTCTTTGGTGCTCAGGAGGGCGTACTGAAGAATCTGGAGCTGAAGGTGAAGGAGCAGGACGCGTATTGGCGCAAAGTCGTGGAGACAAAAGATGAGGAACTCAAAGGACTGAAGATATCAACAACATGTCAGGTGAAAAATTGCATTTAATAGCCATAATATCTAACAGTTGCTCACTGTGCTTGTCTTTTTTTTCTTTTTATACAGCCAAACAACTCTGATTAGGTGTGGCAACACATGCAGAACCGACGGGGAAATACATTTAGAAGAGGTTTATGAAAAGAAAGAAAAAAAAATTTATACGTAGAAATTGATCGAGACAAGAAAATTAGAAGATATTTAAGTAGAGCGCACTCTAAAACGAAGTGTCAACGTATTTTTCTTCGTGGTGAGCATGAGAAGAACGCTATTATTAAGTAATTGTATCTGAAGACAGGCGAGGAAGAGAGAAATTCGGACAAGAGTTGTGAGTTGAGAACAAAATTATAGAGACATTTCGAGTGCAGATTTGTTTGCGCCTTCCATTTACTGTAATAATTATAATAATAAAAGGGCGTTGAGATTGGAATATCGCGGGACTGCAGCTGAATAAATACTATTACAGAGAGAGACGGTGAGCTTGGTGGGCGTCGTGAATGCGGTTATCCAATAAGAGATGGGGAGAAATAGCAATTAACAAGTTATTCGTACTAAAGGAACAACATAATATTTGACAATGTGAGGATAATGTAATGATGATGAGATTGTGAGATGATGGGAGAAAAGAGAAAGAGAAACGATATTTTAATTTATATTTTTCATAAAAGGCAACCAGTCGATAACCAACATATTTTTTATAAGTAAAAAATATATTAAATATATTAATCTTAATGATAGAAAGATGAGAAAATATCTAAAGTTAGGAGAAATATCTTTTCGTCATTAAATTTCTATTTACTTTGTGCAATTGGGATTTTATTTGTTTATTTATGATTTTGCTATAAGGATTCAGGTGGTCGAATTAGTGAATGGAAATTACATACAAAACATTGCAGATTAACAGATTTTTGTGCTAACCAAAACCACTCGCCAAAATTGTTTGGTGTTGCAGAGGAGAATCAAGAAAATCAATCCTTTCAGTCAAGTAATGTAGAAATTGTCAGTGGAATGCTCTGGGAGATGCCACTCTAAAGAATCTATCGAGGAAAGTATGATAAAGAATCTTAGACGATGATGATGGAGAGAAAACCCCATTTCTTTGCTCTTTGCGCAATTTAACACTTAAGAGAAAAGATGACAAGCTAGAGGACTATTCCTTTGAATCGCAACTCTTCCTTCTCCCACTGCCTGCGGGGGAGAACATAGTAAACTCATAAAACTAGTGAAAACTTTGCTTCTTAAGTTTCTACTTTTTCACATTTCTGCAGTTATTGCGCTGTTAGACGGGAGAGTGTTGATGGAGGGGGGAGGGACAAGGGGATATAATAATGAAAATTCTTGGGCAGACGAGAAGATATTTAATAAGTTTATCTAACCAATATTTTTACTACGTAAATGAAGATGAACAAGAGATTGAATAAGTTGTACTGAATTCCATTCCGACGGAGCGGACGTGCAAAATGGATGCGAAGAGATTGAGGGAAGACACAAAATGTAAAAATTAATAATAAAGAACATACGATTCGAGCAATTTGCGTTTTCTGAGGTTCTGCTGCAAATGTGCAAATTCTGTTTGGCAGAATGAAACGTAAATTTTACTTCTTGCAATTCGATAAGTAGGGCTTGTTTATTTTTCTACACTTAAATACCAATATACAATTCAACATAAATTATACACCTAATGTTGAAAAATGTCCTCTGTTATTTTTTTTCTCTGTTTGTGAATATAATGCAATTGGTTCGTGAGGTGCTCTTGTCTCACCGATTTCTCCGTGTGGATCAGGCAAAATCTTCGATTCGTGATTGTGAAAGTCTCTGCGCGCCGGCCTTTCGGATTCACACCGCTCACGGTATCAGAGGTAGGCAGATTAAGTAGACCTGTAATTAACATTTTCATGGTTCTCTCTTCCGTTCTCTCCCAACATAAATGCCAACGAGTAATTCAACGTCGAAGCAGATTGACTGCACAATCACAGAAGAGAGTGTCTGATGGGGAAATGATAATTCCTCGCGTAAATCCACGGCAAGAGGATAAAAGGGTGAGAAAAATTCGCAATTCACATTGGTTAAGAGCACCTCAGCGCGGATCACACATAGTCGAGCTGGACGAAGATCTGCTTCACGCCCACCGCCTCGAAGATCATGCGAGTGTGCGTGACGACGTACTTGGGATCTACGTTCTTGGACACCTCCAGCTTGATGGCGCCGACGTACACATCGCTGCAGAGTGTCCAGAAGTGGGGCTCCTGCACGGCGTACACGCCCGCCAGCCCAGTGACCTTCTGGTAGCACTGCGGCAGGGCGCGGTCGAGGTTGATGGGTGTGCGCTGCATCAGCACCATGATGGACTCCTTGATGAGGCTCAGCACGCTGAGCGCAATAAGCAGAGCGATGAACATGGAGCAGATGGGATCGGCGATCATCCAGCCGAACATTTGCATCAGCACAGCGGACACGATGACGCCCACGGAGCCGAGCGTGTCCGCGAGGATGTGCAGGAAGACACCGCGCATGATCTGCGAGTTGCTGCCCTGACCCAGCGGCTCGCCGTGGCTGTGATGATCGTGCGAGTGGCCATGGTGGTTGCCCAGCAGGTGGTTGTTCGCCTCAGAGGCGTGGTGAATACTGTGGGAATGTCCGTGGCTGTGCCCGTGACCCGAGCCACCGCCATGAGAGTGCCCATGGCCGTGTTGGAATGCATAAATCCCTACGAGATTCACCAGGAATCCCAGCACAGACACGACGAACAGCCGCTCGTGTTTCACCTGGACAAGGAAAATCGACATTTAGCGATCATCAATTAAACTGAAGTGTGATTTATCACAATTCACGGGCGATTGCATGTCACTGGCAGTGATCCACGTGAGTGACAAATTGCTCTTACTTCTGGTGGCTCCACAGCCCTCTCGATGGCCTCGGACATGATGAAGAAGGCGATGAATAGAAGGAAGAGACTGTTCACGAAGCCCGCCAACACCTCGGCTCTCACATAGCCGTACGTGTAGCGCTCATTTGCCTTCCACTTCGTGATCACGGACGCCGCAAGACCGGCTACCAGGCCCGTGCAGTCGAAGAACATGTGGAATGAATCCGATATTAAACCTGCCAAAGACACGAGGAATTGTCAGTGAAGTGGCCAACAGGGAGAGGCGGTATGACAGGGGACTTACCTAAGCTGTTCGTCCATATCCCGTAGGTAAACTCCACAAAGGCAAAACTGAGGTTCAGCAATAAAAACAGGAAGAGATTTCGGGAGTTTCTGTCGGAGAATATCAATCGTTTCCATCCGTTCACCTTCTCCTTCAGCCTGTAGCTGAGGCTGCGCGAGTCCTTGTGGGTGAGTGGGAGCATCGTGCGGTGTTATGTGGAGTGCAGGAGCCTCTCTTCGTGTGATTTTTCACAATTTTCTTCCAAATGCATACGTGTATTTTCTGTAAACATAACCTCAACCACCGTCACTGCCAATTTTCTCAGAAACATCCGCGAGAAATATGCGTGGCAGTGTTTTGAGATAAGCACCGACACATCTGCTACACCTTCTCCAGATTTCACTCGCTTTTCACTACCACAAACCAAGAAATTGACCCATTTAGGCAGATTTTCCACCGACACAGACTCTTTCGACCAAGAAAATTACTCACTCGACGAGGTCTCCCCCCCCTCCAATTAGACGGCTTTTCGAACACAATATCCGTTGGGGAGCGCACTCATCCCCAATTAGATCTCTTACTCGCCATGTGCGAAGTGTGCAAATAAAAACCATAATTTTCTCCACAACACCAAAGGAGTTTTATTCTTTACGTATACAAAATAATATCATGAGAAAAATATTAATGAAAAATTGTGAGAAATGGAAAGCGACGTGGAATACAGTAGGTAAAATTGAAGTAGAATTCGAGAGAAGATCCCTCAAGCCTGGGCTGTGTGCCTCAAAGTTAGAGGAATCCTGTTAGAACGTAGGACAGGGGCACAATGAAAGGGCATTTGCTCATGGGCAGTCCCAGCAGAGATGCCACGAACCACCAAACTCCGCAGTGAATGAGGAGTTGCAATCCCAAATGGATAAATAGCAGTATTGTGTCCTTCTTCCTTGCCTGAGGCAGAGATTTTGGTTGCTCATTATTGAGATATCGACGAACACCTTGAGTGAGATTCACGAAGTAATCTTCCCACACCAGAGTGACGATATCAATGTTGAACATCTGCTTGTCTATCGGTGATAAGGATTTACTTAATTCCAGCGAGCGAGTGTTGTGGAATTTCCACTCTGTGAAGATAAACTTCTCCAGACGCTTCAAAGAGTCCCAAACATTTGTGTGAAGACGCATGAGACTGAAAAAAGTGAAGAGAGCATCATTAGAATATTGACAGACACTGAGTGTTCTCTCAGCACTCACATTGGCCTTCCTCCAGCTATTTTCGTGATCCCATCGAGAATGAGGGCTGGAAGGAAGTGGACAAATAGCGCAGATATCTTGAAGAGCAACAGACTCTGGACGAACTTCAAGTGAGGATACCACACGGCCGACTTCAGTGGGTACTTGTGCAAGAATCCATTCACCTTCTTCGCCACACTCGCCCACCGGAAGGGATTGTATGTGCTCGAGGTGCAGTGGTAAACCGACGTTTCTCCAGAATTCTTCCTCCCAATCTCCTCCGCCACGACAATCAGTTGATTCACCACCACATCCACGGGAATGTAGTCATAGACGAGATCCAGGCCGACCGGCAGACGTCTGATCACACCCTTCGACGCGCCCATGAGGAAGCCTTGGGGTCCATTCTTGGAATTGGTCCACCCCGGCACTGGCTCCTTCCAAGCCGCCGTGATCATGCTGGGCCTCACGATGCCACAGGGAAACTTCCCTGCACACTGATTCACCTCGTGCTCAGCCAAGTGCTTCGTGAATGTGTACGTGTTCGGGTGATCCTTGAGCAATCCCGGCGTCAACTCCTCAATAGCATCGTCATTCAGTGTTTGCGCCAAATCAATCACTTTCTGGGCAATCTCCGGAGCAGGATACAATTTCTCGTGAGTCTCCAGCAAGAAAGAGTTCACGTAAGCACTCGAAACATGCACCATCGCCTACAATAGATAATTGAGAGACAAATTAAACACATCGCCAACACTCCTTCCGATTACCATCATCCCGCCCTCTTTCACAACGATAAATCCAATTAAACGAAATTTTCCTCCTCTCCAATTACATCTTTCTACACATTTTCACTTTGTTCACAATAAATTATAGGCAATGAGGCAAAATGCAATACATAATATTGCGATTCATATCTGATCTGCCGTTCTTTCTTAGCTCAACGCGGCAACAAAAGTTGTGTCGGGTTAATCCACACAAAAGATACAAAGTAACATATTCCAATTCCTATGGAACATTTTGATTATATTATGAATTATGAAATTACAGTTAGTCGAATGCAATCTGCCAAAGCATTGCACCCATTTCTATTCAAATTATAATCTTTTAGCGCATTATCAACTTCCACTTTGCATTTTTTAAGGCCATTTCATAACACGCGGATCATATTCACCTCTGGGATGTTCATTTTAATAATGTGATTTTCATGCAAGGTGTATTTTGGCAATATCTAGCGAATGGCTTTTGATCGCGACGCGTGTAGCGATTATTCTCGCCTCTTTCGCGCGCCACAAGCGTCAAGATAACAGATTGCTGCACACAACTTCCCATTGAACGAACAGACCCACCTTCATATTCCTAATTTGTTGACACAGCTCCATAACTCGTCGTGTTCCCAGCAAGTTGATGTTGACGGTGGGCTTGAGAGACGCCTGAAAGTCAAGTGTTGCCGCCGAGTGGAACACAATGTTCACATTCTCAATCAACCGCTGACGATCAGCTGGAGAAAGGCCCAGATCTTCATCACCAACATCGCCAGACACCGGAATGAGCTTCTTGAAGATGTCAGAGCTCGTCTTCTCTAGCAGAGTTTCGAAGATCTGAAGAAGAAAAAAAAAACAAAAATGGAAATGCACAAGTGAACAACGTGAGATCAAGTAAACCATCGGGTTTCCCTCTCTTTTCTTCTATCTTCTTACGGTATTTTTGCACAACTCTTCGAGACGTTGCTCAATGGATTTTCCCCTCTTCGGTCGCATGAGCAGATAGATTTGTCCCACATCCGGACACGATCGCAGGAGTTTCTCGATGAGGGCTATGCCCAGAAATCCCGTGCCGCCGGTGATGAAGAGACTCTTCCCACGATAAAACTCCACAACATTCGAGGTCATCTTTCCGCTTGCTCTGTAATCACCTGAAAAGCATCAGCAAAACACACTTTTACTCTTATGCAAATTAATAGTTTCCACTTAATGGCAGATTAAATGCACAAAGTCACTGACTTTTTCACTGTTTTGCCCATGACAAAGAGAAAGAGGACTTGAAGGTGTTCCTCTTTTGGCTCTTCTTTTTTTCGGCATGTAAAGTAGAAAAGCACCTTGCTAAATTCACTTCAACATGAACAAAATCATCTTTTACAGCTGTCAATTAACACGATATAACTCTCGTGCAGCATTTGGAATATTAGCATGATATTCCCTAAACGTATTAGCGATGCACAAACAGAGTTGAATTATAATGAGAGATTCACGATGCTCATTTATGCCATGATATCTCTATCGCCTCTGGCATACACTCAGGCACGAAACTGTTGTTTCTCTCCCCGTTCTGGTCAGTTAGAATAGATCGCAAACGCCAATTAATTCATAATTAGTAGCATAACTTAATCTGCAGCTCTCTACAAAATATACACTAATTTCTTACTCGAGCTTTAGTATTTGCTTAATTAAATTCTGGTAATCTTCCATAAATTTCAATTCTACATAAAAACAAGGTTAATTTATTTTAAAATATCATTTTTTTGGGGGTCTCGATTATGCAATTTTAAAAGCAGGTCAGTTTTACTATAAGCTAAAAATAGCAATTGGATCAATAGAGTTTTTTTTCTCTAAAAGGTTTAATTCTAGAAAGCATCTTTTAAGCCGACATCGTTGATATCCAAGAAGAGAATTTGGTTTCCAGAAAAGAGTGAGAAGTAGTTAAAGTTCAAGAGCTAGTGTCTGACCTACATGACCAACTTTCTATTTCTCTCTTTGCTGTTTTATTGGTTACATTGTTTATATATGCTTTATATGGCCTTTGTCAACCGGCAGAAGAAAATCAACAGAGGCTCAAGTTCGTTTGAATATACCCACTGTAGATTTATATTGAGTTTTTCTTGGGAATTTCCTTCCAGAGTATCCGCAATTGGCACAATTCTGCAACACTAATGATACAAATGGCGTAATACTAAATCGTATCAGATAACGTTTGCCGCTTCCTGACGACTGAAAAGAGGTCTCGAGAAAGAATTCACTGTTTGGTGAGTTTCTATCGTCAATTAGACGAAAACTACACGTGAACATATTTTAATTTCACGCACTTGATGTCAAACAAATAAACGATTTGTTTTTCTCCCTTGAATTCGTCAAAAAAAACTACAATTTTACGATGTTCAAAGTACATTTTTACAGAGATATTAATCGTTTTTCTCCTCTTTATCATTTTATTGTCAAGTCTCGTAAAAAAAGAAACAAACCATCTCCACAGATTCGATATTATTAATATATCCAATGCTAAATTTATGGACTATATAAACGCACTGCCATTCCACGGTCCACCTCGTGAGACAACTTGTGCATTTCACTCTATATAATAAACTGGATTGCATGCGAAACATTGCAACTCCTTTCCAAAGCTGCAGCATTTTCGCCAGTGCTTGTTTTTCTTCTGTTTTTTTTTTTTTCTTTCCTAGTGAAAACAGAAAATAATCAAGCCTCCAATATATCTACGGATTATAATTATCTTTTGAGGAGTGTTGTTGATTAATTCTTGAATAATATATGCTTTCAGCTCTTGACCACATCTTGGCATTTAGACCATCTTCAATATTGCAAGTGAATAGGTGATAATTTCTCAATCAGCTACAAAATTTTAAAATTTTTTCTCCATGAAGAATGTGTTTTCTTTTGTATTGAAACGCAACTTCCCTTCTCACCTACAACGATAAAAAAGACTATCACATTTAATAAAACTTTTACATCACACTCACTCGAAGAGGCGTATGGAAGAGATTGTTGCGTAATATCTCAAAGAAAATGATTGTGAGCAATCTTACAGCCGAATACAACGTGATTTCCATCTTTTGTGGAGATTTTTTCTCTCAATTTCTGTATGATATTCTTCTGGTGCCGAAAGAAGTAATATCCATATGCGGTGCGCACAATAGCCCAAGAAGCTGAATATGTGCCTCTCATCGCCATAGAGAGTTCTTTCGTCACCGTTTTTTCCGTTTTGACGATTGTTTGCTCAAGAAGCTCTCCAGCCTCGTCAGATAAACCACCTCGCGCATCTCAGAGAATGACAAATCGAGAATTTTCTGTTGATCTTCTCGTGTTTAACCATTAAATATTAATATCTTTATAATATGTGAATGGTGTGCGTCTTTTCACGAAGGCGAAGGCGTTCCCTTACCATTTTTCTAACATTAAATTTCCCCCGTCTTCTTCACAACATGCGGATGAGCAGCACTCCATTGTACGGTTGACCAAATCACGCAAACGACTTTAATGCTCGGCGTTACATCATTTCATATTACTATAGGTCAAAAATTATAAATAATAGCGCGTTGCATGAAAAATCGCGGTGTCCAGAGAAGACGCTTGAAACATCTCTTCCAATTTCCTTCACATCTTTTTCCACATCTTTTTATTTGCGCAAGAGAGAAGGAAAATTGCTTTTTGGTGCAAATAATCTCCCACTTCAGCATTCAGAGAGTTTCCTTCACGGCTGGCATTATTTTACACACGGTCATTTCAAACAAACAAATCTCTGTTCTTTTTTTACCCTCATTTTTTGCTACTCTTCTCGCCAATATCAACATGGAAAAATGTAAACATAACCACACTCGCACGGCTAATTTGCGTATCTCCTGACGATGCAGGAATGCAAATTGGAGCTGAATATCTCAAAGTTGTACAATCTGTCGCTACGGATGAAGGTGCGAAAGCACTGAATGGTCTCGAAAGTGGATTAATTATAGGAAATAAAACGCAAGAGATTACAGCAACTCGAGTCAGTGACGTCGGCAAGAATTTTCCAGAATACATTGAAGCACGGCCCCCACCGCGCCCAGCAAACCATTAGTGGACACTTACGTCTTCAGTAGTTAGTCGTGTGATGAATACTACAGGTGCATAAGTCAAATAAATGGAGACAAATTGGAAATACAGGGAATAAATTAAAGACGACAGCGCACGGAAAATCACATCCACTCACAACAAACAATCCACAGCGACTGACGGTGAACAACCGCGCACGGCGCTACTGCGCCTTACGCCGCCGCTCGCAATCGCACTTGTTCGACGAATCGATGTGTGTAGCGAATCGCGATATCGCGGCGATTTCCAATTTGAACTTTATCGATGTTTAAACGCATGCTCGCAAATTTTTCAAGAAGACCTGAGAGACTAAAATCCAAGATCAAGAGTACAACAAGAAAAAAAAACTGAGGAGCGTGTCTATCATATTAGAAGCTTTTTATTTCTATCGTAAAATGTTGAATAGTTTGCTTCAAAATGCGTAATTACACTATATTTACCACTTTGACGCTAAAGCCAGTGGATGAAAAGCACGCAAATGGCACTTAGAACACTTGAGATTTCTGGGCAACTCGTGATTGCGGAGAAAATAATGTACAGAATATAACCTACAAGCGCAAATAAGAAAATCTCAATGCTGATGCATGTGTAGTAAATCACATGGTGCCTCAGGGAACTCCTGAAAGGGGAAAAAATGTATTTGAGATCTATCATCGTCTTAAAAAAACAAATTATATTACTTCTTAGTCTCCCTGTAGTAGTACGTTTTCGCCCATTTGATACTTCTGGCGAACAGTTGTGGCCAGTTGACTTGGGTCACGTCGGCTGCGTAGCGCTGCTTATCTTCCGGGTTGGCGAGTCTCATAATGCGCTGGCCATTGTCGATGGAAATACGCTCTATTTTATTGGCGATATTTGCAAAATATTTGGCCCCTTTGTAGGAAATGAGGACAATTTTGAAACCGCTGCATGGAAGAGAAAACAGAAAAAGAGACACAAAGTGGGAGGAATTCACAGTCGTGCGAACACTCGAGCCCTACCTCATCCAGCGCGGGCCAAAGCGAAAGATCTTCTCGGGCACGTAGATGAGCAGCGCGAGGAGGATGTAGGCGAAGTTGAAGAGCTCGTAGCGCCAGCCCTTGCGCACCTTGCTGTGCGGACGCCAAAGGTAGGAGTTGCAGGGATTCTTCGTCACTTCGCAGTTCATGATGTCATTGAGATCACCGAGCGTGAGTTTGTTGACCTTGTGATTGGATGTCATGTGGATGACTTCGGGTTGCTCAATAGGCCGTGTTCCAACGTAGCACGTGAGCACGAGAGTGCCATTGACGAAGAAGTCGCACGGAATGGCAAACAAAACGGTGGATCTGTCACCGTACAGACATCTTGTGGCACCCTTCATGTGTGCCACCACGTAGCCCAGATGCCCACTGGATGCTGAGCCACACCAGCCCTCCAGCGGATGTGTGTAGGATCCGTAAACTGGCCAGAGTGGTAAAAAAGGCACAATAGTAAAAAATCAGACTCCTAAAGTGGCAATAAACCAAGGCAAATGCAATAAACTCATTCATATGATGTTAACGATACCTCACAAATAATTGGTCATTTTAACTTCATTTGGCTAGCCTTTGCGAAAATTCAACCCAATTCACTTAGATTGGCGGTAGTGTGCGTGTGAAACCATGCGGAACACGAGAAAAGAGCTCAACAATGTGCAAAGTGGACAAAATATTGCATTGAAGAAAGAATTAGCCTTGAAGCAATAATATTCCAATGTATGAAGTGAGAAGAAATTTTCATGAATGTTCCCACAACTTCCGGGTTTTTTCACTCTTCATCTCATCTTGTTTGGATGTGTGCAGAAATTGCGGGAATATTTCAGCACAGTTGGTTTTCCCATTTGAGCATACGAAATAGTGAAAGTTGTGGAAATTCTTCTGCCTTCCGGCAAATTTGCAGAAGTCACTGAAAGTGTAAATTACTTTCTGAGATGCACTTACCTGCCGATGGACGAATAATTCCAACTGGAAGAGATGCCATTTCATTCTGTATCAGATTCTCAGCCACTTGCTTCGAGAAGGTGTAGGAATTCTCGTGTCTGCCCACAATCTCCATAAATTCGGGATCACTTTCACTGATCGGAAGCAAATTGGCGGTGGCCAGCTTGATCAACTCGTGAGGATCACGGCCTGGCCAGTAGACTTTCTCCTCGATCTGGCCCCTCACGTTGATATTGGCCAGTGCTGTGGACACATAGACGAAGGCGGACAGCTTCTTGAGCTTCTTGGCCAGATGGATATTCCGCAGAGTGCTCAGCACGTTCAACTCGATGGCCATCTTCAGCGGACGATTGAACTTGATCAATCCAGCACTGTGATATATTATATTCACATTCTCTATGATCTCCTGAAGGATTTCCGGTGCCAAGCCGAAATCCTCACTGATGAGATCACCAGCGATGGGAATGACTTTCTTGAGCGTCTCCTCGGAATGGTGTCGAAAATTCTACGTGCGAGAAGTAAGGATGAAATTGGATGGAGGAAAGAGGGATGAGTATTTTCAGGGAGAAAATTCACCTCCTTGGAAAAGATCTTCTTGAAGCGCTCAGCCGGAGTCATTCCGCGTTTTTCACGCACCAGCACATAGATTTTCCCGATATTTGGACTCACGCCCAGCAGTGCTTCTAGCAAGCCCGTGCCCAGGAATCCCGTGCCTCCGGTGATGAACACCCCTTTCCCGTCGAAGAAATCCTCTAACTTCATCAATTGATCCTCCATCTCACTGCAAATCCACCACTATGAAACAGAGCAACACTGCCTAAAATTCCTGGATGAATGAGTCTCCAGCCTTTGTCTGTCTTCACCTGCGTTCACGGCACGAATGAATGGAAGTGGTGGACTGAAGAGGCGACACACAGAATACTAGTTGCCCATTATCGCCTAATTAAAATTTTTACACTCTTGTGCCCACTTTATTGGTTGCGTTTTCATTGTATTTGCTTTGCACACGTAATCGATATATGCGAAAATGAAATTTACATTTTATAGTATTGGAGACACTTTTCATAATATATCACTTCCACAGAAAATGACGACTGTGTGCTTTTGAATGTGATCTATGAGCTGTGCACGCGTCTCCAAGTCAAGGAATAAGACTCGCCAAGAGATCGGGTAACAGTTATGTTCTGCAGGTTATTTGTTTATAATTTTGTGGTGTTAATTAACGTGAATTTTTTGGATTGCAGACGTTCTCTAATCCACTTTCCCTTTACTCATTCCCTCGAAATATCAGAGAAATTAGCATGTGTTTGACATTCAGCAGGTGAGGAAACAGAGAATCTGGAAAGAATGCGATCAATGCGATCTTGCAAATAAAAATTATACATTATTCATTTTATGTGATTGTGATTGTATTCTTTGTTAGCTGTTTTTCTGTCTGGCCTTAAACATGTTGTATAAAGGAGTCTAATATGACTCAATACAAATAGGACTATAAGAAATGGATTGAAAATATTGAGGAATTAAAGAAACCATGTTCTTTCTCATATATACGACCTTTAACCTCATTAACCAATGATTTAAGAGTAATTTTGAGATTCTGAATCCACTTTTGGTTCTATAAAAGTTTGATAAATAATGTGAATAAAAAATTTTGAGAAATCAGTTGACTTCTTGAAAAAAAAATCGTTGTGATTTTGAGAATCGATTTCGTTCGCAGCGCTACAGGTGAGTGGAATCCAAAACACAGTACAGTTCTCAGACGAAAATCGCATTCGAGTCAGCGCCGCGTACAAAAAAAGTGGTCGTGAAGATTCTTTGTTCATTTCTCGGCAAAATACCCCAAAAATCCTGCACTTCGTCCCATTTTCCGTTCATCAAGAGTGTTATAAATAGCGTGTGGGTGTGGAAAGTGTGAAATGGCGACGAATATAGTGTTTAATCCGTCGCTCACGAAGACGGACCCTCATGAGCATCCGGTTCTTATCATTGGGCAACTGTCCCATCTTTCATTGCTCAGTTTTGACGATCTCAAGGTGAAATTGGAGCCCCGCGTGACTTACGAGACATTCGCCAACGCCCTCGCATGCCTCCATCCGTCGCCCACTGACACGTGTCCGCTGTATCTGGACCTGGCCACTCTGGCGGCTCTGCCGCTCAAGTGCTCCAGACACAACACCAGCTCCCGTGCTCACTCCATCACGAAACTCGTGAGCACCAAGGTCACGGGGGTGAACGAGAGCGTGGTGATTGTGTGCGAGAAGAAGGATCTGTTCGCGAGCGCTTGTGCTGTCGTGCGGGCTTTTCCGCTCTATTCCCGGAAGAACCGACGTGGTCCGATACCCGCTTCCACGGTGCATGTGGAGTTCATTGTGCTGGAGGGCGACAAAATCCTGCTTGAGCCCCTCTCGACTCCAGAGATCTCGTGTATTGAGAATGTGACCCAGGGAATCCGTCTGGCGGCTAAGATTGTGGATACGCCTTGCAATGAGATGAACGTGTCTCACTTCCTGGAGGAGGCGCAAACCGTGGCCGGAGAGCTCAATATCACTCCGCTCGTGATTCGTGGTGAGGATCTCCAGACTCGCGGGTTTGGGGGCATTTATGGTGTGGGAAAGGCCGCTGCTGTGCCTCCAGCACTCTGTGTGCTGTCTCACAAGCCGGCCGGGGCCACGAAGACGATCGCGTGGGTGGGTAAGGGCATTGTTTACGACACCGGCGGTCTCAGTATTAAGGGAAAGACGGCGATGCCGGGCATGAAGCGCGATTGCGGAGGAGCAGCTGCTATCCTTGGAGCATTTTATGCCGCCGTGAAGGGCGGCTTCACCGAGAATCTGCATGCCATCTTCTGCCTGGCCGAGAACTCGGTGGGTCCCAATGCCACGCGTCCCGATGACATCCATCAACTCTACTCCGGTCTCACGGTGGAGATCAACAACACCGACGCCGAGGGACGTCTCGTGCTCTCCGACGGTGTGGTGTATGCCAAGAAGGATTTGAGTGCCGACGTGATCCTGGACATGGCCACACTGACTGGGGCGCAGGGCATTGCCACGGGAAAGTATCACGGTGCCATTTTGACGAACAACGAAGTTTGGGAGCAGAAAGGGGTGGATGCCGGCCGCATTTCTGGTGATCTTCTATCCCCAGTTCCGGTAAATTATTGCTGAGATAGAGATTCGAGACGTTTAAAGAAAAGCTAATCTTCCATCCACTTTGCAGTACTGTCCAGAGCTGCATTTTTCTGAGTTTTCCTCCAGTGTTGCTGACATGAAAAACTCAGTGGCCGATCGCAACAATGCTCAAGTCTCCTGTGCTGGTCTCTTCGTGGCTGCACACTTGGGATTTGACTATGCCGGTTCGTGGATCCATATCGACATGGCATCGCCGGTTCATTGCGTATGTTATATGTTCTGATTTTCATTTTCCGTGTCTAAATTTACTTGTATGCTTTTCAGGGTGAAAGAGCCACAGGTTATGGTGTAGCTCTTCTGTGCTCCCTGTTTGGGAATTACACTTCCTGCTCACTGCTGCAGCAGTTTGCTCCGCACGTGACTGAGCCACCACTGAAGAAAGTCTGCCTTTGAGGAAATTCAAGAAAGACTGACATCAATCGGCAATGATATTCTTAGATTTGTTCTGTGTCTCGTCCGTGTGAAAGGGCATTTCAATAAACATAATTTTTTCAATTTCCAATAGCAGCTTAAAAATTTCATTGATTTTTGAATCATTTTCCCGCGATATCGAACGGAGTTTCGATATTTTCCAGCTGTCACTTTTCGATACTTTCGCCGCCATATTTGGGTGTTTTTCAGTCCCTTTCACAGAAGCTTCGCATTTTGCAGAGTGTTTTCACGCTAATTTCTCCACAATGGTAAGTAATGAGAGTCCTAAAATAGCAATATTCCATAATTTGGATGCCAGAGAAAAAAAGTGCGATGTTATTTTGTGTGCAAATGTGTTTGCAGGGAAGATCTCCGGGTAAGAAAAGTTCTCGTTCGTCAAGGCATCGACGCAGCCATAGTCGAAGCCGGAGCAGGGAGCGCCGGAAGGAGCGTCGCACCTCGCGGAGCCGTAGTCGTGACTATGATCATCGTCGAAAGGACAGAAGCCGTAGTCGGGATTATGAGAAGCGTCGAAAAGATAGGAGCCGCAGCAGAGAGAGAAGGTCGTCGAGGGAACGCGATAGGGAACGCCGTCGCGAGCGCGATAGGGCGGAGCGCTTCGACGAGAATGCTCAGTCCGGGAGTGTGGAGAAGAAGGACATGCCGAACCTGTCGCAGCAGATCCTGGCGGCAGTGGCGCAATCAGCGACGGAGAAAAATTTTGCTTCTTTCCTTAACAGCTCGCTCTTGTCAGCTGGCTTCGACGGAGGCGGCACTTCCAGCCTATTGGGAGCCTTCGGATTAGGGGCTGTTGACAGCAGCTTAATGGAGCCGAAGCCAGATGAGAGTATGAAGCGTGAAATGGACTTTTCGGGAATTTCAGAAGTCAACAATGGCGCTGGTCTTTTGGGAGCAGCGCCGAGTCTCTTCGCAACGCACCAGCTGGAGCCGAATAGTAACAGCAACAGCCAGGATGCATTCAAAAGTGAGTTAGAAGAGTTCTCATACGTTTCCAGAACGACATGGTGATTGTTTTTGTGTTTTGCAGTGATGTCAGGAAACAACAGCAACGACAGCACTCCCGGACTGTCAGCAAGTGATGAGAGGAAGAGGAAGAGGAAGTCTAGATGGGCTGGAGGAGATCACGACAAGACATTCATCCCGGGAATGCCGACAATACTGCCTCCGACTCTGAGTGCTGACCAACAGGAGGCGTATTTAGGTGAGAATTCAGCGCATTTTAATCAATTTTCAACCAGACTTCTTTTTAGTTGATCCGTTGACTATAAAACATTCATCTTTAAAGGCATTATTTCAGTTGATTTCGTGTTGCATGAATTGTCAACAAATATGCAATGTTAATTTATATAAACTGCCAATTACATTTACAGGAAAAATTAATTTAATTCAATTCTATTTTCCACAATATCAATGACAAATTATTCACTTTACCAATTTTTATATACTTCCAATAATCTTTTTTTTTACCATGAGTTAGGAGTAATTAGGGAAGAATATCCACAATTATTATATCTCTCTCTCTCCTGAATCACTTAATTGAGACACTGTATAGATAAGTTCCTTAGATAAAATTTTGTAAGTATTTTGCAAATCTAATGTGAAATTCCTTCTCTCACATTTAGCATAAAATAGTATGTTCAATGTGACGAATGTGGGTCTCAGAGAAAAGAAAAATGATTCCATGTGTTCATCCCCTTTGTCATGGTTAATCTTTATCTCTCATTGTGAGATTTATATCTGCTCTTATTTCTTGATTACCTTTCTTTTCTTCTGTGTGTCAATGAGTATGGCTAGAAAACTAATATCGGGGCTTGCCTCGATTTTAACCCATTCCATTACAGTTCAACTGCAAATCGAGGAAATCAGCCGCAAATTGCGCTCCGGCGACTTGGGAATATCAGCAAATCCGGAAGAAAGGTTCGCATATGTTTCGGTCAAGTACAAATTCGTCTAATGTGTCGCTTTCTCCGCCGATGTCGACAGTCAGCGTGGGTGCAGCATAGCCAAATCCATGGGATTATTAGAGAATACTTTGATGAAGAGTATCAGGTTTTCGCACTTGGGAACTTCTCAAGTGTTAATCTTTTTTTCTTTACTCGTTTAAATAGATTCTGACACCTCAGGGAAATTCATATGCTAATATGAAAAGCTATTGACTGTCAATTATTCATAGAGTGTGAAAGTATTGTGAATTTCCCTGAATCATCAGCAATACAAATAATTTTTAATGATGTCTGATATTTTATAGATGAAAGTAATAAGAGTCAAAGTGCTTTTCCATGTAAAGTGTTAATAATAAGAGTGTTTTTTCACTGAAGTTTCAATTCATTGAAGAAAAACTCGTGACTGAATTGAGAAAGAAAGAAAAATCTCCCAAAATAATAATCCCTTCCTCTCTAAACAGTCGATAACTAATGAAGAGACTTTTTCGAAAGGATACGAATTCGAGGAGATATTGGATACAAAGTGGCATCTTCGAGATTTTATTTTAATAATGGTTAATTTTTCAGCTTTTAATGCATTTTTTCTATAATCCTAATGAAAGTATTTTTTATAGCCCGAATAATTATTTTGACATCAACAAGGCAAAGTGGCTATGATTTTTCGAAAATCTTGAGTTTTTGAACCTAATCTGAGTTCTTTATTTTCCATCCCACTTTAATATGATGATACCTTGCCATTCAGGTCGTGAGTTGACAAATTGCTTCAGTATTATTATAATTGGAGGATATTGAAGCAATTTTGTAGTAGGGAGAATATACTGGAAAAGCACTTTTCTCCTTATCGTTGCAGATCTCCATCGCCTGAACCCATCTACAGTTCTGATGGTAAACGGTTGAACACCAGGGAGTTCCGCATCAGGAAGCGTCTGGAAGAGCAGCGTCATCAACTTGTGCTGCGGATGCAGTGCATGAATCCGGAATTCAAGCCACCAGCGGACTACAAGTGAGTTTTATATTATGCAATTTAGAAAGGCCTAAAACTGATAAACTGAACTTTCTTCTCTAGGCCGCCAGTCATTCGAGTGAGCGACAAAGTGTTGATTCCGCAGGAGCAGCATCCGGATATAAACTTCGTGGGATTGCTGATTGGCCCCCGAGGAAACACCCTGAAGGCAATGGAGAAGGAGACAGGTGCAAAGATCATAATCCGTGGAAAGGGGTCAGTGAAGGAGGGAAAGGTGGGCCGCAAGGATGGACAGCCGCTGCCGGGTGAGGATGAGCCGTTGCATGCTTTCATCACGGCTAGCAATCCTGAGCACGTGAAGAAGGCGGTGGATAAGATAAAGGAGGTCATTCGGCAGGGTATTGAAGTGCCTGAAGGGCACAATGACCTGCGAAGGATGCAACTGCGGGAATTGGCTCAGCTGAATGGGACTCTGCGCGAAACTGACGGTCCGAGATGTACAAATTGTGGCTCAACTGAGCATAAGAGCTGGCTGTGTCCGGACAAGCCGAATGTGACGAATAACATTGTGTGTTCCTCGTGCGGTGGGGCAGGGCACATTGCCAAGGACTGTCGAAGTAAGCGTCCGGGCGCTGGCGGACCGCCGAGCAGCAATGCCCAGGCGAAGATCGATGAGGAGTACATGAGTTTGATGGCGGAGTTGGGCGAAGGACCGCCGGCCGATGTGAGTAAACGCGAGATGGTGCAGCATCCTCGCTATGGGCTGTTTGACCAGAGGCCCAGTCATCCTCGCTCGCTGATGGCTCCACCGCCACCGCCGTGGAACCAGAGTCAGATGGGCATGACTCCGCCTCCGCTGATGGGTCCGCCCGTTCCACCAGGTGGAACCCCACCAGGCGGCCAGGGATCTCATGGCGGAATGCCCTGGAACATGGGCATGGGTCAGAATACGGCTAATGGACAGCCACCGCCGCCTGGGAGCTGCATGCCCTCTGACAATAATGGCATGTCTGGATTGAGCCCGGGCTTGCCGCCAATTCCAGGCACAGGGATGCCACCGATGATGCCTCCACCACCTGGAACGGATCAACAGTGGGATTGGGGTCCGCCGCAGCCTCCGCCGCCACCCGTTCATCCGGCGCCACCACAGCAGCAGCCGCCGCAGCAGCAACACATGATACCACCGCCTTTCCCATGGGGACAGGCGCCTCCTAACTTCATTCCACCCCCTCCGCCCTCAACCAATGCCTCGATGACTTCGCCCAGGATTCAGAGTCTGCTCTCGTCTCCACCACCACCTCCGCCGCCCAACTAAGTGCAAGTCTTTGTAACGTTCCCTACACTGTCACATTGGACTATCCTTAATCTTATACCTTATTGATTTTGAAAGAGTTTCATAGTCTTTGCAGAATAAATTTGACACTTGAAATTGAAAATTATAACTTTGTAGTTATGTAGATATGTAATGTGTATTCTTACCTCAAGTGTGTGTATGAAGAGTAGAAATATTGGTCTATTTTACAGTCTTACAAATTGCGATTGACAGAAAGAGTAATTGTTTTATAACATTGGCTCAGAAATGAGTCTTTTCTGTTTACGAAGTAGTAAGGAATATAAACAATGAATGATGGGGAGCTCAGTAGCAATGTTCTTGTAATTTATGTGTTGAATTGAAAGCATAACAATCCGTAGTGTTGTAGTAATGTTATATAACACTTTGAACTATATTAAAGTCGATGGAAAAAATGATTGCCGACTAAAGCTCAATCAAAACATTATGTATTTGTAGTGCAATGGTAAAATTGTTCAGTGGTTTCAGAAACCATCTAATTGAAACAATTGCAAGAAATAGGGTTACAAATATATCAACTTCCATAAACTAACGATTTGGTGGAGAAAAGATTATCTTTGTCACGCAGCATCACAATGGCTAAACTAAATATACAAATACTAAAAAATTATTGTATCGTTTTTCATTGGGATAGCAAAGAATTGTATACCTAAAAATTATATGTCTGCATTTTGAGATTAAATAAATGAGTAAAAAGTATCTTCTCTGTTTTGGATGATGTCAGAATGTGCCCTAAGTATGTGACACGATGCGTTTGCAAACTTTGCTTGTCTCTGTCTCGTTTTCGTGATGCTTGAGGGAATTTGGTGGAAGAAAGTCAGTGAAGAGGACAGTTTTCGCTCTGGGGTGTGACAATAAAGTTGCACTATTTTAAATTTTGGATTGTTTATCAGGAAAGTTTGAAAACTCATCAGAAAAGTTCAAGTCTGAAACAAGCTCCAGTGGTTTCTCGCAAGATGGTGTGTTTTTGGGGTAAATGAAAGAAGTTTTTTTTATGATTAACAACTGTTTTGTGTATTTTTAAATAATGCTTTATTCTGTATAATCTTTCAATGTAGTGTTTCTTGCTATGTTGATTTCCTACCTTTCTTTTACTCTCATTGCCTTCTTTTAATTATTTACAACACTAGTTTATTCATTTTTTTTCACAAATAAAAGTCATGATCTTATACTAAACAGTTTGTCTTCTCATTTATTCGCTTATCTTTCTTCACACACTTAAATTATTGGCCAAAAAATATGTGTAAGGTTTTTTACACCTTTTCGTCATGTTTTAAATAAATTTATAAATTCTTTCTTCTGGTATCAAATCAGTGTTGATAAATTCTTCCTTTCACATTTTGTATACTTTGGACATAAAATGTTCTCAAAAGAAGGTGAAACTTTGGTGGGAAAATGAAAATGTTAAGCTGCGGAAAGCAATCTCGGTTCACCTTTACATTACAATTTACCCTGTTATTAATTACAAATCTGGAGTTATAATGTAGTAACTTTGAAGAAGAGTGTTCAAGAGAGATTACACTTGAAAGGGGGAAAATAGTTTGAAAGTTGCTTCAATTTTACGTAAAATAGTGTTCTTCACTCAATGATATGTTAGTAAAGTGAGTCAGTAATTTTTTTTTGGAAAAAGTTTTAGCATCTATATGAGTTTTACGATGGTCTTTCGCAAAGGAAAAACCTTCTAGTAATTTCTGTTATGACTATATTTGATACTTTTTTTCTTTGGTTTTTTTAAAACTATTTTTAGTCAATAAGTATTAAATATTTACGGCATTCAGACAACATTCGAGCACTTGGGAAGGATCTGTTAAAATTGTACAGTTTGCAAATTATTTTGTCGATTTACATTAGCTATATTGTGTCACTCTTTGGCCGTTCTTGGTATGTCTGACGAACAGAATGTCTGTTGATTGGACAGGATCCACACAGGATGTGTGAAGACTCTCCTTGAGTATTGTCACGCTTCCCAGAACCGAATGTGTCCGCGGCATTTAGATATGAAGAATAGTATAATGTAGAGGGTTTTTGGTAGTTTCTTTTATACAGTAAGTTTATAATTACACAAGTGGTACTTTTTCCTTTGTATTGTGTTTTCACAGAAGTGTGAAGAATCTCTTTTGGGGGGGCGAGAAATATGGTATATAGAAGAGGAAATTTGTTGGTTCATTTTAACATTGTATATTTAGAAAAAATTCACAACATTTTAAATTTAAAACTTTCTCTTTATTAAAGGGAGATTTTCTCTTCATTTTATGGAGTTGTTTTTCTCACTAGGAATCCTTGTTCTTTAGTTACCTCTTTCCCACTATACTATATTATTATTTTTTTTAATGTTCTACGCTTATAATCCTACAGCGCTCCCATCAATGAACTCCTCTCGCCACAGCGTTCTTCCATGGATTTGTTTAATTGGCATTTTAAAAGCACGTTCACTGTTTGCCATGATATTTTTTTTCGGGGTTAACTTGGGAGGGAGGGAGTTTACCTCATGGAAATTCAATGCACAACTTTTCAAACTTTCCTTGTCACGTCTTTGTACTTTACAATCTTTTACTCCTCAATCAACTTAATGCAAAAGTGCCATCAATTTTGCAGAGTGTCAATGGAAAATATTTCAGGAAACTTCTCAAGCAAGCTCACGTGATGCGAAACATAAAGTATATATGTATGTGTGTATAAGATCAGAATAGCGTCAGCAAAAAGGGGTTTGCTTCTACCACAGTAGCAACGATGAGTGACCAAGAATAGAGTCCGTGGGTGACATGCTGAGAGGATGAAGATGAGTTCATTCAAGTGGATGAGGATGAAATGAGTGAAAAATCATGATTTGTGTCAGTTCCAAAATTTAATTGTTTAATGTACATTATCAACAATATCATTCGCAGATATTTATGAGTAAAGAGAAAAATAAACAGGTTGTACAAAATAACGAAATTCATAAAGTGATCAACATGAGGAATACATGTGAAAGGCATCTACTTTTCCAACTTTAACAGAAGTATTACGTCCAACTCAATATTGTCTCTTCATTCTTGATGATTTCTCCGTCTTTCTCCATGATTATGGCATTTTGCAACCAAAGAAAATAGCAGCAGGAAAATTATAATTAATAATAAAAAAAAGTGCTCTACTTTGGGAAGGGAACGTATTCTTGCCTACATTTCTTCCGATACATGTTTGAGCGTCTCATTTTTTTTCCTCTAAATTCATTTTATCTACTCCACTCTTGAAAATTGTGCTTCTCATTCATTCGCGACATGCGACGAAATAAGGACAATTGAACACAAGGGATGGTACGAATTGGTAATTGTACTGAAATTAAAGAGAAACCAGTCAAATTAACAACCACAAATCCTACTTTATGCCAGTATTCATCATTATTCTAATATAGTTCCTTCGCATTAACTATATCAATAGTATTACTGTGAATTTTGCAATAGTTTAAATTCAAATTTATTAGTATTTAGATAGCAATGTAACTTAACAAATTAGTTATTTTGGTTTATCTCCATCTTCTCTGTTCTCCACAATATACACAAGACCATATCGTTTTTTCTTCTCATCGTTTTACTATAATTTATTTAAAGTTATCATTTTATTGTATCCTTTATGGCAATTTATTTCATTTTTTTTTTCTCCTAAATAATCGGATCTTCAGTTTCCTCTAATTTATACATTCACTTCAATTTCTCATTCACTAAATTTTAACATTACAACAAAAGAAAGTTTAACGCAACAAATGTTTTATAAGAAAAATCGTTTACTCTTAATTTAGGGTATTTTCTTTTTTAATTTTTTTTTCTTTTTCTTTCCTTCTGCTATACACAATTTCTTAGGTGTCCACCTAATGCTTTTTTTCGGGAATCTAATATGCATTTATGCTTGTTTTGAGTATTTGAGTTGTTTTCTTTAATTTCCTTCTTTTATTACGTCTTTTCAAAATGTTCGTGTATGTTAAGTCGAGGATTTTACTTCTTCGGTAGAGTTTTGATACATAAATGAATGCAATGACAATGGTGGGATATATAATTAATGACGCAATAACTAACAATTCTCATGTTAACTTAACTATTGATAAATTCCAGAGAGGTGATGGTGACTACATTTTGCGGTAACTTGGCGGAGATATGCATGGACTTTGACACGAATTGTTTTGAGGGGAAAACTTCAAAGTGAGTGGCAAACATAAATTTACAGTTCCTTCATTGTTATTTGTTTGATTAATTAGGCGCCTTCGTTAACTGTTCCAATTGTTTATTGTCAGAGAGTAAAATTAGCGTAAAATACTCAATGCGTAAGAAAGAAATATCACGATTGGCAATAACTATTTACTGAAGTGACCAATTACATTCAATTGGCCAAGAAACCACCGATTTACTGTCTTAACCTGGCATTACTGCAAAATGTACCACCATCTCCGAGTACCAATAAGTGCCTGAAGCATCTGGAAAAGTCCCTGCTTCAGCCAATTGTTAAACTATAAAATTCTACCACTGTCTACAATACAAAATATCTGTAAAAACGATATCGTTACATCTTCAATCAAAAAGGTAACTGCTAAAGAAATCACCTTAGAGTATAGAGTTATTGTAGGTCGTCTTGTTAGTTTACTTGCCTTCGTAACACTTAGACGTACCACTCCTTAATGTCCTTCGAGTCGCGCTTCTTGGGCTTCGCCACGGACGCCATGTAGTTCGCCTTGTCGTGGCCGTTGCGCAGGGAGCCGTTGTAGGAGAGATTGGAGCCATTGATGGGATGGTGGATCTGCTGCACGGGATGATGGGCGGGATTGTGATGGTGAGCATTTGATGCGACGCCGCCACCCAGCAGGGCGGCATTGGGGCCCTGTCCGAAGGCGCCGCCCTTGTCCACTTCCGCCTTGTAAGGCCTGTCGCCATTGGACTTGAACCATAAGACTAGTAGTATAACGAGGATCACAGCTATGAGGGCGCCCGCCACGATGCCGATGATCATGGCCGTGCGTTCCTCGGCCTCAGAGTTGATACGGCCGCCCTTGTGCTTTGGCCGCAGCGTGGGCACGTAGATCGGCGGATGGGGATCCTGGTACGGCGGTGTGCTCTCCTCGATCTCCCTGGTCGTCTCCACCGGTTCGTGTTCCCACGTGGACTCGCGCTCCGCCGCCGACGTCTCCAGGCCCTGTGTTGTGAGGATTGAGGTGCTGCTGCTACTAGCCGTACTCGTGCTGCTGCTCGTGGACGTGGTTGTCGTACCGGCAGAGCTGCTGCTCGTCTCTCCGGCTGTCGAGGAGCTTCCCACTGAGCTGGTGCTGCCGCCCAGGGTCGAAGTACTTCCCTCACCGGATGTGCTCACGCCAACAGACACTGTTGTGCCTCCGGACACGCCCGTTGTTGAGTCCAATTCCTTCATCGTCTCAGATGCTGAACTTATCTTGTGGGTCTCCGATGGCGTTGTCTCCATGTGGCTGGACGTGCCGTCAGGTCCTTGCTCTGCAATGTGAGGCGCAATCAATAAATTACCCTCTTCATCTCTGCGACTATTTTTGCATCATCTTCGCGGAAATAACAACGGCAAGAGGAAATTAATTTCCTACTCAAGTTCCCGCTGTTGCCATTCACGAGAGAACGGAAATGCCGTTTTGTACAGTGATGGAAAATAGAGATTCATGATTTCCTTATTACCCATTCATTCACAGTTTGAACGTTCTTCTCAGAAAGATAGACATATAAATAACAATTAAGTTTCATTTGGGCACTTTGTGATCTTTTAAAATTCAAGCAGAAGAGAGGAGATGAATTGATCAGGAAAACTTTTTCAAATGGGATAATTCACTTCTGAGTTCGTGAGATGTGAATACAAAATTGTGAAAAATCAATTTCACCTGTCGATTTGATGGTTGTGCTTCCACCGAGAGACTCAGTCGTCTCACCGAACCCTGATCCATGAATGCAGTCCTCGTCGTCGCACGTTCTCTCGGGCGAGGTGCCATCCGCCTTGCTGGATTTAGTGCCCTTGGTGGAGGATGGCTGCTTGGTGGGTGGAACGTAAACCGGTGTTATCAAGTCGTCTCCTGATCCCGACTCAAACGGCGGTGTGCATTCATCTTCGTCATCGCCACGACAGCCGGAGCCGGCTCCAGAAAATATTAAATCATCCATCACGCCGGGGTATCCACTTGCTGGCGTCTGGAATTCACCACAATCTCTCATAAATTATCACCTCCGGATCCATCCGCATTGTTTGCTTCACGACACACAAGCACAAATGCTGCATCTGAAGGATGAGTTTGAGGATTGACCATTTGAGATGGAGTGTGTATAGTATTTTCTTTCTCATATCATATGTCATACAGACATACGTATATTCAGTTGTCTGAGTCTTGATCAAATTGTATGTTAAATTTCATGTTTTATGTGGTTCTTGGATTTATGTGTGCTCTGATTAAATTGTTAAATGTTGTGTTGCAGTGCATATGGAGTGACTTGAATGATAGCGAAATATTATACTCTTAAAGATGAGAATAAAACTTTATAAAGTATAAAGTGGAAAAGCAATTGGGAAAAGAAAATCAAACCGTCTTATGCAAAGGTAAACTTTATGATAGTACGGCTCTTCCTCTAATATAGAGTGTCTTGATTCATATAGAAAAGTTGCTAATCGGATTAAAGAAGAAATCGATTCTCTTCTCATTGTTATTGCCATAGTTTCAAAGTTTACTTTTGCATACTGCGCTATAAAGTCCAAAGAGATGAAATAATAAAATTTTGCCACTGATTGCAGCCGGTTTAAGGCAAAAAACCATGCAAATACATGGAAAAATCACCATAGATATGTCTAGTCTCATACGATTCATTCAAAACAGAGCATCTTATGTTATTAAAATGCATTGCAAAAAGTCAAGAGTATATAAAAGAATGGACATTGCCAATTATTTTATGAGACAGATAGATGGTTTTCGACAATTTTCTCAAGACACTGTTTCCTTGCAACTATTTTTTGTTTAGGAAATAATGATTGAACATTTGAACTGAGGAAGAGAATCGTGTGGTAAAAAGTTTAATTATTAGAGAGAGAGTTATTAGAGTTTTTTGATGTCTAACCTGCTGCATTCGTTGCAGATCATTTCTATCTAATACACCCGTTACCAATTGCACGTCCCCACGAACGTTCACGTGTGGGTCCCTCTCGGCCGCCAAGTCCAGCACGCGAAGGCGATTTAGCGACAGGCCGGCAATGACTCCAGCGAAAGGACGCTCTATTCGTGATCTGCCGTTGCGGTTTATTTTGCCGCCCACCTGAATGTTTGCCATTGAGTTGAAGGTGGTCGCGTGATGCCCTGCAAAGACACACGGAGAAGATTAGAGTTGATGAAAAGCTTTGCGAATTCTTCCTCAAACTCATATAATGCCTCAATGTTGCAACTCTAATCTACACGAAACACAGCTCGGCAGCTCAACAAATTTATACCCCATCCTTGGCAAATCAAATTATTTAACGCAATTACTCCCATTGCGGAAACACAATGCAACACTACGGCAAATCCCCAATGCGGGGGCATTGGCATACCTTGCGGATAAAGCACCTGGACATTGTAGTCATCGAGCTGGAGGGTTGCATTCACACCTGAGCGGGAAAATCTTATCACGTGGTAATTGTTATCATTGACTTTAACACCGATTTCGCCCAGCGGCAAGTCATGAGATCCAATATTGTACACCATAAACACATTTCCCTCCACAATCTCCAACTCCATGTAGTCGGGCGTGGTGGAGCTCTCGATGCGAAGCAGCACGGCATCGGACTTCATTGTGATGATACCCAAGGCTATTTGATCCTCCTCCGTGTCGGGCTGGTTACCTGGTGGGAATGTGTAGTGAATGATGCCACGATTGTGGCCAAACTCATACGCCACAGACTCGTCATAGCACGTTGGCCCTGTGTAGGATGTCATGTCGCACTCGCAAGCGTAAGCGTTCCACTGCTGAACGCACGTGCCTCGGTTGGCACAGGCGTTCTGGCTGCATTTGGTGGGGCCCTCACACCCATTGACCACCAGAGAGCTCGGCACCACGGCGTCATCCATGAGGTTCGGGGAAGAGTCAGCAAGGTCCAGCGACGCCATGCACCCCTCAAAGCCCATCCGAGAGGTGATGCTGGGCGGCAATTTGGCGTACATGTCCTTAAATACACCACCCACGTAGAGGATTCCCTCCAATTCCAAGTGCATATTGTTTCCCGGCACTGAATGCACCTCAATAGCGTCATCCACTATGAGGGAGTGAGTCTTGGGGCCGGGTCGTCGCACGCTGACCGAGTGCCATCGATTGTCATTCATGTGCATTCTGCTCTTGTCCCGCATCGTCACAGCCCCATCGCCCATGTTGAAGACGTAGTGGATGTGCCCGTTGACGAGCTCCAGGGCGATAAAATCACTCCGACGGCCGCCGTTGTAGAAGAGCAAGCCATTGGGCTCCAGTGTCTTGAAGCGAAAATCAATAAGCACATCAGAGTACGCCTTCAGCATGGGGAGGCCCACGTAGGAGTGCTTGGAGCGGAATGTGGCGGCATGGTAAGGATTTCCAGGTGGTGAATTCACAAAACGTGCCGTCAATTTAAATGACACGGAAGGCAGAGCCGTTACTTCCGTGCCCAAACTCCACAGCATATCAATGTACCTGCCGGGGAGGGAAGACGTGAAAGATGAAAATATGATCCATGAGCATCCTCAGCATCTCCAGTACCTATTTCCATTGTAGACAAAGCCCTGAATTTGGCCGACAAAGTGTGGCATCATGGAGGTCATTTGAATTTCCTCCTCAGCATGAAACAGTCCACCCAAATATATCGAGCGTATCTCCATTGTACTGTGTCTACCCAGAATTGTCTCGGCTGCAGAAGATTACGTTATTCACAGTAAGAGAATGTGTCGAAGGACTGTGCAAGTAGCAACAGTAACACAAAATGTACAATAAAATGATATGCCAAAAAAAGTACCAACTCAACATTTCAGAACAAAAAAAATCAAATAAATCCCTTCCCAAGCACTTCTCTGACCAATTACAACTCATGAGCAATGGTCTTTGTGTATGAGCTTTGAGAAACTAATTTATGACGAATGTTGACCCATAAAAAAATTGGCAGAAGCAATCTTGTTATGCACAGAAATTCTTCCTGCTATAATTGCCAGAAACACATATAGAATAAGACTCTCTGGCATTTCTTATGTACACAAAAAATCCTCAAGTACACACTTAAACTTTCATTTAACTCTTCGTCTTCTCGCTGAAAATGCAGTTGATAGTTCCTGCATGTGCAGAACAGCTTCAATAATATCACGTTTCCATCCACCAAATTGGGTCATTTGGAAATTGCGTTTCGACTTGCGCTCTATTAGAATTCCCCAATAATATCTCCAGGCCTTCAACAAATACGAAGACTATCCCTAAAAGTTTTCTCCGACTGCTCCCTCTTCAGTGCACTCAAATTCACATTCGTTGAGATATAATCTAACTCTTCCTGACACATCTTTGGGAATGAAGTGTGTACAAAAGCTCAGGAAATTAGGGCAAATCTCTCATCAAAGACGGAGATAAAATTAATTAACCTTCAGAAGGTATTGAATGTTCTGATAATCCATTTCGTAGAATTATGTATGTTTTTCAAAACATTCTTAGCTTTAAGGTACATTTCAGTATTATGCAGTATCTGCTTAAAACACAGCAATATCGAATTACATAAGGACTGAGAATGAATATAACACAAAAGCATTTGTATTTCCCAGAACTGCGGCAAAGCAGCACAATTATTTTAATTAAACAACGCAAATCGCATTGGATTTTCCGGAATTCAATTGTTTATAATTTTCCACCTTCACCCATAGAAAGACTAGTATTTATGGCAACACAAACACTTGAAAATTGTATTTATTTTATTTTATGTCTTGCCCAACCGTTGTTTATAGGAACGCGAAACGAATTTTCCAAATTCGAACCTTCACCATCTTTTAAATGGTAAGATGATTAGTAACATAATTTAGAGAGGTAATTTAATAGATATGACGAAGAGTTAAGGATACAACATACCAAGAAATTATGAAAGATTCATAAAAATTAATGCGTTTATTGTCCCTTTTTTCTTTCTTGTTTTCTTTTGTATTTTTTGGAAAGTGTTTCTATAGCCAATTTTGAATTCGTCTGATTGAAATAAATCATAAACGCATCAATGTATATTTTACAATGAATTGTAGACAATTCAAAATCAACATGCGAAGTAGTAAATTGAAGGGAAACAATAAGTAAAACATTTCAGATCAATGAAAAACAATTTCATATTATTTTCCAAATCAATAATTAAAATGTCGACTTTTTTAATTATTCCTGTTTTTCTTTTTCACATGCAAGCGACAAGCAAGTATTTTATCTGTCAACAAATCATTTCCTATCACATATTTTTCATCAAAATTATATCCAATTAGACACAATTTAGTATAAAACTTCATGGTAATAATTTATAATGTATATATATATATATATATTATTATTAAAAAAGAAAGGGGTCTAGATCTAATTATTAGATACGGGAGTCAATCAATAAAAAAGAATTCTAGTAAATCCTGAAGAGAATGTTGTTTTTCTGTTTGTCTTCTTTTGCTAAATGAAATGATAACATTTTCTCTGATTGTGAATATGCAAAGAGTATTTTTGCAATGGAATTCATTATGATTGGATTTCGTTTTCTGAAATAACATCCAATTAGGAAGGGTGTTCTTTGAACGTACATCTATAGTTTATTGTATGATGAAGAGCAGCGCGAATGATTTCTTCAAAATACCTTTGTCATGAACGTAGTTGAGAAACTGTTTTTATCTGTAAAATGTGACTGTATATTTTCACTAAGTTTCTTGTGTGAAAGTGCATATATATAAAGTAGAAAAGTCGCTTAGCGGATGACTGTTCTCCTTGGAGGTATGATATAAACAGAAAAACATGTTCTCTTCATTTAAATCAGGCAAAATAATTTTGTGCAATAAAATAGCGCCCTGACGCTCGCAAGTTTCTTTCATCTCATTTTCGAATATCTTTATTTCACGACATTTCTCAAACGATTTCATCGCTATTTCTCTTGTTCTTTCAAGTTGTGAAACAGCTACAAGACTCTTTCTTTGCTCTTATAAAATCTCACGGAAAATATCAATCATTTTAGAATTTAGAAAAAATATATACTCTCTTCCAAAGGTAAGAAAACATTTAGTAGGAAATTTTGATATTTATTCCAATTAGGCGGGAGGAGGGAAAAATACACTCAAAGCAAGTTACAGGTAATAGATAAATAAAACAGTATAATTTATTAGAATATTTAGATTGAAAACTCATAACGCTTACATTATTTGTCTTTTTAAGGGGAGGGGAAGTAAAACAATCATAGAGAAACCAACTCAGTCTAAGAAACTTCTCAATATAAGCAAACATATTAAATCATTTCTTTTACTAGTTTTTACGGCAAATATTACAAATCAGTAAAGGCATTCATAATAAGAGCCATATATATATATGAATAATATGATCAACTTAACAGTCAGATGCAAAAAAAATATTTCCAACATAATGTCCTAATCTAGATGTTTGATTTATCGAATTAATGTTGTAACAGAGGAAATGTGTGGGTAACTAAACGATTATTTGGATGAAACTGCAGAAACATAGAGACAGAGTGAGAGAGAGAGAGTGAGTGAATAGTGGAAAAGGAACAGAAAGCAGTTACACCAATTGAAATAAACGACAAAATAACCAATTTTTAGAGTAGAGAGAGATAGAAGAATACAGTTTTCGATAAATCATAAGTATGTAAGGCATGATATATAAAATGATTCTGATATGTTCTTCTTTTGCAAACTCTGAATTTTTTTTCAAATATCATCACGACTGAGTGAAAGTATAGCAAATATATATATTTCCAAATGATACTGTTCTCTTGATGTTCTTTTTGTCTCATTAGCATTATGCTTGGTCTAAATCATTATCTCAGCACTCAACAATTAGAGTTTAATGTTGTAATAGTAAAATGTTACGTTATATATATCGTATTACTCATGAAACACGAATATATTGTTAATATATTGAATCTCAAAAATTAAGAAAACGACACGTCACGACACGTATTAGGGCAAATATGTGCTGTTTGATACATACATAACGTACCCCTGACGGGGGCAGCCCCGTCAACTTGTAGCCGCAGATTGGAGGCTCTCCTCGAGAAGCGCACGGTGTGCCAATTGTTGTCATTTAGCACGCCCTGTCCTGCTAATAGATTCTATTGCAAAGTCAAATTGGGGTGAGTGAGATTTGAGAGCCAGGAAGGAGGCAACAGTGTCACACTTTACCTTCTCGCGATCACCCAATCTTACACTTGCCCTCACACGGCCGGCCACAAGTGCCAACTCGAGACGATCTGGCGAATTGGATTCCGCACTGGTGAGCAGGAGCAGACCCACCGGGCGAGCTGTCTTGAAGCGGAGGATGAGTTCTTCTGTTTGAGTACGGGTACCTTGAGTGCCTCTCGGCCAAATGGTCATGTGTTGAGAGCCGTTGAACGCCAGAGTGGCAGATTCTGCAATTAATTTTTAAACATTCCCTAAATTTCTCTCGCAGAAGAAAACCGAAAATCACCCGTGTTATGTAGTTCTCCCGTTCAAAATTAAAGTTGTGTAACTGGTAAAACTTCCTCTTCAATTTTCCCTTCAACCTGTACATTATTAAATTCGTAATATTGTGAACCATTTGATAAAGTCTCTCTGTAGAATCACATCTCAAAGTACTCTTTCAAGGACTGCAACACCCTTAACTTTCTCCTGCTCGCAACAACACCCGATTCCCCAAATACGCTTCCAGTTGAATGAGTCTCAGAGACATTGAGCAAACAGGGGAGTATTTATTGTAAATTAACAGAATTCCCTGAAAGACACCGCGCTCAATCAGTTCAACTATCCCGTCTGTTCACTTCTGCTCTCAGTTCTAATTAACAATTCCACTACAGTGATGCAATTTGCGGGGGTAGCTTAAAACGGTTGGATTTCGGGTTTAATGATGTGAAATCATCGATTGGGATTGGTGGATTATTTCGAAAGAATAAATAATTAATTATCATTCCCAGGAAATTCCCACTGAATTTGTAATGCGATTAGCGATGTCAGTTACAAAGCTTTTCACTTTCAAATGGGATGGACATGGCTTGAATTTACTATCATTCAGCACAATGTACAACATACATTTGCTGCGGTTCCGAATATAAGCAATTTCATTAGCACATTAATTGTTTGCAAAAATTTTCATTCACAATCACTACTAAATAGCCACAATAGGTAGGGCTTATAGAGAAGTACGAAGTGAATTAATTAAAATATCACGATAGCAATTTGTGAAATCTTTAATTCTTTATTGAAAAGTATTGCAGAAAACGTATTTAATGATATAAAGGTAAGCGAGCTGTGAAAATGTCGCTCTTCCTGACAGCCATTTAAAGTTTCTCAACTCCATGGCGGAAAGCTTTTGCCTCTTGTGCACAAAAATTGCTACAACTTCCGCCGGACGGTTGGGCGGAGAGTCAAACGAATTTTCCAGGAGATGCACACCAATTTTTCGTCTCGATAGCATCTTCTCAAACTATCGTAAATCGACTTCCGATTGGCTTCAATAAGGGTAATGCTGCTTTTACGGCAATGGATAAACTCGATTAACCACTAAATTACATTTCCATCCCCAATCTCCATTTGTTACGTGAGAGAGCTCTCTACATTTGGGATGATGACACACTTTAAAGGCATGATCATTATAATAAAAGATGAATTGCTCCTAGAATTGGCTTATCACAGTAAAAAGTCTGTATATTGGAAGCTGTTAAACCCACAATTTTAGGGCGGACCGTAAAAAATTGACGGACACTCACCTCTGCCACAAGTAGGACCCGTGTAAAGGGTTGAGGAGCAATCGCAGAGTGGTCTGTTCCAGCCCTCGGTGCACGATCCTCCGTTCTGGCAGGGGGACAGTGAGCCTCCACATTGACTTGCTACCACATGGCAGCTGGGCTTCACAGATGCCGAGTCCTGTTGTCGCGCATAAGCTGCAATATCAACTGGTTTACCATTCAGCACCACATCTCGCAGGCATCCAACGTATCCCTGTCGCAGTGTCGCTGTCCAAACAGCTGGAGGCCAGTTAACATTGGCATAGGCCGGTCCAGTGCCACCGATGTAGAGCGGGCCGTCCACTTCGAGCTGTGTGGAGTCGCCCGGGGTGCGGAACTCATTCCACACAGAGTCCACGGACACCTTTCCCTCCCGGCCGCTGCGCTTCACCATCAACTCATGCCACACACCGTCATCAACGCGGCGTCGAGAGGCTCGCACCTTGACAGCACCCGAACCCAAATCCACGTGAACGTAGATGTGGCCATTGAGCAGCTCCACGGCAAAGGTGTCAGACTGAGGAGAGAGGCGGAGGCAAACAAATTAGAATAAATGGCTCAAGTGTAGTGCAAATGGATAAAATGCTTTCTCTCTCTCTTACCTTGGGTGGTCGAGTTCCAATGTTCATTACAATTAATCCATTAGGTTCATTTGTTCTGAATTTGAAGGAGATTGTCCCCTGCTTAGAGGCGTCCCACATTGGAAGTGTCTGTAAATTAAATTAAATTTCAGCCACACAAAAACCTCCTCTAATTGATTAAAATCACTTATTTTAATAAGACTGACAAGTGACACGGGTAAATCGCGAGGGCAAAACTTTTTGATGAACTTTCACACAAGAAATTTTATCTCAGAATTATTTATGCTTGTCATTTTGCTGGTGAATTGTGTGGTCTCAGTCTGTTTTAGTAATCATGAGACGTTAAAAGATGAATGTTTGTACAGACGTTCAGGAATGCCTCGAGAACTTATGCAAAATTTTGCTGTGTCTCTGAATACAACTTAATTTGCTAAATACAGAGATCTTGCGAAAGAAGCCACGGACTTGACTAGCATCAATTTATCGCCTTTGCTCATTACACTCGGCGAATTCTCGTTTAACTGGGTGTTGGTAGTTTTCTTGGCTCCAAACAAAAATAAAAGAGACATCTCATGACTTTCGTACGCTTAAGCATTTGCAAACTTTCTCAATCATCTTCAGTCTGTTCAGCACGTTCAGGATATAATCACAATATATTTTCTAAGGAATCAAAAGACAATTGCTCCGCATTGAGACATTTGAGAAACATTTAAATTAGTAATACATTGCATTTCAACGTAATTCACTTGAATAAGTAATCCATATTCAGAGTTAATATCATGTTCCCACTCATTGTCATCTTGTGTTAAGCATATCAGATTATATCGTCTCTGTAAATGTATATTAGAACTTTCTCTCTATGAATAGAGCAATGGAATGGAAAATGCGAATAAGCCAATGAAGGATTCCATTTATCTCAATAAGGGGAGCTTACCAAATGCGATGATCTGGTTGTGAATGTGACGGGGTCTTGAGGGTCTCCGGACGGACACATGTAGTCAACTCTTCCGGCGACTTGTATCAATTTGGACCCCGTGCGGGCTAAATCGATGAGGTTGAGACGCAGTGTGTCTGCTGAGAATTCCACCTTCCTCAGGCATCCAACGAAGTTATTGTGCACTCTGGCACCCTGGAGTGCACGAGGATTAACAGCTCCACCCACGTAAACTCTCGAGGAGGATAGCATTGTGAACTTCCCGGCGATATGAGAGTGATCAGTGTATACATCGTCAACCACGGCCACCAGCTAAGAGTAAAGCGTACTTATAGCATCTCATCTGCTTGTGTTATCAGACATTTCAGTGAGAAATTTACCCGACAAAAGCTCGTAATGGATGATATCTCTTGAATTCTGCGATGAACTGTGACTTTGTGCCACTGATGATCATCAAATCTAACTCGGGAGGGCTTGATATGCATCTCCTGCTTCCCATTCGCTAGGCCCATGGTTAACGATACGCCGCCGTCGCGGAGAGCGAGATTCAGATAGTCCGTTCCGTGGCCAGTGTAGAAGAGCAACCCATTTGGCTGTCTGGTTCTGAAGTACAGTGAAATTGCATCTTGAGCACTCACAATCGGTTCCCCTCCGGTCTGTCCTAAGTCATAGGAGAGAAACTCTGTGCCCCGAAAAGTGGCCTCTGATGGAGCCTTGTCTGAAAAGACACAAAACATTCCAGAAATGGGAAAACAGCAAAATGAGAGCGAGGATGAAATTTATTTTAACAGTTTAATTGAGTTGAATTCTCCAAAGAGCGGTTATATCATGCATGTATCTGCCTTTTAAAAGAGGAAACACAGCATTAATAAAATTCATGCTGTGTTACAATGCATTATAGTTGTTTTAGAAAGATCTTAAACTAAAATTCATTATGAAATTCATGAAGAAATATTATTATGTTGAAACGTGAGTGAATAAAATTCTTCCCAACAAAGTTTTGGTAAAATGTCATAATATTTGAAAAGACTAAAATGGAGTTTGTAGTGCAACAGCAACCTTTTCTCCACTGTGGAGAAAGGACGGAATTAAATTGGACAGAAGTAATTCGATGTTCGCATGGACAGATATCACAAAAGGTCAGTGAGAGCTCCCCTGTCAACATGGATAGAAAGGTCACCAAATTGCTGCAATCTCGGTATTTTACTCCTTTGCTATCAACAGGAATCAAGATTGGATATAATCGAATTACTGTGCGACTGTCAACGGTATCCGTCGAGACATCGAGACCAATAAAATTAAATTTCTACTCCAGAAAAATGTATAGCAGGATTTCTCCATTCAGACAATTTTACTCCTCTTTGAAACCTTCCATCATTTCGAGTATAAAACAAATGATATCCAATTATAGTGAAATGCAATCAGTAGTCTTAGAATTGAGCGAGAGAGAGAGAGAGCCAGTGAAGATCAGCCGGGGAGCAACAGACAAAATCACCTCATCATGATAACAATCTTGTGAAGCGAAAGTTTCATTTTCTGCCCCATTTTGCCAGGGAATTGAAGTTTCAGCATCTCTGCTCTGCCACGATAGTGCGGGCATAAAGGAAATTTATAACTTTGTGTAAAAGGAGAGTAAATGGAGTCGTACACTCCTTGTCGCATGCCATAGTGAAAAGTGCCACTTTTGAATAATTTCATGGCTATGTGTTGTGAGCATTTCAAGTTATGTACCTGGTAATGTGCAGACAAATTGACACACATGTGGAGACAATTTCGCCCTGTAATGGCGAGTTTAGGAATCAAATTGACTAATCCCACTGGTGTATTCATTTGGGATGCGATATGAAAGCCACACACACAATACAAAGGATCTATGTTCGCATATATAATGTGATAATTCACTCCTGCAATAGAGGTAAATGTAATTTTAAAGGCGAATTTTGCACACGTTCTTTGTACTATCCCGGCCAATGTACAACTTGTTCAGCGAGCGAAACATGAGTCGGGTGAGATATGACGCTCTCTCCATCACATAAAAAGCCCCAATTCTATTCTTATCATTCATTCAGTGTTCGTCGGAACGGCCGCGAGTGTGCACCGTGTCGGAGTGATATAAATGAAATCATTCAATAAACGTACGTTACCCCCTTTGTTCAATAGTTCAACAGCTATGAATTTGTCATTTGCCGGGGGTGGCTTCCAGGGGTTGTACTACAGCGGGGTGGTGGCGTGTCTCCGAAAGTGTGCCCCCAATTTGACTTATGGGAAAATTTATGGAACATCTGCTGGCGCCTTGGCCGCCGTTGCACTCCTCATCGACCAAGTTAATGGTAAATTTTAGGATTCATCCGCCTGTAATTTGATTGCGGACATTTCCCCCTCTGACGCCTCGCTTTCGCCATTTCGGATTGCGTCAATGGTGATATTTGGCAAAATGTGATAATTAACCAAAGCATGAACTCACAATTTATATAAATAAATCCACCAATAATCCCGCACATAGTCTGATTAGATTTGATTGATTGGACGGTCGGAAGACCACCCTAATGTGATGGTATTATAACTTTGATCCAACTTCTTAAATATTCTTACACATAGATTAATTGTATCGCTTGATTTGAAAGAGCGGAAATCATCCAAGAGCATTTCACCTTGTTATACTCATTCAATATCCACTACGTCATCATTCTTTCTTTCATTTTGACACGAATACATCACAGCTATTGATCCCAAGGCACAATAAAAGATAAGATTGTATGAATTAAACAATCAATATTTATGATCACTTTGGCTGAAAAGAACATTTACGCTGTGTATGTATTGAGAGCCAATAAATGCTGTTTTTGCCATAAAGCCAATATTTTTGGTATGTTTTTCCATGTTTTCGCTAATATTACCCAGTATTTCGGATCATATTTTTTGCTAGTCTATTAGATGCCGCAGTAAAAAAGCTATGCAAACAGAGTGATTTTCAATGAAAAGAGCGCATGATTACTAATTGCAAACGTTCATTTATTATTTCACTTTTAGCTCACATTTTTCATGTTTCTACAACAGTTTAAATAACCATGGGCATTAGCATTTTACTCTGGCTTTTTTAAATTCCACTCTATGTGAAACTAGCACTCCATCACTATGAATATGCAAAATAATTTTGCAACTTCATTTTCATTTATTGAACTTTTATGTTTGATTTTTGATTGCTAATCTGTGTATGAGTGAAAATTTCATATTTCAGAATCTAAAATTCAAATATATGGGTGTAGTAAAGATAAAATGAAAATAATAGGTAATTTTTAAGTAGGAGATTCACAAATTCACATTAATTTCCTCTCACTTTTGCCGAGGTGAATATGAAATACTGTTGTTTCCATGCGCTTGAGTTTATGTGGAACATAATTAGGAAATTATTCAGTTAGCAACTCAATCTCATTTAATTGGTCTATTTCAGACAACTTTACTGCAGAAATTTTGCGAATGTCATCGAATGCCGAGAGAAGTTTGTTCGGGTCGTTCAAGCACATCTTCAATTCCAGCGACCATATTTACCGGATGCTTGACAAGTATTTGCCCATGGATGCACATTTGCTGGTTAATGGGAGACTATGCATATCATTGACTACCTTCACGGATGCCGAAAATGTCGTCGTGTCACATTTCGATAGTCGTTCTCAGCTAATTCAGGCCCTCGTTTGCTCCTGTTTTATACCACTCTTCTCGGGCATTGTGCCACCATATTTCAACGGAGTGCGATACATGGACGGCGAAATGTCCAATAATCGACCGTACACGGAGAGCCAAGCCGAAATTGTCACAGTTAGTGCATTTTCGGGCGAATGTGATATATGTCCATGCGATACGAGTCAACAAATCCTCCACATGAATTGGGGAAATAACATTTTATCGCTGTCTAAGGAAAACATTAAGAGACTATCTGGTGTATTAATCCCTCCATCGTCCGAGACACTCGTAAAAATTTGTGAACAAGGATTTTACGACACCCTGAAATATTTATATAGGAATAATTATGGCTCCAGCCCACGATGTCTCTCCATAGCGTCAATATATGGAGTGGAATCAAAGGAACTCCTCCAGGCGACAATGGATATTTACAATTGTCCCTTTGGAGCAGGCGCCATAGAGGAAGTGAGAAAAATCATGAATACTGAAGAACTTGTGCCTTTGATTGAGGATACCAGAGCACACATAGTGAGTGTAGCGGATGGGGAGGTGGAGTGTTTGGATTTAAAGTTGAATGCCACTTCACATTTCCGAGACAATGAGGGATGCGAAGGGGATTCCAACACAGCCTCCGATATTACTCCCAAGAAATACTCACTGAGACATTGTTTGAAACTCCTCCCAACTGCCTTTACAGCTACACGAGGAGCCCTAACTAGTAATATATTGAAACGTTTGCACTCCCTGCTGTTTACCACCGCAACGGAAAGGGTGAGTCTCGAAATGATAAAGCGCGATGTACTCGTACACGTGTTTACTATTGGCGAAAATTGTAAATATCTTGAGGTCTTGTTTTCGATCTGGCTTTTAATAGGGATCCATCGGAAGCCTAAAGTGAAAAGCAATTTCCTAAACCTCTAGCAATAAATCCATTTCAGCTGTAAATTGATGGTGTGCACTCAAAAAACCTTGTGCACGACTTTCTCTTTGAAGAATATTTGCTCTGTCTCCCCAAAATGTTTTTCAATTGGTATTCTTTTCAGTGCACAGCTCTTCAAAGGAGAGCCTGTGGAAAGGAACACTGCAGCGAGAGGCGCAACTCAGATGAAAAACTCCTTTCATTGCTCCAAGGAGGCACGGAAATAGAACCTCTACTCTCGCTGCATCACATCAATAGGAAAAATCAAATAGTGCAAACAGCGATTTTCGATTTAGATGATTTGGATACAAATATTGTGCCACAAACACCATCAGAAATCGAAATCAATCATCAGCTTGAATTTGATTTGGATCTGGACCATGAATCTGAAATTTCGGGTAAAAAGAGCTGCGCACTGGCGTGCCTCCGCACGTTAAAATTGAATATTTCATGTTGACCTTCCCTTTCAGGTGGAATTTTTAGTGAAGATGAAGACTCAGCACACATCCAGTGGCGGGATTCAGATTGTCATCAATCCATTGAGGAAATTTTTATTAATACTTGGAACGATGGGGAGTCAAGTGCTGAATATTCTATTTCCGAGAAAGCTTCGAAAGCTCTCTCAAGCTCTTTCTATTCCACTCTATCACTATCCCAGTCGGCACAACTCGACCAAATATGCTAATGCGACTATGAATTTAGGAGCATTTCAGGGGGAATTGGAGAGAATTTATGTGATGTCTAATAATAAAAAAAACTAACCTCTTTCGCAGTACATTCCTTCATATTCCAAATTCCTGCATTCACACAATGGCCCAGAATCTGTCGATATACATATGCCACCATGCTGGCAGGGATCGTGTCGTTCGCAAGCATCTGTTACATTCCGAAGGCCCTGCGCATGAAAACGCAATATATCAGCAATCAAATATTTTTTACTCATACAAATAACATCCACGCAGAAGTCGTATTATCAGGGATGGTATTTTACGTGAAGTGAAAACTCAAATAGACAATTCCATCTCTCCAATATTACGGAAAATCATTTATGTGAATGTCTGTGAAAACCAATTATTTTAATCGCGTTATATTCACTTACCCGCGTGACTTTCTCTTTCGGCAATTCATTAACGTCACAAGGAGCATCGCCACACTGTGGAAAAAAAACAGGGAAAATGCCAAACAATTAATCATTTGCTGTGTAAAAAAAAATCATTTGAAAAATGTGTAATTGAAAATGCCACGTGAATTTGTACAGCAGAGCAAACAATTATGACTTTCCTGGCTGCTCTAATGTGCGTAGCCATAAAGTCCTCAATTAGAGCAATAAAGCGAGCAATTAAATTTCATAAAAAGGGACTTTTGCATTTCACGATCGTTTTCACACATAAAAAATGCTCCCTGGAGGATGTCATTACCTTTATATCCCGAGGTTGGCGCATTTCCTGCCGTCGGGGAGGGACGCCAGGCTGATCGGCATACACGAGGTTCCGTATTGAGCCCCTAAATCGAGGCTCAAATATTACGCTGGGCAGTGCCAACAGGGTCAATTTAGAGTTGTACCTAGTGAGGAAAATATGTAGCATTGTTGATTACATTTCTCCAATAATTCTGATGGAATTTATATTGCTTCCCGTCGCATGTAACAATTTTATTATTATCGATGTTCAACTTGAATCCTTTAATCAAAATCGTAGCTTACCAGTTTGGCATTCCACCAACAAATACGTCAGAATTAGTAGCGAATTTTCCAAATTGAAATTCCTTTCCCCTGGACGACCGCGTCTGCGACACTCCATCAACGGTTAGTGTCGAATGCTCATCACTGCGCAGTACCTATAAAAAGCACATTTTAAAATAGAAATTAAATAAAGAAATTATCAATACAGGAGCTCTGTACATCGCTGTTTAATCCTACAATTTGTTCTATAAATGGTAATACGTAATTGGAACCACTGGAAGGAGTTATTTTCCAACGCGATGCTTTAGTGAGAATTTAAAATCTGTACAACACCGGGATTTGTATGTCCACTTGCTAAAATAAACATTTCACATGATGCCTCCGGTTAAATGTCGCCATGCAAGTGATTTTTTGTCTCAGCAAGGGTGAAAGTTATAAAAAATACACTCTTTTCTGTGGGCGGCTTTTGTAACTGACGAAGCTCAACATTTTATCCAAAGACAAACCACATAGATAATCTTCAACCTTTTGTATAACTTTTATGTTCCGCAGCACAAACACCCACTTTGCACGTGAAAAGGACTTTAAAAGTTGAGTATAGAGATGTTATTTGGGTATTCAGAATGTAAATTACAAAGCTTTTGTGCCCGTTTGAAGGTACTCTTCACGGGGAATTACTTTGGGAGAATTTTATTAAGTATACGATTTTTAATGAAGACAATTCTTCCGACAAAAAATATTAATCTCCCAAATACTGAGTTCTATTTTGTTAAATTAAAAATACAACATACGACCGTCAGAAATACATTCGCACAGAGTATGAATGAAGTTTAAATCGAAAAGTCTGAATTTACGTTTTTTCCACATTATCCGAAATGCATCAATTAAAAAGCTTTTTTTCAATGACATTTTCTCTCTTCTAATGAGCTGCAGATACAATTGCAACAGGACGCCTATGTATAATATATTTCCATGGCTTCCCACAAAGTTTTATGTGAAAATGTCAATTTTCCCTATTTAGGTCATGTGAAATGTCCTTTTGTCCCTAATTTTAAATAAGTCCATTTCACAAGTATACCTTATGTACGTCATCATGTATATATGTGGATAAATTCATAGGAAAAGCACAATATATCGTTCGTTGATCAACAATTTATACAGAAACTTCTATATAATTCAATTGAAAAATTAAATTTCTTCCTTCATTTTGGCGCTTAACAAGGCACTCGATAAATATCCAACTGAGCACAATTATCGCAGAAGGAGAAATATTCTTTTGTTGTGCCATTCAGAGAAAATTGCAGTTGATTAAACTCAAATGCTCAAATAAAATACTTCAAATACATGTAGATGTGACAGCGAGAAGCTTTGTATTCTCTGTCGAGCAATTATAAGGTCAATTTGATAAAATGGAAAAATACGATACAGTCGCAAACAAATTTGATTTATCATTATCAGTCGTCTGGAAAATTTCCCAATTATAGACTGCGAATGAGGAAATTCCTCGGTATAACGTTCTGAAAAGTTGTGGCTGCTCTCAAGGTGCATATTGAAAATTTAACAACCACAATTTTCTATGGAATCCATTTAGGTTTAAAAACTTAATAGCGAAACAGGTACATAGTAGAGGCACTATGATAATTATGAAAAAAGCTCCCCTATTGCAACTTCGCGTGCTGAAAATCTACCCTCAGAATATTTAAGAGCCTCAATGTCAATCGTTAAATGAACAGTTTCTTTACGAAATATACCTATCCAGGCTAGGTGAATATTTTGCAATTGGAGTGGCCACATATGAGTGCGGTGAGAGGGTGAGATGTAAATGGGATAAATAAAACGGCAATCGCCACTGTTGAATGGAGAATTAAAAATGTGAAGGATAAATCGATGGAATTCTCGTGAATGCCTTTAATTGATGATCAAAAGTCAAGAAGAAGTTGTGGAACGTGAAAAGGGGCTCTCTTAGGAATGTTCCCGCACTATTCTTCAATTAGTGGGCAGGCGGAAAGATCGATAAATTCAATCTCAAGAGTTAGCTGAGCCCAGACGATTTATGTGACTTCTCGGGCGGCAGCGTGGGTGAAGGGCCTCGTGGGGGATTTTAAAAGTAGTAAAAGGGGGATCATAAAATTGTTTTATTACTCACTTGCACTTTATGCCAGTGTCCATCATGTAAATCACGACCCACGGTGATTATTTGAGCACCTCCGCCGAGATTGTAGCGCAATCTCAGGGCTCCCTCGACGAGCTTCAGCTCGAAGAAGTCATACGTTCCCCCGTCATCTGTGTACAGCACCAGCCCATTTGGCTGCTCCGTCTTGAACTCCAGCTCTAGCGAGCCGTTGAGCCCCGTGAACCACTTTCGGAACTGGGCGAAGGATGTCTGCGAGCCGTCGAGCAGGAAGCCAGAGCACACGGGGGCCCAGCAGATACAAAAGGTCATGTAGAAAAATGTCATGTACATCATCTGTATGAGGCCCATCTTCCGCGGCGCCAGGCTCCGCAGGGACTCGCCGAATTGCACCCCGAAGCGGCCCCAGAGGTGCCATGGAGCACTTCGCTTCCTCTCCTCTGTACACTTTCTGCAATAGTCGATACTGATGCCGTTGCGGTCAACCGCCATCTTGCTTTTTCCACCAAAAGCACTTTACCACCGAATATGTGAAAATTCACGCGCTCGCCCTAAATTCTACCCTCTCGCAGCGCACTGTCGATATTGTGTATCATCGTGGTTAAGCCTTAGAAATTTATGATGATTTAAGTATGATAAATTCATCTATCTTCCTACATAAATATCCATTCTTTTAAATTCCGTCGGATATGTGATACTCCACGTTTCTTCTCGCTCACTGCACGTCAATTTGGGATTTATCAGCCCCAGTTCTGCCCAGGGATGAGACTGTCCAAAAGCAGCCACACTCTACGCCGACCGTCGCGATATGTACAACTATCAGGTTCCCTCGCAGGAGACCTCACATGAGGACACCATTATTTCTTGTCTTAATATTATATAAGTTATTACACGGAACACCTTCTTACACACTCCCCTTCACCATGGCACACAATTTTCGCTTCACAGATTCACGCAAAAGCCCCGAGTTTGCCACTAAAAAGTACATCTAACTTGCTTCTGGACACACAATTGTTCTTCTGTGGCCCTCTCCAAGTACACGTATTGCATCCTCTTTTGATACTCCACTGCACACATTCAATAATGCAGAATGGTAGTAACGCTGCTTTTCAGGAAGGCTACACTCATGACCGCGAAACAATACTGATTTTGCGCCAGCGCCAGAATCACAGGGTGCCTTTGGAGCGCCAAAGCTCCAAGAATTCAATCGCCTTAATGCTGCCATCGATATTTCATGGTGCTTTTTAGGGCGATACTTCGCCACTTTCTATGAAACACAATAATGTAATCTTGCAAGATATTTATTTTCTGCATTCATTGTCTGCAAGCAGATGAGCGGAAGTTGACTTTTCAACAGAAATTCACTTACTTTTGAATAAATTCCCCCACTGAGGAAACACCTTGTGGCAGAAATTTTTCAGCAATCTCCAACCAAATGGATTCTATATAGAAATTCGTCAGCGCGCAGTTATTGATTTTTCATGTCTGTGTCTCTGTAGTATTTTTCTCATATTTAAGGATAATTTTCTCACACGAGAAATTTCCTCGTCCTTCTTCCCACATGGAACAAAAACTGTTCCAATAGCAAAAATTTCATGCAATCCACCACATATCAATGCATATTTAGTGCTCATTGAACTTCCAACGATTTTTCCGTGCACGACCATAATTTTCCCTTTTTCAGAGGAAAAACGCCACACGACCGAAGAGAGTGGAGTAGACGAGAGTCATGACATGAAATATCTACTGAGTAGTTGAAGGATTATGTCTGAGAAATTCCACTTATTTGAGCACTGTGAAAAATTTCAATGTCGATACTCGGAACATCTGAGATGAGATGCTTTATTAAATTTACTCCATGAACGGCGAAAATCCGTTCGCAAGGGTGCTGTGGATCTTTTAAAGTTGATCTACTTCCCGTGGAGTATCTGATACATTAATTTTGGATGAATTGTTATGCATATGTGGGTGGATGTATTAAGTGGGAAAAGGTGCTTAAACACCTACAGCGATTATGAATGAGTTTCGGCAAATGTTTAATATCACGTGAATTTTCAATTTTTCCCAGGGATACCTGAACTCCCCAAGCAATTACACGAGATGTTTTGCTCGCTCTCCTTTCTCTCTCATTTTTTTCTGCGAATGAAACGCCTACAATTTCAGAGGAAATTCCGAGCAGTGGCATTTTGTTGAGTGTGAAAATAAATAAATTATCTTCTATCCTGTTCATTTGATCTTTTGGCAGCTGTATTCTGCTAATATTCATGTCTGACAATGATATATACAGCCAAAAAGGTTCATGATGTATTCCCCTGTGGGTTGATTTTTGCATTGGAGAATTCATCGATAGCATCTTATTTATCACATTGGGTGTTTTTAGTCCTCTGCACCAAAATAGAAAAGAGACCTTTGTAGCTTTCCATGGATGTAAAAGTTTAATGGCATTCAGGACGAATTTCACCCTCTAATTTTAGATTAATTTTCACTTTCTATTTTAAAAGCTGTTATGATATCGCCACATCCTCTATTAGAAGGCACCAAACCACACTATCCTGTCTTGATGGTAGTGCAATTACCGGTTACCTAATAATCACTACTAAATGACTAGATAATTACAGTGCGACAATGTCGCTCAGAGGTTGTTTGTACAATATATAAATTAAATTGTATGTAAAAAACCACACAATTCAACGTTATATTGTTGATTTATTTTCGTGTGCATCACTAAAGCGCATCAAAAAATTAAATTGTCAACAAAATTGCTATGCGTTTGCATGTGACGAACGTAATCTATTTAATTAGGCTCTTTCGATTTGAGCATTTGCTCAATTTCCAATCTTCTATGTATGTTTTATATAAATTAGTGTGCCACATTGTAGTACATTTTGAAAGTTTCAATGAGGCATCATTAAATACAAATATTTAGATACCTAAATTAAAAAGCTCTGTGATTGTTATTCTATGGCAAAAACTGGGATTTTGAAGAAGATCCATAAACGAAATTAAAATGATATAACTATCACAAAATTAAAAAAAACCCCACTCGAATTTGTATCACAGATCGTCGTAAATATTAAACAAACACTATTGCGGTTGCCATGCGAGCCAGCGCAAAAACAGCTTCTGTTTAATGAGATGCTTGTTTGCAAATTTATATTTATGTGAAAATATTTCATTCGTCTTTCCATACCAACAATACATATTTCATTCCGGCAAATGGATTCAAAATTTTGGTATTTTGTCACAAGACTTCAATCTTCATGCAGCAATTGTAACTTCTATTTGACCTACTCTAAACTTTTTTTAAAACTCACTTTCTTCATACCTACAAGACTGTGTGTGAGCTAGATTGCGAACAGTTTACATACGAAATGAAATTCCGAAACGAAATTTGATTGTGTCGAGAATACATAATAGCTGATTTCATGTAATACGTTCATAGATGGATAAATAGGAAAACCATAATGAAATTTCGTCAAAGGCAGCTTATAATCCGATTGGGGGATTAGACCTGCTATTGCACGGAGGGAAAATAGAGGAAGAATGACAAAGGGAAACTATTGATTACCTGCTTTAAATTCTCTCTTGCGGATTCATTGAGTGCGATGCAAAGATGATGGAAATTGAGATGGGAAGATTTTTACTTACTCTTTTAGTCGAGAGAAAACAATCAATATTTCAGCTTACAGATAACGCACATTGTATACTCAATCGGCATCCTCCTCCTCACTATCAATGACGTTATGAATCTTTCGCCTCTTTCTCACATCGATGACATCGTCTCCGTCGTCAATTGGCTCATTCGTCTTTCCTTCTTCCACCTCAGGACACGAGATATCGATGTCGGATCTGACACGCTTATTACATTGTAATCCATTTCCATCAGACAGAAGGTCACAGCGACTTTGCAGCTCTTCCACGGCAATGTTGTTGGGTATACGCCAATAAATCTCCTGAAATGGTAGAAAATTTCTGCGTGAATGAGGGGCACAGATTGCCAACATTCGCTTTTGGTAGTAAGTACATTTTCCAGTGGCTGCAGCATTCCCATCGCCGTAAGGAGCTCCTGAAATTCAACACTTTCAAGCGCCACTTTGTGCTCCTCGAACAGCGGAACCAGCGGCACGGCATTGTCTTCATCGTCCTCGGGGACGTTTTGTGACATCTCCTGAATTTCATCCTGAAGTGTCTCTTGGAGCCAGTGAATAGCACTCTTGAACTGTGCTTTCAATTTTCCAGCAATCTCCCGGATGTTCGCCGTATCGACATTCTCATTCCTCAGCCTCAGCTGTGGCTCACGTGTGGCTGTGTAATCCTGATTCATTCCACTGCGATCCATGGAGCTAATCTCCCCATCAATCGATGGTCTCCGGGGAGAAATTGCTCCACTCTCCACTGGTTCAATCTCATTGTCATCATCAGATTGATCATTTGCGTTGGGGCCGGGGGCTTTTTTGCCCTTGCGCCCCTTCCCAGCTGACGCATAACTTTCCTCATCGCAGTCTCTCAAGGTCTTGTAGAAGAAGAGTTCTGCATAAATTTTTGCATTCTTCTCAGCGTCCTGCGTGAAGCGTCGCACAATGAATGTGGCCAGGCGCCTCAACTCCTCATGGCGTGTCTCTCTGGGGGCGTGAAGCACTTCCTGAAACACCCTGAATAGTGATGCCTGATACAGCATTTTGGGCATTTTGTACTTCACCGCAACACGATGGAGCACAGTTACCACACTCAATAGGGCATTAGCCGACAGTGTCTTCCACTCCAACAGCACCAGCACACATAGACGAGTCGCCCTCGGATTGAGCAATCTACGGAAGAAATTATTTTACCTCAAAACACCACCTTTTCAGCGCAATGGACACGAGTGACGAAGGGGAAAAAATATACGAAACCTTTTAGCAAAGTCATCAAAATTAAATTGCTTCTCGGTGAAGTTTGTGTAGTTTTCTGTAATTAGATGGTAATGTTATTAGCATAGACGAAGACTGGATATAATTGCAAATATATTACCTTCATCAGCCTCACTCTCATTATCCTCCTCATAATCATTCTCGTTATCATTTTCAGGATAATACTCCAGATTGGCAAGATAGATAGCCTTCAGTATTTCCAAATCATCGTCCACACTTGAATTTTCCTCTCCAAAAGCCGCATTTGGCCACACTTCCCTGAAAAATGTAAAACTTTTTGTCAGTTAATCGGATTCGCAAAGTTTTATATTCCGTTGATGTGGCAAAAATAGGATTTAAGGAAATAAGACCGTCTGACTTTTCTAGATAAGAGATTGGCATTGAATATTCGAAACTTTATGCGTTTGAGCAAAAATACAGAAATTTAACACACTAGACCAAAAGTTTTCACAGAACACAATTATTGAACTTGTCGCTCAAAAATCACATTATTTTTCATATACTCACGAAATTAATAATTCTACATAAAATCTCACCTCGCAGCTCGTAAGTACAAAACGGCCCTCTCATAACTTTCCCCGTGAAGCAGTGAAAATATTGTTCTCATGCAGTCCTCACTGGAAAATAGAAAGGGAAAACCATCTCATTAGGGAAACACAAAGCTGACACACTCTCGGGCAAGAATGAAGACCTTTGGTCATCGATGGGCTTGCTGGAAGTGGCATCAAAGGGGATAATTGAGTCATCTTTCGCCAACTCCTTTGTGAGACTTTCGTGAATTTCCCCCCTAATCTCACCCCAGCTCTTCATGGATGTCTTCTTAGGTCGATTCTTCGACTTTTTCGCCCTCTTCTTGGCCTTGCTCTTCGGGCACTGCACAAAAACCGTTCCCTGGCAGAACTTCTCAAACATCCTCATGAACAAATGTGCCATCTGAACGGTATCGATCAGGTAGGACCTATAAAAAGAGGGCACTTTCAATTCCAATTGAGGAAGAATTTTAGGGTGCAAAAACTACTTCGTGACTTGCGTTTCCTTGTAGTTAAGCATCAAGTGGAGCACCATTTCCCGGAATTCCATTACGTAGAATATGTTGTTCTGGATCTGCTTGGAGAGGCACTGATTCGCATCGTCGGTGAGTGTTTGCATTGTGCACAGTGTGAGGAGACATTCTCGAAAAGCGAGCATTCTAATGTGAAGCTTCTTCGCCAAGGGCCTGAAGTTCTTCTTTTCCAGCTGCAGAACATCCAGAGACTCTTGTATGCGCGTGAGAATCCAGTGGAAAGTCTGCACGTTCACAGTTTCACTCACCAAATCCAGGCGGAAGCCGTTGAATCGATTGAACTCCATAAAGAAGCGAATCGCCCAAAAGAGATAGGAATCATCATGGGCGCTCGAGTGTGGATTTGAGTCGAGAATGCGTTTGATCTGGCGAATCAATGGATTGTAGGCCTTGTGAAGAAGCTGAATGCAGAATTGCCTCAGGTGGATTCGGATGGCGAAGAGGCTTCTGCGTTCTGGCGTGAAACCGCCCAAAATTCGGCCCCTTGTGTGGCGCTTTTTCTTCTTCTCCGCATCGAAAGTCACATTGAATGCCTTCTCGAGGCTCTGGTGACATATTACGTCCTTCTCAGAGACAGATTTTATATTCCTCAGAACGTATGTCCCGCCAAATCTCGAGTGCCGCCCGGGCAGAGTTCGTGACTGCGATTTATCTCTCTCTACACACCTAACAGCCCTCAATTTGTTGTTATCATACTCCTTCTCATCGCTCGTCCTCTCCTGCTTGGCCTGAGCGAGCGCCTCCGCCGCCTGCAAGGCATCCCCGGGCTGTTACTGGGCCGCAATTGGGAGGTGAAAGGCAACACAACACTCACCTGCTCGTGGAGCATGTAGTACATGACTTCGAGGACGTGGAAGTGGTATTGATTCTCGCTGTTCGACGACAGAACAAAGAGGATTATGTCAGTCATCCCTGACTGTTGGAGGGCCCAGAGAATTTGGTCGTGCAGTGTGTCGCCATCGTGTTGTCCCTCCGCCTCTGTGCTCGATGGAATTTGCAGAACATTTCGCAAAAGCACGAGAATTCGTTCAATAATGAGCTCCTGTTCCTCATTCCGCTCCATGCTCGTCTGCAATTGAAAATTGCCCAATTAGCGCTACTCACCTTTGCCCCATTTACCGCCACTTACCGTCTCTAGCAACTTCTGCAGGTGATTCTTCAGCACGATCCACACAAACTCATCGGCGAAGGCCTCCTTGTACCCCCGGAGGATGAAATTCAGCTCCAAGTAGAATCTGTGATTTGTCTTGTCTTTTGGCACTTCATTGTGGTACAGGAAGTAAGAGGAGCAGGTCAAGTTGAGCAAGAGTCTGAAAGTAATTTATTCCTTCATTAAAATCATAGGCTTTTGATCTTCTCGGAAGACTATCACCTGAGCAGGACGTCGAAGTACTCGGAGTTTTCATCATGGCACACCAGCATAGGAAGCAAGTCGGTCCGCAGCACAGAAGACTGTCCAATGTGTCTTCTGTATTCGTGTGTATCATTGTCTCGACGCAGTATCCATATTAAGTGCTAAGAAAGAATGAATTCTTTTAATTTATCCTTCCGATCCTTCTGCATATCATCAAATATTATTCTAACCTTTAAACTTGAGAGACTGTCCGGAGCGCTGATATATCGCTCCCCGTCGAAGAGCCCCAAGGAAGCACAAGTGGCATCGATGTCAGCAAGCAAGCGGGACATTATTTGATCTTATACACTTTGAATAGTGCACAAAATTAGTCGAAAAGAGGTGAAAACTAGTAGGAAAACGCAGAATCCAAGAAACGGGGATGGAATCTTGGCGCCCAAATTTGACGCACTCTGGGGGTGCCAGATGAAAGGACATTTCCCCTCATTCCAAAAATCCCATTCCAGCTCAATTTTTGCGATATTTCACCAGTAATCATAATTTCTTCAGATTCTCTTGATATATATGTGTTTCCTCGATTAAGGATTGTTGAATGGAACTAAAAATTATATATATTTCCGATTTTGACTCATTCGAGGGAAATTTTTTCAAATCTTTCCCCCTCTTCAACAGTGGTGAATTGATTACAAAGCAGCAGAAAGACACTTTGATTTTCCAGAAACTCATTTATTTCCTACAAAGAAAGAATTATGATGCATTTTTTGTTCCGGTCTTCGTCTGCGAATCTTTTGGTTTCCCATGGGTTTTCCGAAGATCGTGCTGGACAGTTGGCCTTTTTGGATTTCCAAAATGTGCCATAAAAGTGGGGAGAATCCACCTCGACTGCGGCCCCGCTAGAGGTGCTGGTGTGCTACCTTGTCAGTCGCCTCCTCAACTGACAGCGGGGCATTTTGCTTTTCAGTCGAGAAATTTCTTTTGTCGAAAAAACTTCCTTCCGCAGTGCGATAAAATGTGAATTTTGTGCTTCTGCCGCGACCCAAGGGACAATGTAACTGAGTGACTTTGTGTTCAATCAGCAGGCAAGTGATTTAGCTGTGAAAATCACGGCGGAAAGATTAGAAATTTTTCTTCCCCATGTGTGCCTGTGTGTGTGTGTGCCTTTCTGCCATGCCCAATTTTCACGAGAGCAATTTTGCCCACTTAGATTTCCCTGTTTGCCTCTGTCGCGGCCCTACGACTTGGACAGCGCCCCGGTCGGGAGGCCCCAAATCGATGGGTGATCAATGGGCGACGTAGATTCGTGGGGGCGCTAAATAAAGATGAGGAATTAATCAGGCCAAACGCAGAAGAGAGACTCGCGAAAAAAGACTCTCGGCGTTGAATCAAAGTCTCAAAATAGATTCTCTTTTTTCGTCGCGCGCGATTCTTCGGAGCCTCTTCGTGAATTTACCTTTTAAAATAAGTTTAACACTGCAAATCGTGGGGCCTCTCGCGAGAGGAATTTACAAGGAAATAATTACGCATGCATGTAGATAACTAGATGCATTGAATTTGTCCGTGCATCTGCATTGTGAACCGCCACAAAGACCGCGAGTGAGAAAAACAGAGTTGATTGATAGATAGTTTTGCCATTAAACCGGATCACTTCTCTCTGTCTCTCCCTCTCTGTCGATTTCATTTTCATTCACAAAACAGTTGGGGCCCGCGATGGGCGAGGAGGAAAGTTTACAACATCATACTGTGCACGGCAGACAAAAAGACCCGCCAATTCAACTGGAAAGAGATACATTTGTGTGACTGCGCTGCCTTTTTTTGCTGAGAGCATTGAGAAATTACACTTGACATTCAACGAAAGTCTCTGAGGCTAGAGACTCGTCGTTGGGCATAAAATGGAAATTTCGATGCCGCGATAGCCTCTATCGATGGCTTTTCCTTCTGCGACGACACTCTATCGCCCGGGGCCCCATTTTCCCTTTCACCGCCGCCACGAGACTTTCACCTAGTCACACGGGATTTCAGCCAATGCCGCGGCTCGCGTCCCAAAACATGACACCTCCAAAGTCTGAGCCGTGTTTGGCAACTTTCTTGCCGAATAGCTAATTTGACTGGGCGGCGATATCGCGGCTGTTCTCGCGACAGATAAGCCGACACTCTTTTGCCATCTAGCGCTATCGCGGCGGAGATTCGATCGCTGGAAGGAAAACAAAACGCTTTTGACCATATACGGTCGTTTGCTCGCACAACTAACAGAAGAGCGACTTCTGGGGGCTCCGCGTTGATTACCATTTTCAGTGCATGTTGGAAGTTGTTCTCACGATGTCCCTTTAAATCGCAATTGTGGCCCTTTAAAGTTTGTTTACACTCGCCAAATTGGAATAGAGTTTTGTGTGATAATTTTGTGAATTGTAGTGCTAAAGTATTTGGGGAGGAGATGTGGCCAGAGAATTTCTAAACTTCACTTAACGAGCTTGAAAAAATTGGAAAATTTCCAATTCGCAGTTTTCCTGTCGGTATATTGTTGGAAGATGATTATGAAATAGATAGACATCTTTCTACGTAAGGTGATTAAATGATATAAAATTGCATCGTGTTTGTTCATTCAACAGTTTTAGATTGAATCCAGTTTGTCATAACGTATAAAAAAATAATAGGAGAGTGGAAGGCAATTGCGGATACTAATTATTAAGTCTGTTTTGCCTTCTATCGACACAAGTGTCTTATTAACGTAATAAGACTGTTCGAAGCAAGCAGTGTTCAAATAGAGCAGAAAGAACCACAGAATTCTTACAACCAATTATTATTATTGTTGTTGTTTCAAAGTTAAATAAGCGCAACACAAAATGTGATCTTTTGTTTCAAAAAAAAATTTAGGGAAAAACGCGGCACTGAAAAACTCCAATTTTCACCAGTATTTATACAAATATTTTCTGCCTGAATAGAGTAGAACGATAAAATGAATGATTTTGCATTGATTTGAATTTCAATTTCACTGAAAATCAATTATATTTTAAATGTGAAATTAATTGGTTTTGCAGAATTGAACTACACAATAAGTTAATGACAATAATTTCACATTTGCACATACTTTTGTTCCCACAACAGAAGCGAAGATGTAATTAAATAGAATTCAATTACTTTACATGAACTTACAAGCATTACACTTTTTTGTCCATGATGAATAGCAAGAGAGCGGGAGAGATATTTTGAAGGTCGTAAATTTGATTTAATTGATTAGCTTGTAAGTAAATATTTTAATAACAAGAAGCATTACGTAATGTTCGATAAAGAAACAATTCTCATTTTTCCAGCAAGAAGTGATAATGTCCGTGAAATCCACGTTTTGTAATTGGAGATACATGACAAGCATTGCGGAAGAAGAATAATTTTAATGCGATTTTGCCGTTTGTGTGTGTTTTTTTTTCGAGAGCAATTTTGCGAAGATTGGGAAAATAGTAAATATGTATTTCACTTGATATGCATGAAAGTAAAAATAATGAATATCTCACTGTTTCGGTGTTAATCCACATTTGAGGCATACAAAAAGAGTCTGTGCGCACCAAATTTGATGGGCAATTGTAGCTTTAATGCGATGAAAAAAAATCCTTTCAAAATCATATTATAACGAATTCATCAATATCATACTTTCTATTTTTCTCCCCTTTCAAGAGAGTAGCTACTAATTCAACGTGGTGTTTACTGTTTCTTTCTTTTCTCTCTCCGCCCAGGAATCTATTTGCGAGTTAATTTCAACACAAGACTCATCGTCAATTGCAAGAGGCGCAATCATGGAGGGTGATAATGCAAAGTTGGCCGCAGAGATGTTCGATCATTTCTGCGGTGTCACAACGATGCGACAGGTCATGGGGCTCCATCGGAACATGCTGGACGCCGTGGGCCTGCGACCGGGGCCCCTCAACGACTTCTATCCGAAGCTCAAGGCGAAGATACGCAATTGGAAGGCTCAGGCGCTGTGGAAGAAGTTCGACGCTCGCGCGGCCCATCGTGTGTACAACAAGGGCACAGCGTGCAGTGGAATCCGGGTGCTTGTGATCGGAGCGGGTCCTTGTGGCCTCCGTACGGCGATTGAAGCCCAACTGCTGGGAGCCAAAGTGGTGAGTTTCTGGGGGCGTCGAGCTTTCGTTTTCATCTAATTGACGCAGAGCGGAATTTGCATGTCTGCCAATTGCATAACTTGGCAAAAATCAGTGCAAATTGTGTGATAATTGGCTCTCTAAAAATATCAATAGTATTCTTTCGATAGATAACGCAATAGTGTTATATGGCACACTCTTGTCGTGTTAACAAGTGTGTAGTTTTAGTCGCGACGAAAAGACATTTGATATCTGAATTGCAATCTTGAGACACTCGTTGAGACGGCGAAGATGCGATGATATTTATTTATTTCCCAAGAAATTGGGTATTTCTGGCAAAAGTAGAAAAAGAGGCCAATTAATGGACTTACTGTAAATATCAGAAATTTCTTCTGTTAAACTGTATTTGGGCTATATTTTTTTTCTACACTTCACATCAAAAATACGACTAGCCTGAGGAGTTGGACAAGTTTTGGTGCCTACGACTCAATTAAAACCTGAAATTATTGTCACCATTAGTGGATTTCAAGTTTTTATTGACTCACCAGTGAGATGCTAATAAATTTCCCGCGGTATTGAACTTAATACCTTTCACTTTTTCGTCTTAGAGGAAAGTAAACAATTCACTCATAATACGTTTCGGATTATACAGACTGACAAGCCTTTCAGAATAGGAAAGCTGTTCTTATAGGCAATAAATTGTCGATTGGATCTGTTGAAAGTTGACAAGGCGACTTTCCGCTGAAAGTGTCTCTTTTTTTTGCTTCTTTAAGATTTCACAGATGTTCTTTTTCCGTGTTAATGCATCGTTTTTGATCAAGAACACCATAAGAGTTTGAAAATTACCTTTTTACAATGCAATTTAATAGTGTATTAGCGACAGTTTCAACTTCAAATGAGTAGCACTTTTCTCCGGTCTAATTGTTTTCTATTCTTTTCTCTTATGTGGTGTTTTTTTGTAGGTGGTTGTGGAGAAACGCGACAGAATATCGCGCAACAATGTGCTTCATTTGTGGCCTTTTGTCATAACGGATTTGAGAAATTTGGGCGCCAAGAAGTTCTACGGCAAATTCTGTGCCGGCTCCATCGATCACATTTCCATTAGGCAGCTACAATGCATACTGCTGAAGGTCGCCCTTCTGTTGGGCGTCGAAGTGCACGAGGGAGTGTCGTTTGTCAATCTAATCGAGCCAAGAGATGGTATGATAGCTGAAAGCCATGACAGTGTGTTGGCAGAGAGATAATTAAAAAAATGCAATTTCGCCCCAATTAAAGGTTGTGGTTGGCGCGCCCAAGTCAGCCCCGAGGACCATGCAGTTTCACACTATGAATTCGATGCACTAATCGGCGCGGATGGCAAACGTAATACACTGGAGGGTTTCGTCCGGAAGGAGTTTCGTGGGAAATTAGCAATTGCTATTACGGCAAATTTCATCAATAAGCGAACAGAGGCGGAAGCAAAGGTGAGAAATGGAAATGGAATATAAGAATGTCTCTATTTTCTCTCATTCGCCCACGTTTTCTTCTTCATTTGTTGCATTTCAGGTGGAAGAAATTAGTGGTGTGGCCTTCATATTCAATCAATCCTTCTTCAAGGAATTATACTATCGAACTGGTATTGATTTGGAGAATATTGTTTACTACAAGGATGAAACTCACTATTTTGTGATGACGGCAAAGAAAATGAGTCTCATCGATAAGGGTGTGATTATGCAGGATTCGGCCGATCCGGCTGAATTGCTGGCACCGTCGAATGTTAACACAGACAAATTGCTCGATTATGCTCGCGAGGCGGCTGAATTTTCTACGAAATATCAAATGCCTAATTTGGAATTTGCTGTGAATCACTACGGGAAGCCAGATGTGGCGATGTTTGACTTCACGTCCATGTTCCAGGCGGAAAATTCTAGTCGTATTTCCGTGCGGAAGAATTACCGATTGCTGCAGTGTCTTGTGGGTGATAGCCTTCTTGAGCCATTTTGGCCTACGGGATCGGGCTGTGCGCGTGGATTTCTCTCCAGCATGGATGCAGCCTATGCGATCAAGTTGTTCGCTAGTCCACGCAACAGCTGCCTAGCCGTGTTGGCGCAGAGGGAGAGCCTATATCGTCTGCTGGGTCAGACGACGCCTGAGAACCTCAACCGGGATATTATGGCCTACACACTCGACCCCTCGACGAGGTATCCCAACTTGAATAAGACTCTGGTTCAAGTGCAACAGGTGGAGATGCTCCTAGACTCGGATGACACAGCTATCTATCAGCAGACCTTCATGGATACAAACACCATTTCCGCCGTTCCAGATGCCCCAGTGCGAAGAAAGCGACGAACTGGGGACACAACTCCACTGGGCATGGTTTTGCTGCGCTGGATAAAGTCCCAGCTGAAGGGATACGAGTTCTCTAACAATTTGACGGACGTTGCTCAATGTTTCACGCATGGAAAGGTCTTGTGTGCTCTTATTCATCGCTATCGCCCCGATTTGGTGGACTTCAACTCTCTCGATGATTTCTCGGCTGAACAGTGTAACGCCAGAGCTTTCGATATTCTGGAGAATGACTTGGGAATACCACGTGTTATGCAGCCTTATGAGTCCGTCAGTATTGAGAAGATTGAGTCGAAGATATGGCTTAACTACTTGGAGCAAATTTGCGAGCTGTTTCGTGGTGAAATACCTCATGTTAAGCATCCGAAACTGGTGAGTGTTCAAAGAGACTCATTTTTTTTACCATTGTGGAGAGAAAGTAATTTTGCTGTTGTACTTTTGTCCAAAAAAGGATTTTGCTGAGCTGAAGGAGAAACAGAGAAGCAATATTCCTGACTTCTCCAATTTGGTGAAGTCATCCGGAAAGAGAAATGTTGTGGAGGCGGAAGCAATCAACCGACGAATTGTGCTGGACGAAGAGCGCAATAAGAATCGATCGAGGCGATTGAATTACGAACAGATGCAGGCTGTGCAAACATCAGAGGGTCCGAGGAGAGCGAAGAAGAGGCGAAGTCATGAGAAATTTCAGAATGTGGTGAGTTTAAATATGCAGTATTTGATGGATTAATGTCGGGGGGGAGAAATGTGGGACACTTCCTATGGGAATGATGGTTGTGTGGGTGCTCTAAAAGGAATAATTGAAAAATTTAGGAAGAACAGAAGAAGCGTCTGGAAGAGATACAAAATAATCGAATGGAGCGTCAGAGTAAGAGACGATTACAACGTGCTCGGCAGACTGAAAATTTCTACAAGAGTTTACATATGCTACAATTTAATAGTTTCCTCCGTGATACTGATAGTTCAACACCCTTTGAAGACTACTCTCTCTATGTCTATCGACAACAAGCTCCTGACTTTACTGATCGTGTGAAAGATCTCGAGAGGAAATTGTTATATCCCGTAAGGAGACTGGACTGATAGTGTTTCGTGTCGTTTACATATTTAACTGACAGATTCACAATGACTGAATGTGAATTTTTATGACTATTTAACTCAATAATTTTCACCGTGTTTCATATAAATGCAAATGCAAAGCATATTGAATTGAATAACCCAAAAACTTCATTGCTTAGCCAACAAGAGACAGCAAAAATAAGCAATTTGGCTCTTATATGAGAATTTTGAACTAATTTTGTGTAGATTTCTTTGTTGACTTGCTTTTTTCGACATTCCCTAATGCATTTCTCTCTGTGTCACAGGACCGAGAGAGGGGCTTTTACTCAGCCCTGCCACGTGGTGCTCCAGATGAGAAGTTCAGCAATCGCATCAAGTCAATGGAGTCGAAGATTGTGGGGAAGAATTCGGGAGTAGGTGACAAAAAGCCCAAAGACCTGCTGCGTGCCATTGGGAAGATTGAGAGTGACGATTGGAATGTGCGAGAGATTGAGAAGAAGATTGAGCAGTCGAAGAAGGCGGAAGTGGGCAAGAGTCGCGAGAAAGTGCCCAAGTGGAGTCGGGAGCAATTTCTGGCGCGTCAGAGCAAGATGGCGAAGCCCATCGATCGTCAGGTGTCAATTGATGAGAAGTTCAAGGAGATCGACATGACCATCAAGTCACTGGACAAGCAGTTGAAGGAGGGACACAATCTGGACAGGGGCGAGCGTGGTAGAAACAAAGTGGCTTCGATTGCAGGGCAATTCGGCAAGAAGACAGCAGAGGGTCCGTCTGAGGAGAAGGCAGGATCGAAGTCTCTGATGAATTCGAAACTCGGACTGGTGCTCACATCTCAGGGAGTGTCGGAAATTTGTCACTTCTGTAAGCAAAAGGTGTATCTCATGGAGAAAATCTCCGCGGAGGGACTGGTTTTGCACAGATCATGCCTCAAGTGTCATCACTGTCACACAAATCTGCGACTCGGTGGATATGCTTTCGATCGCGATAGCCCTGATGGTCTTTTTTACTGCAATCAACACTTTAAATTACCACCAAAACCATACAAACCGGTCACAAAGAGACAACCTCAATTTCCGGTAATTATACTCTATATATTTTTGTTTTCACACTTTTCACTAAATGAGAGCATTTTTTTGTGTTTTGTACAGAAACACGAGGAAATCGCTGCAAAAACCTCTCGTATTTCCCCGGAAAAGGCATCTCGGGCTGAAAACATCGTGGCAATGGATTTACTGGATCGCGGTCAAACACCTGAGCGGATAGAGTTTGAGAATACTGATGCCATGTCTGATGGAGAACGCTCACTGAACAATATAATTGATGAGAATGAGTGGACAGACAGGAACTTTGGCACGGGAACTGATGAAACGGACTCTGATCTCTCCAGTTCTGATTCGTCAGACTCCGAGACGGATTCTGATCTGTACGAGGAGGCGATAGATTCACCGTTGGGCGCAGAGACGCTGCAATTGGCAACGGATTGGATTGGAAAGCAGAGGATATGCTCGCTTCAGGACAGCGATGGTGATGAATTCTATGATTCGAGTGAGGATGACGATGTGGACACGCAGACCGAAGGAGAGGAATTGGCGAGAGCACGCGAGATTCGAATGCAGGAGGTGAAACTCCAGCCACCTATTTATCCAGCAACAGACACCGAAACTGAGGTAGGATTTCCACATTTTATTAAATTTCTATTTTCCCTGCAATGGCTCTTTAGTTGAAGAAGTTTGGTGGCTTGCTTCCGATTTATTTGAGTGGTGGGTAAGAATGATAAAACGTCCTTATCCTTATCAACAGGTGGTGTCAAAAGGGAATGAGATTAGTAGTCCTAAGAACGATAGATCGGAGATTTTGTGGGGTTGTAAGGGCGACTTCCAGGTTCCAGAGGGCATCAATCAATTAAACGAAAAACTATACAATTTGAACCATTTCCTAAACGTTAACAAGGACATAAATGCATTGAAGAAAGAAAACTTTGTTAGGGATGACATGCTAAAGAAGCAGAATTTGAAAGAACAGTGGCTCTCAAATGTGCCAGTTGCAGAAGATGCAAACAGTCGCTTTGCCAGATTCAGATCAAATTCTCGTGATAGTTCTGTTAGTAAATCAAGCAGTGTTTTAGCATCTAATGTAGGACAAGAGTTCGGTAGTGCTTTGGATATTCAGGAGATTGTCGATGAACCGCCTTCTGGGGATGAAATTTTCAAAGATTGTACTCCGTCAGACGATGATATTCAGCTAGATAATTTGGTGTTGGACGAGGAGAGGCGCGATACGGAGAAGAGTAGAGCTTCCGATGATTTGTTGACTTTTGAGGAGGAGGAGGCCCTTCTCAAAGAAATGAGTCAGAACAAATTGAAACTAATGAAAGCACTCAGAGATATTGACACTAAAAATTTCAAAGACACCTTATCAGCTATCACATGCCAAACATCAATGCCTAAAGTAACTGCGCAAAGTTCTGTCGACTTGAGCAAATACTTTCCGGAGGCCAAGAAAGTTTCCTCACAGTCACAGAATGTTAATAAGAATCAGAAAGAGTTGAAAAATGTTGATTTATCAAAGTATTTCGCCCAAAGTCAGCCGAGTGGCTCGAAGCCTGTGTCTGATGTGATTAAATTGGCTCCCTTGGAAGAGCCAGACGCAAATAAGTCTCAGCTGGAGGCAAACAAATCCCAAAATAACGAAAAGAAAGCACCCATTGATGATACCCTGTGTGAGAGCGACTTTAACATGTTTGATCAGTTGCTTGATGGGGCAATTGATTTGAAGATGTTTATGGCTCACATTGAACGTATTGAGCCACAAAAGGTGAAAATTACTCAACCTAAAATTGCACAAAAAATGCAAAAAGTGTCTGAATATTCTCCCAAAATGGCCAGAAAGCAGGAAGACGACAACATTTCTGTGGTCTTTGAGGAGATTTTCGATTTTGATAACGATATCACGGATATCGATAATTTGCTGAGTGATAATGAACTTGATAAATGTAATGACATGGAGGGAAAGATGTTTGATGATATTTTATTCACACGGCCAGGTGAGAAGGTGAATGCCAAAGTGGCGGCGAGAAAGAAACGCAATAAGAAAACAAGTTTCAGAGATCGCGCGATCAATGCCCAAGGCGATAGGGGAATTGAGACGAGACTTTTACCGCCAAAACCGAAAGTTATTAGAGATACGACACAAATGGCCAAGAAGAAAGTCAAAACAGTGCCAAAGCGGGAAGAAGTGTCGAAGTCAGGTGGAAAAAGTGTCACAACTTCAGCAAGCAAAGAAACTGGTAAAGAAAATGCCAGAAAGATTGCGTCAACAGATAATTCTAATAATCCCAAGCCTCAGAAGGAAATTGTGAAGATTCCAAATAAACCCACGCAAATCCAGTCAACTACAGTGTTGGAAAAGAAGGTGATTCCACCAAAAGAGTTGCGTAAATATGTGTCTGATCCAAAGATGTGCAACTACTTTTTCAATGATATTCCCCTTGTCGAAGACACACCCAAAATGTCTTTGGATTCTGTTAAAACGCCTGAGGATTGTGATGAGAATAAAATAATGGATGATTTTGAGCAGATCCTTCAAGATATGAATATTGATGACGAGGCTGCGGTGGACGTGACCAATTGCAAAATTCAAAACATTAAGATTATGGATCACGTGCAAGAAATTTGTGATAAAATTGATCGAATTGAGATTTCAGATAATGTCTCACACTCTTTGGGCGATCGTGATACACTTTCACGCGTTTGGCAGGATCAAATTAATCATCACAAGGCTAATCTTGATCAATTTATTGAGAAAGCACAAGATAAACAACTTAACATAGTTGGCAAAGTGGACGACATGAATAATCGCACTGAAATGATCGTTAAAGAGAAAAAGGAACGTTCGCGTGAAAGATCACAAGGAAAGATTAATGTGATTAATGAGAAAATGATTCAAACTAAGATTTCCCAAGAATCGCAGGATCAGCAGCCTGCAAATCAGAAGATAAATCGCAAACAAAGTAGTGTGGAGAAGTTAAATGAGGAGCCATTGGTCAATAAATCAATTAAAGCGGAAAATCCTGTTGAAAATTTGAATCCCTTGGGCAAGAAGACCAAACGATCACGTGAGAGATCCTTAGGGAAAACATCCGTTGTGAGTGATAAAATCATTTCAAGCAAAATTTGCGATAATGTATCGAACACTTCAAGCGATCCTGATTATCAAGATGCAAGCAAAAAGCTCGATCTTGAACAATCTACTGTGAAGGCATCGGTTGTTGAACCAACACGTGAAATTATCAATGAACACAATCGCTCTAAAATATCTTTTGATTTGAACAAAGAGAAGCAATTATCACCTGATAAATCTCAAGAAAAAGCGCCCATTGTCAACGATAAAATTATTTCACGTGAAATTAAGAAAAATGTGTCTAAAATTCGAAGCAAAGACGATGATCAAATTTCTAATATTAAAGTTTATCCCGAGGAAATTGTTAAGCAAGTATTTACTGATAAATCAACACGCGATGATTTTGATAAGCATGATTCTGCTGCAAACATTGTTGGCTTGAATAAAAAGAAGCAGAGATCACGAGAGAGATCTCAAGGAAAGAAGCCTACTCAATTGGATAAAACTGTGAATAATACACCGGAATCTTCTAGAGATCACGACAATAAAAATCAAAGCAATGTGGTTTCTGAGATTTCTTACAAAATGAATGGAGATTTGGATGAAAGTGAGAAAAAATTGCAAGGTGGATTTGAAGATTTTCTGTCGAATAAAAGTGACAAAATGTCACAAAATGAAATCACTCGTGTTATTAATAGTTTGCCTGAACTTGATTCTTTGGTAAATCAATCTCTGATTGAAATGAGTGATTTAAATCATTTGACTGACAAGGATCAACACCAGAAGATGGTATGCGATAGTCAAGAATCATATGATAATAAGGCTGAGGGAATTATACCGAATGATGTGGTTTATGCTAATGCTTTAAAATCCCTTAGTGACCCCAGCGAAATATCTGTCGCTCAATCTGTTGAGAAATTGTCCGAATTAGACAAGATGTCTGATCTATTCCAAGAACAAGCTAAAGATCAATTGAAAATTCCCGATAAATCATATGAAAGCGCTGTGGTTGAAAGTGAAGAGATGCCAAATGATCATGCCTTGGCTCGCTCTTCAGTGTCTCCCACAAGAGTAGGGAAACCGCGAGATCAGCCCTATGTCAGGGACTATGACAGCGATACCCACAGATTATTGAGGCGCAGTCGAGATCTGCACAATAAGAAGCAGGAATTCATGAATGAACGAATGTCAGAGACCAACCCCTACATGAAGAGGGTTTTTGGTCGTGTCAATCCAGAAGATCGATTGAACCTTCCGTCGACTGATCGTTACTACAACTATCCATCGTCCATTCTGTCGAGTACTTCCTCACGATTGGCTCCCACGTCCTTCACAGGCAACTATTCTACTCTGGATAGTATCAGAAGACCGCCGAAAACGTCGCGGAACTACAACAGTAGAGACGCTTGCAACATATCGTAGTGTGAAAGATGTGAAATTAGATGCTAAAACAATGCATTTCGTAAAATGAATTTAATCCACAATTGATAGTACAACGAATATCTATTGCCACTGAATATATTTTAGAGAGACTCCCACTGTTTTGTTCTATTTTTGATTACCGTTCTTTGTCTACCCCAAACTGAGGAATCCTTTTTTTGTAAAATTCTTTGTAATAAATTGTGCCGTGAATGAGTTGTCTTGTCTGTTCTGATGAGAGTTTTGCCCCCCGAAAAAGCGTCAGTGGCAATAAGACACAAAAAATATGCACACACGCTTTCTTCGTGAGAAGAAGAACGAAAACGAAATCACATTGATACGAATACAATGCAGATAAACTCATTAATGCTAAATCGTGCAACATCGCCCTGGGTACGATTGAAAGAAGGTACATTTCTGTGTGTCAGTCGTTTAGTAATATTGTTGTGTATTGAATTCGTTGATATGCATAACAATAAACAAAAAAATGTCTACATTTATATACCATTAATAACTTGGTGCTTTAACAAGAAGCGACTTGAGCTAAAAATGTAAAAAATGCAATTGTTGTATGTTTTCTCTTTTGTTCTATCTTCTTCGGATCGTACCCGAAGCCCTAACAGTTTAACCGTTTTTTTCTTAATTTACTTCACTATAATTGCCAGTGTTAATGCTGATGATGTATTGTGATTTACTAAATTGTTCACTAATCTCTGTCTCAATAACGCCTTGCAGGTTCAATCGGATTCCGAGTCATCTTCAGTGGAAATGGAACCAAATTCGGCAACTGAGATCTCCACTGATTCAGAGTTTGATCATGATCCCGTTTCGAAAACCCCTCCTCAGATAATCATCGACGATACGTTCTTGAGGCGCCCTACGCGTGTTCATATTCGACAGGGAATGATTTCGAATGGTCTGCGAAATCAGCACGTGACAAAGAGGAGTGGTGGAGATGACAAGCTGAGTGAATTGAGTAAAATTGAGATGGATATAAAGCCTCTGGTTCAGGTGGATCCATCTGTTCTGGCGAGCACCAATCGCACACCTCTTCGCAATCCTCGTCCTGGGGATTACATGCTGAACAAAGCACCCAGCACTGAGGGCATCGCGTCCAAGAAGAGCCTAGAGCTGAAGAAACGCTACTTGCTCGGAGAATCGGGCAGTACGGGACTAATGAAGTCCGGCTCAACGTCCGTGCTGGACTCTACCTTTAAGAATTTCCATTCCAATATATCGCAATGTCAGAAGTTGCTGAATCCCGGCTCAGATATCAGTCCGACTATGCAGATGTTTCTTAAGCAAACCAATAGACTGAGTGGTGGGAAAGAGGATAAGAAAGAAGTGGAATCAAACAGGATCAACGAGAAGATCAATGTGTATGGGATGAACAACAATCTGAGAGATATTGCCGAGAAGAGAATCGATGAGGAGCACGGAACGCCAACGGAAACGATAAACACTGCTTTGGTGGAGAATAAATTCAAGGATTTTATTAGCAACAAACACACTGATCCGAAGGAAATTCCAATAGTTGATCTCACCAATGTTGATCTGCCGGCGGATATGATCAAGGCGAATCAAGAGTTTATCGAGAAGCTGGAGTGCAGTGAAGATGTGGAGAATAACAAAGTGATAGATGTGATCGATCTCACCATCGAGGCCACTCCCATGAGATTTGATTCTGTGATGATTGTGGAGAAGAGGGACGAGCAGGTTGTTCCGGAGTCCCTATCGTCGGTTAAGAGCAAGATTGAGGCTGACAAGTCAGCAATAGATTCTCTTCTGCGACAGAGAGACACGAATGATGTGCAGGAGACAACAATTCAAGTGCCTATCTTGAATTCCTGGGAACCGAAGAAGAAGCCTAAATCGGATTCCGATGTGGAGTCAGACAGTCTGTCGAATTCCTCAAGCACATCGAGTCTGGAGGAGATTCCGCACTACATTCTTGACTCCACAACGAGTCCCGATACTCAAGCCAATGAACGCTTTGTGCCGCGGCTGGAGGTGAGGGACACCACGGGGGAGTTGATGCAGATCGACAGTCTGATGATTGTTGATGGGAAGTACATTGGTGATCCAGAGGATTTGAAATTGCTAGAGAAATTGCCTGAAATTCAGGCGCCTGTAGAGCAGAGTCGACCACAGAGTGCGAGTGAATGTGATATTAGTTGCAATAGTGAGACAAATAAGAGGAGTGACGTGGGCAAAGGTATCAGTGAAGTGCTGCGGAGGAATGACTCATTTAAATTCGACACACGCAACAAGAGTAAAATCGAGTCGTTGAAGAATTTACCACTGAATCTGGAGGAGTCGGCTGTGCAGAGTGAAATTGAGTCACCCATTGTAGACAGAGATAAGACACCGACGGCACACTTGGCGCCCGGATTTATTGGCCATTCGGACTCGGAGACAGAAGTCACGGGTCAGGTGCTCACGGAGACTGAGCTCTCCGATTGGACGGCCGATGATGCTGTGTCGGAGAACTTTGTTGACATTGAATTTGCCTTGAATTCTAATAAGGGCACGATTAAGAGGAACAAAAAGGCCAAGAAGAAGTTGCCGCCACCCGAACCGCCCGTCCAGCAACTCAGCGATGGTGATCTGGAGAGCAATATAATGAAGAGCTTCGACATTGACAATATTGAATTCATGGATACAGGGTCAGATGGATGTGTTGAAACGTACTCCACCACCAACAAAGGGATGCTGAGGAATCGCGGTTATGTGGAATTTGTCGATCAAATGCCGGAGCACATCTCCAACAGATATTTGCCGAGCTATCGCAGTGACACAGGCTACTCGAGCTCATCCCGCGTCAACATGGGCTTCGGTAAGTCGGAATTGAGCGCAGCGAAAGAAATTCCCGGAGTGGATTATATCGAGCAGGGCGCCTGTGTGCTCTCGTCCTCAAGTGAAGGTGAATTGAAGACGCCTGTCAATGAAGTGACCAAGTCCGTGTTCACAGATACCTCGTCATCTCAGGTGAAAACTCAGGATTCAGAACAGCATTCAAGTCTCAATGAAATAGAAGATGATAGTCTCGTTCTGATTACATCGCAAGCAACAACAACTGAAGACAGTGAAGCCCTGACTGTGGTTACCAGCCCGCTAGACTCAGCAGATAAGAATGCAGTTGAGCAGTCTTTCGGGGAGGCCGTGAAGGCCATTGCAAAGGATGATACTCACAGAAATACTCCCGACGAGATGAGTTATGAGGACTATGTGAGAAAATTGCAGATGAAGATCTCTCAAATAAGTAATTCTCGCGACTCGATTGATGTGAAAAAGTCTAAGAGGAGATCATCGAAGGGAGAGGCAGATACAAGTGCTCCAGAACTCCCTTCACCTTCAAGCTACACGCCCAAATTAAGTATTTTTGATGATAAGATAAAAGAGCCTCCGACTCTGACGAAGAAATTGGAGGAAATCACAAAGGAGCGAGCAAAGCAAAAGGATCTCATCCATGATCTCGTGATGGACAAATTGCAAACCAAGAAACAGTTAAATGCCGAGAAGAGACTCAACAGAAGTCGATCTCGCCAAATGGGAAACACAAGTGGAAGTCTGGTGCTGTCTGGACTCTCCTCATTGGACATTCCACACTGTCATCCAGTTTCGACGGAGAAAAGAACTCCATCGAAGGTATTTGAACCTCTGCAGTCACCCAGTAAAGTCCTGGAAACGACTATTTCGTCTGCTGAGAAGCTGAAGGACAGGCCATTGAGTGAGAATGTGGACAGCAAATTTGGTGGAGTTGTTCTTCCCGTGTCACCCAAGAAGCTGACAAAGACCCAATCATTCTGTGGCTACAGTTCTCGTTTGGTGTCAACGGAAAACGATTTAATTGCCGAATCCTTCAAGACGCCAATTCCTCCGCCTAGAAGTGGTCGTCGAATAGATGAAAAGACTCTTGCTCACTCTGATAAGTTGCGCCAAGAGGCGCGTGCCAGAGCTCGCCTCAAGTCCAATGAAGATCTCGGCCTCAGTCCAGAGGAGAAGATGCAGATGCTGCGAAAGCGATACCAACTTGATCTCGCCGATACGCCCAATAAGTCCGATGATGCAAAGGTTCGCGAACAGAAGCTGATGGCTTCGAAGAGTGTAAGTGATATTTCCACAGCTAACTCCTTTAGTCCATTTGAAAAGAGCATCGATGGGAGTGACAGTGCTGGCAAGACTACGCCCAGGAAGTTTTTCAAGGGTGTCGAGTTCACGTCGGACTCCAATTTGGTCGGAGAGGGTGTTATGGATGACAAGACGCCGAATGGGAAGAAGGAGAGTCCAAAGAGGCAAAGCGATCGCAGGTCGAGAAGCAAGGATCCTGAACGGCGAAAAAGTATTATACAGACAGTATCGGACTTTTTTCATAAGAAAAAGGACTCGAAGGATGCCATCAATCAGATCAACAAAGATAAAGCCGATGGAGTATTCGGGATCTTCAAGCTATCGTCTAAGAATAAAGAGAAATCAAAGGTAAGAATGCATCATTACTTAATTCTTCTGAATGACTAATGTAATATCTTGGAGAGTATCTATTTGAAAAAAAAAATGATAAAGAAAAGTGAAGTAAATCGACAATTGGCTGAAAATGCTTTCCCGATATGCGTTAAGATGAAATGCAAGAACCAATATAATTAATTTTGGCCTCATCTGCTATTCCAGTCGTGCTTTGATGTACGAGAGTTAATGATTTCTTGTGTAAGCATAAATCAGAGTTACATATTTTTTCAGTCTGGAGTGTCGTTTTTATGTTTTTCATGTTGTTTTATTTTAAATGTTTTATGTTTCGATTTTAGAGTGAAATTCTTATTTTGGTTGTTAATTACAAAGATTTGCCAAGAGAATTTGGATGAATTGCAATGGAGTTCCTAAATTTGGGCGTTTGTATTCTTGGCAAATTGAATTTTTGTGATATTGGTGTTGAGATAATAGTGAAATTGTGTCTCACTATCGCTAATGTGAGTGTTTACTGATGCAGGAAAAGGAGAATTCTCCATCGTATTCGGAACGAAGCAAGTCAGAGGATTGCCTTAAGGCCGACTGGCGCAACAGGAGGAGTGAAGATGAGTTGACACCACCACCAATTCCTCCTCTTCCGCTCAATTACCAGCGATCTGACGATGAGAGCACGTCAGTGGCAGAGAATCGGGAGCTGAAGCGATTGAAGGCAATGTCAAAGGCATCACGACAGGCGGAATTGAAGCGACTGAGGATTGCGCAGGAGATTCAGCGCGAGCAGGAGGAGATAGAAGTGCAGATCAAGGAATTGGAGGCACGAGGTGTCATCATTGAGAAAGTACTTCGAGGTGAAGGATCCTTTGGAGAATAGTGAGTGTCGCTAGAGTGCTTTTGTGTGTGAAGCGTGTACGGACAGGAATTATAATGGTTGCTTATGCCTTTCAGCTTCAACGTGAATGATCCCAGTGGAACCAGCGATGAGAAATATCTCAAGGAATTGCTGGAGATATGGCGAAATATAACACAATTGAAGTGAGTGGAGGATTGTTAAAATAATATGTGACTGACATAATAACTTAATAATGAATGTGCGATTTGCAGAAAACGTGATCAGGAACTAGGAATTAGAGAACAAGAACTGAAACTCGAACATCGTCATGCTCAACTGAAGGAGCAACTTAATATGCGGTTGTCTTGTAGCAGTGAGTATTGGACTTGTATTTACTCTTCTCATGATTCTTTCATTTATCAAAGTCTTATGTGTTTTCCTAACTTTGTTTTATTTTCTGTCCCATTTTTTTTCTTTCTTTCTTGTAAGGAAACTTCCATGGAAATCACTCAAATCTACTTTACTAATTTCTCTCACTTTCAAATTCCTCTATATACTGTATCATTTCATGATGATGTTTCTTGTGTATCTCTTATTTAGATTGAAATGTGAGTAGAATGTTTGATTAGTGCCTGTCTTCATGGGAGTGGTTCATTGGGCATTTTATCAACAACAACAAATAAAACACCGCACAAGAATGCGAGAAAACGGAATGAAATCCTTCTACATTGGCTCATCTCATAAAACTCATTGCATTTATTTATTGATATTATCAGCCTAATAATTCTGTGCGAAAAGGGATTGAGATGATTGACATGTTGAAGAATCTTCAATTAATCAATCCTTTTTGGCAATAATTGTTCACAAAGAGATACTTTATACTTCAATCTCTAAGCTAATTCAAGTTCAGATCTAACAATGGAATGTAGCATCCTAATTGCGGCTAATCTCTAATTAATCTTGCAGAATTGGACAAGAGTTCGGCCGATGTGGCGGCAGAGGGTGCAATTTTGAATGAAATGCTTGAAATTGTGGCCAAACGGGCGGCCCTCAGGCCAACAGATGGGCTACCGACAACCGATGAAGTAAGTGCTCCGATTGTTGTGGCACCCACTTTGAATTGGGCTCCAGTTCTTGTTGTTTTTAGTCTCCTCTATGCATGCATTCTGTGGTTTGCTTACAGTAGATTAGAGAATTAGTCACAGTGATATTTTGTGGATGAAGGAGAGAGATTGTGATGAAGGTTTGACCTCTTTATGTTTTTGTACTTATCACTTTCACTTTGCACTCTTTTAATTTGTTTAATGTCACACAACACACCAACGCGCTATAATCCAATTCATATAATAATAATGGAGAAACCACTGTACAGAGAGATATTTAATTGAATGCACTTTTTATTGTATCACATTGTGAGTTGCACTCTGTTCACGAAGTTTATTGTGTTCTATTCTAAAGCATGCCTCAAATGTGCTAATGCTCAGTCAGTATTCATTCAAAATTCTAATAAAATCAATTGGAATGGTATTTTTTTGTATATAATTCCGCAAATAACAAAATTTCTTTCTTTCTTTCTTCCTCTATAGATTTGAATTGATCGTGACAAATAGAATGGATTTCTTTTATGATGAGATACAGAAATATTTAGCTATTTATTCACATGAGACATGTTTGAGATGAAAAGAGCAACTAAAAAAAAAATACAAGATATACACGCTGTAGGGCAAGAAATTTTTTATTTTAAGCAAAAAAAAAGAGGAAATCATTGAAAATATTTTAATTAATTATTTTTATTTACTGTTCTAAGAAGCCTGCCAAAAAAACAAGAGAACGTCACAATATAAAACATAAACTAATGATGGAAAAATGTAATGTGTAGAGAAAGATTCTCATGTAGTGTCTTTATAAGTGATAAAATGAAATTCCCAGTTTGAGCACAATGTTAATAAAAAAAAAATATGCTGTCTAGCCCCTCCTTATTTTACTACTTTGAAAGAATATAACAAAATTACTGGTTTTATTAAATCGCAATATTGTATACTTATGATATTTTGTAACCAAAAATAATAAAATAAATTAATTATTAATACAAATGGAATGTCTTCTTCCTCTGTGCGAGTTCCAATTGGGATTGCTGTCCTGCTGCTGCGGAGTCCGTGGTTCGCTCCGTCGAACAGTGCGTTATAGCATGGGGAATTCAAAAGTGAGGGGAAATGTTGGCAGCAGTGCTGGGCAGGTGCTTGTGACATGCGTCAGGGTGGGCTGAGAAAATTTTCTTTGCACTTTCCCATTTGTGTGCATTTAAATGGGCAGTGAGGAGCAGTAGTTCACAAGGAGTGCAGCATTCCGGAGGCCAGAGGTCAGGTGATCACATCGCATGCTTAAGGAGACACCATGGGGAGTCTGTGGACGGGAATCCGGCGCTTCTTCCACTGGGGCCCATTGACGGCGATGGGTAAGTGGTAGAAAAGCAATATCATCAGTGAGTCAGCTCGAGTCGCGAGACTCCCTCTCTATTGCCTAATGTGTCCTTATCTTCTGCCCACGTTCCGATGGCTGTCCCGTGGCGAGGGCGCACGAGAGTGCGGCAGGCAGTCTCTGCCGAGAGGGACTGGCTGAAATGGGGGCCTGGCGTGTGCGCGCAGTGTTTTGGTAAATGGCAATTAATTTAAAGAAAACAATTCGTGGTAATGTACCGAGGGACCTGTTGCTCTCGCCGAGGAGATAAGCATCGTCCAAGTCATCCGCGTAGAACTCGTGAAAAAGCCACCCCTCTTCCGCATGGGAATTAGGGTCGAGCGCCGCCTTGACCGTTTCTGCACACTTCCGACGATATTTGCATGCCTGAAATTGCCAGAGCGCAGCGACTAATGGGATGGATTTCGGATATCCTCAAATCCTGCAATCCAATTCAGATCAATTTGCATGTGATTATCCACTGAAGGAATGTTCATAAAAAAAACGTGCAGTTCAGCGAAATTTATTCGCACTGCATGTGAGAATATTACATAGTTGAAAAGCCCTTGGGAAAATTTTGGTGGAATTTCCACATCAATCTCAATCAACTTGCATAAGGATGAATTCAATACTCTCTCTCTCTCTGTTCAGGATTAGAAGGTATTTAAAGTGGAACTCTTTTAAGTATTTCATGATAATTGAATAAGGGTAGTTAAGATTGAAAAATTACCATTTCGTGTGTGAGAAAAAATCGTGCTAAGTGCATTTATATTCTTGACAAAAGTGGTGTAAAAACGTCATGGTGGAACATAAATTTTATTGATGTTTTATGCATTAGGAAAATCAAGACCATTTGTAGGGATTCGCCTGCAAATGAGAAATGCGTGTAAAATAAATTAATTACAAACGCGATATTGTCTGTGAACACACGCATCAGATTTTCCTCGTCTGTTGACATTAGAGCCTTTATGCTGTTCTTACATGAAATGAGCCGAGCACTGAGCAAATACAATTTCATTTTCCTATTTTGTGTGTGTGAAAATACAGCCCCCGCCTTATTTATGCAAAGTAATTCAAAAAGGTGTTTTCTGCTGATTTTTTCCATTGATTTTTCGTCCCACTACTGTCTGCAGTTTATCACCTTCTAATTTGGCAATAAAACGCCCGTGTTTTGCTTTTCTCTGCCCAGACACGTGAGAGGGTGTGGCAATGTTGTAACACGTCCAGAGCCATGGAAAATAAAGAATTCTTTATGACAATGCTCGTGTCCTATCATGGGGAAAATCTCCCAGTAAGTGTGTGCCCTTTCTTTATGTCCAAACAGAATTTACAAGCGATTAAAACTACACCGAAGGAATATGGCTTTTGTGCCCAGCGGACGACAATCTCACTTGTAATCTTGCTTCCATAAAGGCGCGCTCGTTGTGAGTGGACTTCAGTAGGGAATATAAGGAGCCATTATTCGCGTTCAAACCGAAAAAAGTCCACTTTTCCTAATTTATTAATCATATTTTGGTGAATGACAAAATTCAATTTCCGACAGAACATTATAAAAAAACGTGTGGGTTGGAGTGTGTTATTCTTTCTTTGCCTTCTAACAGAGGAGGATAAATATTCATGAGTTTCCAGTTCATTAATATTAACTACGCAATTTTCGGATATGTTTTTTTGCCCTATATATCGGAGAGCATTTGTGTGGATTCGCAGTGAAATCGCGGGCAAAGAGTGTTAGCTGGTGGAAATTTTGTGGGCAAATGAGAGGCAAATTGAGCAGAAAGACGCAAAAGAGCAGTCCTTCGACATACAGTGCCCAATTTTCTAACTTCAAGTGCATGGCATTTCCTCTGGACTTTTCTCAATTATTTTCTCCCTCTAAATATGTGCCTCGTGATTTCTGCCCTCTGTCATTTTCCCCTCTTTATTGCCATTTATATTTGCTCTACGTACTAATATTCAGATTGCGTGTGCCTGAAAGGGAAATTCCTCAGAAAAATATAGACACGAACACAGTTATAAAGGCTAATAGAGTCTTTCAGCGAAGAAATCTATGCATGATATTCCCGCCTTTTCTGCTCCTTCTGCCCCAGCAATCCCATAAATATTTGTGAAAAATGAGGCAATTGGTGTGAAAACATAAATGATTTTAAAAGTTTTTATTTTCTCCTTCACACCAGGCATCATAAAAGTAATTTCTTTCGTTACACTCTACATGAACGCCATGTGGTGGCCGCCCAACTTGACAATCGGTGGTTTGGTAATTAGCATCGAGTGCCCTTTTCACGCCAGCACACGTTCCTCACTCATTGGAATATCGTTTTGCAGGTCAATCAGACCATTTTCCTCATGCTCTCGTCCCTCACGGTCTTCAACTTCGTGATGTCGTCAGTTACGGGCCCGGGATTCGTGCCGCTCGGCTGGCGTCCCAAGGACAACAAGATCCAGGATGAGCTGCAGTTCTGCACAGTTTGCCAAGGCTTCAAGGTTCCGCGATCTCATCACTGTCGCAGATGTTCCAGGTGCTCCATGAAGGTGACAAAATGACAGAATTCTCTCTCCATTCACAAGCTTAACTCTAATCACTCGTTGTTCTATGTTTCAGATGGATCATCATTGCCGTAAGTTAACATTCATGTAAATACTTTGAGGCCTAATAATTTGACCCTAAATGAAATTTTTCGTCTAATTAAGCGTGGATCAACAATTGCGTCGGATGGGCGAATCACGCGTATTTCTGTTACTTCTTGGGCTTCGCTGTGATCGGCTGTCTTCACGCCACTGCTCTTCTCAGCGGAGCTCTATACCGTGGTCTCAATCGGCATTGGTACATAATGCACGGCCGTGAGAGTCTGGCCACGGTTCACCTCACCATGTGGACGCTTGTGCTGTGTGTCTTCAGCTTGGGCCTCTCCATTGGCGTGGTGATCGCCGTGGGCATGCTTCTGGGATTCCAGGTGCGCGCCATCGTTCGCAATCGCACTGGGATCGAGGATTGGATTGTGGAGAAGGCCAAATACCGCCGCGAAGGCACAGATGAGACCTTCCGCTTCCCCTACGACTTGGGTGTGCAGCAGAACGTCGCCCAGGTGGTGAGCTGGTCGTGCGAGCCCGTCGGTGACGGAATTGTGTGGGAGGTGGCGGAAGGGTGTGACCAGTATTCGCTGACGAGGGAGCAGTTGGCACAGAAGGCGGACAAGAGGGCGCGCACGAGACGATACAGCATCGTGAAGAGGGCCACGGGCAGTTGGGTGCCTCTCTGGTCGCAGGGCATTTGCGTCTCTGTCCAGCCACCGTGCACAGATGAACCACGAATTGAATTGGATGTTGGGGACATCGTAAACGTGACACGATGGCGGAAGTGAGTATGAAATGGAAAAGAGATCTTGCAAAGTTTGTCTAATGTTTGTCTCTCTCGACCAGATACTGGCTCTTTGGCGAAAAGGCCAACTCGACGAGGAAATCTGGAAAGGAGAGCAGTGAGAAGGCCATCCGGGGATGGTTCCCAAGGCGTTGCGCCATGGAATTGGTGGAGAGTGAAGACAATATCGAGACGTACATTAGCAAGAAGAGCAAATAGCGGCAATGATGACCCCAAAGAGACTTTCATGAGCATTTTTCACTTATTCACGCAGATCAGGGACATAGTGTTACCTCTCAGGAGTCACACACTCTCATGTACACTGTATTACGGCAATTCATTCGACACGATCAATGCAGAAATAAAAAAATGTTGCATTGCGAAATTGCAAATTGTTTTCAAATGGCACTTATGCAGGATTTAACATTTATTCTTCGGTGTTTTTTTTTTATTGAAAACTTCATACAAATTTGTACGTAAAAATGCATTTCCATTGTAGATTTTCTTATTATGTAAATTGTAAAGGAAGGCACCCAATCTATTTATTTAAATACGGTAAAAATGTACAAATGCTACTCAATTTCTACCTATGTAATTTGCCAAAACCATCAATCCGTTTCTACCAGTGCGCTTATTCTTTGCGTGAACTGTTTTATACTATAACCGCGATTTGGTACCTCGCTAATCGTAATTCTTCCCTTTTTTATTGAGCGGCATAAAAAGAAAATTGCCGATTCGTATAATGTAATTTCTTCATTTCAGTTGCATTTCCTTAATTTATTGCTAATTGAATATTTTAATTCCAAGCACGGAAAAGAAATCAATAAAACCTAAAGACATATTCAGAGCACAACAAGACGTAAGAGGTAAATTTACCTTAGATAGACTTGATTATTGGCTTGCTATGCGGAATATTCGTATCTCCTTGAAGAGCCTTTCTCTGGAGGTTCTGAAATATTCAAAGTGTGTAATTGGAAAGTGCATTTATAAGTGAGGTGCATTGTGCTTCGCAGAAATTTACCTTATTGAACATCAATTGAATCATCTTAATGTTCTCTTTGTAGGTTTTTGTCTTCTGCAACTCCCTCTTTCGCACTTGCTCCTCCAGATTGTTGTACTTTCGCCTCGTTCTCTGCTTGTAGACAACAGAAGAGTTGCTCTTGGGTGAGTGTCGCTGCGGCTCTGAAACCAAGACGGGGAGAGAAGGTTGAGTGGGTGTGCCATGGAGGACAAGAGGGGTGTGATTTACTTAATAGTGAATGTAATTTGTGCATAGGAAGAGTTTTGGCTTTCAGCAACTTTTCCCTCTCATCATTTCTCCTGTGTCGCTCTTGCCTCTGTAATTCAATTTGATTTTTCCTTTCATTGGCACTACAGAGAAACTCCGGCCGATTCTCCTCCAAGTACTCCTTCACGTGCTTCACTCTGCTGACCGCCCCTCTGTCCAGTGTTATTATGTAGGCAATTGATTCGAGTTTCGTCTGCTGTTGCCTATTCATCACTGCATTATTGATACGGCCAATTGAATCATACGTCTGCGTTTGGGCGCTTTTCAAGGTGCTCTTTGTCGCCCTGGTGCCGGATGGGAGGTCTCGAGAGTCGGACGAGAGGCTGGAGAAGGTTGTTGAGTGAGGTGTGATGGCATTTTTAGTTTTTGATGCCACTTTTCCCTGATAATTCAATTCCACAGGCTCAGAGTAGTACTTCCCACTTGAGACACTGGACACATTGTTGCTGTTCGGGATGTCGCCTCGGCCTTCCGTTGATCTGTCGGAAGGAGTCTTGAGCTTCGAGCGATTCTTCACAAATTGCTTCATATTGCAGTGAGAATTCCAGGACGAGGCTCCAGTAAGCGAAAGAATAGACTCGCCATCATTCTGCGTCGAATCTCTGAGGCCGAAACTTGGATCATCCACTACTGTAGCTTTCTTCGACCGCTCTTCCACAATCATCTTCTTGATTTCATTGAGATGCTGAATCTCCTGGTCGATTCGCAAGAGTTGCAACTCTTTAGCCAGACTCTCCTTCGATATTCCCTCGCCATTTCCGTTTACGCTGTACTTTGCTGAAGACTTGGCTGAAGATTTCCTTGAAACCTTCGAGTCGTCGTTCTTATCAGATAAATGGGATTTCAGGGAACTTTCCGATACTGGTTGAGATTGCGCCATAATCTTAGGAGGTTCGTACTCGCCAGTAGAGTGAGTCAAAGGCTTGAGCCACTCCTTGAGGAACTCAGATTTCTGGTACTCATCAACGTAGAATTTTCGTGAGTGCTGTGAATTCGATTGGCCTGAAGTGTTTGTTGAAATGTCACTTCTTGTGTTTGAAAGACTCTTCCTGTAATTCTTCTCCAGCTTCTCGAAGATCTTCTTCACCAATTCCTTCTTCGTGCCCGATGAGATTGATTTGGAGTCCAGTAAGAGGGAAATCAAGGATGTGGCCTTGTGAAGGCTTCGCTGGAAATCATCTCCATCAGTCTTTGATGAGGCCAGATAATTAGAGATGTGCGCTTTTAATTCCTCTCCTGTACTATTTCTGCTCACGGCGCTGCGAATTGAAGATGACGGAGAAATATTCTCCTTATTCTTCTGCACTTTCACTAACGCTGGAGCGAAAAACTCAAAACTTCCTCGAGTCTCTTGCAAATCAGTGAGTTCTCTGGGCGTTTGTTCATCTGAATTCTGCTCCTGCAGTGCAGATTTCTCCGCTTGGACAGATTTGCTGAGGAATTCCTTATCTATTGTTTGAGATGATTTCTCTTCGACTGGCTGACGAAGTGGAGTACTCTGGACAAAACTGCCTTCGTTGAAGTTGATCTTCGTGATGGCTTTCTGGGGTTTCTCTCTCTTCTCCTGCTCATTGCTTTCCTTCTTCTTGACACCAGCAAGATTTGGCGACAGGAGAATCAGAGGATGATTGAGTTGCAGTCCTCTCTCAGTGAAGAACTTCATCAGTGCCGCCTTCTCTTGGGCATTCATTTGTGCCTCTGTCAAGCTGCAGTACTCATAGCCAATATCCGCCAAGGAGTCCCATTCGAGGCGCTGTTTATTGGAAATAACACTGCTCGTGGGTGACGTGGAAACGGGCTGTTTTCTCTCCAATGGCATCTCTCGAGCTGGCATGCTCTCAATTGGCTGATGACTGGTGCTGGGCAGAGCCTCAGTCTGCTGCCTGGCATCCACTGTTTGAGGGGGATTCAGTGGGTTCAATGGAATGGTAATGTTGACATTGGAATCGATAACGAACTGATATTTTCCCTTCCTTCGACCAGATTCTGGCTCCTTCTCTTTGGCCGTTTTCACTTCTTCGTCCTCGGGAGGCTTTTCCTGGTCACGACCCTCACTGTCTGACTGAGCCTTCTGCTCCGCAAGATTGTGGATCACATTGAGATTCTCCAAGGATTTGGTCAGTTGGCTCACGTATTTATTTGTAGCCACGGAGAGACTTCCCTCGCTGGAGGACTTCGAGCGCGCTGGCTTGAGATACCTCTCCAAATTCCTGTTCCGCCCATACTGCAAGTAGTAATTGAGAATCTGGGTGCTCAGTGGATACTTTTCCTTGTCCAGAGGGCAGTGGTGGCTCATCTCTCTTTTCCAGGAAGAAAAAAACGCGCACTCAAGGAATTTGTTTACACTGTGACATTTAAACTTTTGTTTAGGGTTGACCGACGCAACCCTTTTATGGCACATTTAAATTATTTTAATTGGTCAACGGTCGTCGAACAGTCGTGATGTGGAGTCGTATAACAGATTTTATGGATACCGCGCCCGCAGAAGGGGGCGGTCTGCCGGGTTCAGATTCGTCTGGCAACTCTGACAAGATCGCCATTCGACTCCAGTGCGTTGTCTTACGCGTCTCGTGTCTTCCCAGACTGAAAAAAAGTTGTCCGGAAAACCAGGGAAAACAACTGTTTTCCGTGCATTTTCTCACCTTCCGATCACCCGTCGACATTCAGTGATTGATCAATTTGCTGTTTTGATAGTTCTCTTGGGAATATATCTGAATAATCAGCGGAAAATTGGGTGATCGCGTTGGCGACCTGATGAAAAAATCGCATTATCGATGATTCGCTGTGATTCACTGTCCTCCAAGTAGTGACACTGTTATCTAGTCTGTGACTATAAATATCGTATGATAAGGTTGAATAGAAGATGACAGAAGGCGTGATAAAGAAAAATCATCAGTGATTCCGTGGAAAAGCCATTTGTGGTAGAAAAAATCTTGTTTTGCACTGCCACCGTGTTTGCATCTTCAATTAAATCGCCAGTGTCCGGCTCGATAGTGGTGCAAAAAAGTGTGAGAAAAGAGTGTCAATCATGTTAAAGAGCAGATCATTTGAGGAAAAAACGAACTTGACGACGCTCCTGTCGACCCAGCAGTTGCCAATAATTGATTTGGCACACATGGGTGAGTATGCGAGACACTCCGATGGCTTTAATTTGATCGATCGCCGCAATCAAGATCATCACATGATTGCGCGGTCGCGACCCGCACTGACAAGGGCAGCGCCAGGAACTGCCCCCGTGCCAATGCCATGATCTCACCCATGAGCGCCCCACGAGCATCGCGCCTCCCGACGCTCTCGGACACAGTGACGCGGGGAATTCTCGGCATTGCTGAGATAACACTCTAAATTAGAATTACACACACCCTTGGTCAAGTGGCCGAGAAATGAAGTGTGATTAGACGAGATCGTAAACCACAGAGATTGCTTTGTTTGAGATCAGGAACTGAACAGTAAATTGACGAGCAAGCGTTTTTAGAAGATGTTACAAAACCACGTTTTGTTGTAGCAGTGATTACTTAAGTAAGAATGATCAAATTATCTGTACGCTTCTCTACGTGAATTTAAATGGAAATTTCCGCTCTAAATACTTGACTTTTTGCCGAAATATTCATTCTAAAAATACTCCTTATAATCGTGGGCATTATAATTCTCTAACACCTCAAAGAACCTTCTATTTATATCCTTATGTCTTAGCACAATTCTCTGTGAATTTAGTTACTTATTGGAAATAATCCCTGTCAACAAGTTTCTTTCCAAATACCGTGTCAGTAATACAACCTGTAGCCGGATTTACCAGAAAGATCTGCATTTAGAGATCCATTTAATTGAATATCAGCTTAATACAACATTGGTTAGCAATAAAATTCTCACTGAGTCACTGTTTGTGCAATTTTATTCTGTAGATGTAGATTTCACGATATTTGAAGTCATTTCCAGTGTGAATGTTTTCGCACGGGTTCCATATCTGGGGAGTGTCACCAATCTTGGGTAGTTGTCTGATGAGAAAAGAAGCTTCAATGTAAACATGACGTCTGAACATGAAAAATAGCGAAATTGTATTGAAAGGATTGAAAGTGAAAAAGATAATGTGCTTTATTTGTAGATTATGGAAGTGGAGAAAAATTACAATCATTTAATTTGTCTTATCATTGAGAGAATGTCGTCACTTGCTTCATTCCATTACACATGGCTACAAAAAGTATAACTTCACACATAAATAGTGGATTGAAAAGAATGTTTTGATTTAAATTCAACACGCGTATTGTTGACTAATTGAGATACACTTGTCTATCAATAAACAATAATTGTTATTGCAAAGCCTAATTGCAGCTTTACGTTAATGTAAATTGGTTTTAATCGAGTGATGGATGTGACGAGTGTTTTCAGGAGCAAATGCGATTTATATAATGTGGTTGTTTATTATAGGAATATATTTTTCTGGGAGATATTTCACGGTGGGAAAAAAATTGATGGATATCTTGCGGGTACAAAAGAATATGATAAGATATATACTTGAATTGAAGCATTCAAATTCAAACCATTCTCTTTTACTCTATGTGAAATCCTCCATAAATATTTACAGAGGATATTTCGCAATCAATCAACTCGTGATTCCTGAGCTGAACGACAAATTAAACGGTCGAATGGATTTTGATTATCGATTGGACTATCTTTACTTTGTACCTATATTTTGCAAAGTGTACCTATAATATTTCAAAAGCTGCGCACAAAAAAAATCTGCAATAGAATTCCTACAATTCGCTTTTCACACGAAATTCTATTCTGCTGAATTTTTTATCTGTAATAATAATCAGTTAATGCGTCACTGTGTTATTCCCAATTCTCTCATATATCAATTAATTCGCTTTTGTATGCCTTTCTCCGCACAAAAGTATAGTTAATTGTTTGAATTTCAATGGATAATGTTGAGCAATTACTCAAATGCCTTCCTTGGCGATTCAATCTGACCCACAGGCATTGAGGAGGTTCCAGTTAAATCGGTGGTGAACCGTGTTGCAAATCAACTTCACAAAGCTATGTCGGAGCGAGGCCTGGCCGTGCTGGTGAATCATGGGATAGCCGAGGAGAAGGTGAGAGAGTGCTTTTCCTCTTTCTGATAATAATGATTCTGCAATTAGTGGTATTTGAGGTATTCTATTTCAATTAAATGTGCCATTGCAGTTGAATACGGCATGGAAGTATTTGGACACGTTTTGTGAGTTACCGGCAGACATTAAGGATGTTTACTTGCGGAAGCGGGACGGTGGCAATCATGGATATGTGAAGCCGGGTCAGGAGAAGTTTAATGGGAAGAAAAAGGAGCTGAGGCATGCCTTCAATATTTGCATGCTGAGCGGTGCATCGCTCCCTGAGGACCCACTGCCGGGCTTCAGGGATCACATTGCTGATCTCACGAAGGACTTCCGCAATTTATCTTCACTGCTCCTGCAGGCACTGGCCGTGGCGCTCGGTGAGTGGGAAAATTAGTCGCATTAGTCAGTACTTGGGCACAATGCAGAGTGTATTTAGATTAGAGATACGAAGAGTGGAAAATTTATGATTGGGATACAATTTGATTTTCACGTGATTCCTATTTATCTTGTAAAATATGGCAAGCAAAAAACAAACAAACCTTTCAATCCATCCAAATACTCCTTCGCCATCGTACAAATGGGAGATTGAGAGTTATTTTTATTGCGAACATTGGGAAAATCCTCATGGATTTTCTTTTGCAGAGCTGCCAATGAACTATTTCCTGGAGAGACATGCCCACATGCTGTCTGGGACGAATGAGAATGAGACAACATTGCGACTGCTGTACTACCCGCCAGTCGTGGAGGACGACAATAAATGTGAATTGGTGAAGGGGAATGTGAGCTATCAGTATCAAAAATGCGCCAGTGATCAGCTAAATCTTGAGAGTCTGACTGATAAGAATGACGTGGACGAGGGTGATGATAAAGATGATGCCAGTGGCTTGGAGAAGCATCGCGGATTCACTCGATGCGGTGCACATTGCGATTATGGCACATTTACCCTCCTGGCGCAAGATTCCGAAGGTGGACTCGAATGCAAATTGCCACAGACGGAGCGTTGGCAGCGCGTTGGTCATTTACCTGGATCCATTCTTATCAACACTGGGGAATTGCTGAGCATGTGGACCGAGAATAAGTATCCGGCTTTGGTATGTCGCCCCATTAATATGAAGCGGGAAATTATTCATGCCGAAAATATCCCTTATGGCTAACCATATGTTCTCTCTCTCTCTCTATCTGTGCAGCCCCATCGTGTTGTTGTGCCCGACAGTGTGTACTGTCGCACAAAAGGGAGACACTCAATGGCCTTCTTCTGCCACCCAGACAATTCCACCGTCATCGCTCCCATTGAATCGAAAATTTTACAGCCGATCGATTCTGAGGAGGACTTGCAGAAGAAGAAGAAAAAGAAGAACATGTAAATTTTCCTCTCCATTCCCACATATAATAACCATCGCCCAATTTGGCAGCATTATTAATCCGTCTTTCCACTTTCAGACTCATCACCGCCTATCAAGTGGTCCAGAACAAGTTTAAGCAAACTTACAGTGCCTGAGAACCAATTTGCGCTACTTTCACGAACTCCTTCGCGATGCATCAGCGCCGGCATTGTATTAGGTATGCGGCCAAATTAGATTTACAATATAACACTCGATGGGAGGTCGTGAAAGGCAGAGTATCTCTCGGAAGTTTGGGAGAATTTATCCATCCAGTTCTATGCAGAATCATTCGTGAGTATCACCGCCGAATAATACTCCAACTGTGCAGGCAAAGTCGGGAGAGTGCTTGCGAAATCCCTTCCTTGCAGCAATTCATGCGATTATTGGTACTTTTATAAATCTTATTACACTTATTTTACTACTCCTCCATGTAGAGAATGAGAAAAAACGTATGTACTTGAATGCGTTGAGAGATGTAATGCTATGTACTTAGTTTACACTTAATATATGACTTTAGTGTACTGCTCACGTGATTTACTTGGCCCTTTGCGGAAATATCATCAGTGTTGCTGTTGAAACAATTTTTGCGAGGATTTGGTTGATAATTACCCCCAAAAAAATGTTATCGAGTTGCGTCGCTCCACTGAAATGAGGCTTCCAGAGTTTAAAATTCTATTAACACCTGCGTCACGAATAATTAACGCATTAAGACAGATCACAAGTCAGATTAACGGCATCAGTGATCAGGAAAATTAATCTAAAAGGTGTAATAGTGCAGAGAATTTGCGCACTCTTCGAATAAGGATTGAAACAATTTACACTTCAGTAATGTTTTATTAATAATGGGTTATCTTAGAAACGAACGCATGGGATTTCAACTTACCCATCATCGATGCAGTCTGAAAAAATGTTCTTTGGAATTACAAAAAAAAACCATTGATTATTTTGATAGTTACTAATATACCTAATTAAACACATTCACGATTGAATATTTTAGAGTTAACATCAGTGTTTTTTTTCCACGTTACATGATTAGGAAGTCATCAATAAATTGAGACTTTAAGTATACAAGACAAGATTAAGGGAATATTTATCTAATGCGAATAATTTATCTAGTTGAAAAATCGTTTCATACAAAATCTTTTTTTTTTCTTTTTGAAATATTCTCAATGGTATAAAATTTATCTAGTCATGAAGCTCTTCCTGATTCATCAATGTATACTTTTTTTGTGAGAGTTTATCGTTCAAGAAAAATCCCTTCAACAAATTGATTTCGCTCACGCTATTGATTGAAAAATTTCAATACCAAATTCTTTGAATAACTCTGCTGCAATTCTTTATTGTTGTTTAAATGTTCTCCGACTAATTGAGAAACTCCCGGATATTTGAGCCATGGTTTTATGTCTTTATTATCGCCTAATTGAAGAGATGTTGTTGACCCATTTGCCCGTGCAATAACATTTAATTTTATAAAAATTTATTGCACTCACTGATAGCAATCCGAATACATATGTATACCGATTCGCATTTATCTCTCCATGACGTCTTCATATGTCGTGTCATCTATTTTATAACTATCCGTTCCCCCCCCCCCCTCCTCCAATGTGTTGCTATACTGTGGGATTCCTCTGCACAGTTTAGCAAAATTACTTTACTGCTTTCCTCATTTCACTTCAATAGTTTATGTACACAGATACAAAGATGATTACCAATAGTGATATATTTTTGCAAGTGAGTAATATGCATTTTCACGACCACTGCATAAAATTCTATAAATGCCTTATCTGGAAGTTTCCTTTTACGATGTGTATTTATGAAATTACTTCTTAATTACCCAAGAGCGAGGGTGTGTGGCGGTTCTAATTACTATTTATCTATTGCACACTTGAAAGGCAGTAACAGTACCGTGACAAATTCCAAACAGTTATTGCTGTTTTCTTCCACAAACAGGAAATAGTTGAGCAATTCATAATCTTTCAGATGCCTTTATGAGATCAATATCAGACGTTGAAATGCATATTACGAGTATTCATACCTAAATCTACGTCAAAAAGTCTCTCATTACATTCTAAACTTCTCTTTTATAGGGGTAAAAGTGTCTCAAATGAGCTTTGTATTCGATTGGGGGAAATTCAACTAGACTTGTTAAGTTCTTTAGTTTATCTCTAGTCATTACTGGCGCGAAATTGTCTTATTGTCCACATTTATTTCATACTCTCGCTCCACCGCAAAATGAACGTTGGCTCATTGTGACTAATTATTGTAAAATGCATTGTACTTTTCCTGGTGATAACTTCCTGCGGGGGGAGAACTGTAAGGGATGAAAGGGCCCTCATGTGGGTAAATTATGCTATCGGGAAGTACTCACGGAAAGGGAGTGAAATGTATATAATGTGTTGCGGGGGTAATTGACGATTGGGGACGGTGGGTCAGCTACACGAAGCTCTCCTTCTTGAGCCGCGGCAGTGCCTCAAAGTCAAACTGCAAATGGGCATCATCAATTCCGTTGCACTGTGGAATGAGGGTCTCCTTCTCACGCTGCGCGGCATCTGCGTGACTGGAATCCCCGACTTGGGGGCTGTCTCTGAACTTCACTCGGGACTCGTGGTGGTGGCTGTTCAACAGGTTGCCACTACAGTCCACTTGCTTGCCCTCGAGCGACTCGGCTCTGGCCACATTCACTGTCACCACATTGGGGGGTGGTCCGGCTGACCTAAATAGATCCACATCAATCTCCGTTTGCCCGTAATTCGATTGTGATGCTCTCCCGTCGAAATTTGCGAGTGCTGCCACTTTGGACGCCGCAGACGCACCTCCCGCGGACTCCTTCTCCGTCTGCTGTCTCCGGTGCTTATCGCCGCTGTTCGAAGTGCTGAGATTTGTGGAGGTGGTGTGGAAGGTGCCCTTGCGTGTGCTCGTCAGCAATTTGTTGCGCACCAATCGATGGCAGCCCAGGAGGGAGAAGAATCCCTGGCGGAATTTCGATGACATGAGATTGTAGAGGACAGGATTGATGGCAGAGTTGAGGTAGAGCATAATCCGGCAGAAGTACAGGAGATTGTAGTACGCCTCGAAGCCCAGGGACATGATGGCCTCGGGTGGCACCACGATGATCCACAAGGTGAAGGCCCGGAAGGGTGAGAGGCAGACGAAGAAGGAGAAAATCACGGCGCTCAGCATGAGAATCACCTGTTTGCGGTACTTGAGCACATGGCGATGGCCATACGATATCAGTCCGGGATTGTTCATGAGGTGGCGGGCAATCACCGAGTACAGCACCACGAGGATAAGGAAAGGGATCACGAAGAACAGCACGATGCTGCCGACGAAGAAGGAGGCGGGCCAGAGCTTGTCGGCAGCCGTCATGCACACAGCCACCTCACTTCCGTCCACATACGTCTCGTTAGTATAGGTCGCTATGGATAGTATCGGACTGGAAGGGGCAAGAGAGAAGACAGATTAGTGACATGCTTCCGCATTCAATTTGGATTCATTCGTGAAATGTGCGAAAATTTTTATAAATTCAGCCAATCATTCTGTGTGAAGTGGTTGAAATGGAATTAGAGAGTCTTTCTGAAAGCTACTTTGTGCGGCTATTTGGGTTAAAATGAACAAATGAGATTTCTAAGTAATCCCAGAACAAAGATTTGCGATGAAGGTGCGTTCAAATATGAATTGTTCTGATAAAATTGAGGTGTATTTCTTATCGGGAATGAGGCATATGAAAGAGAGAGAGAGAGAGAAAGAGATTTCTGTGCGGCATTCTACCTAATCAGAAGCATTACTTGAGCTCCTCTCTCTGATAATTTTCCGCACATTTCCTTATGCATTAGATAAACATGGGGATATGTATGGGTATCATGTTCTTTGGAATAAATATAAGTACTTACCTGTACGAAATGTACATTCTTCGCGACGCGGGTGTACCATCTACATATGTACATGGTTTTTGCCCTATATTTACATCTTTTTTTTTATCTCACAGCACCATGACTCAATGAAATATTTACAGCGCATCTCCTCGTTCTATATACAGCGACTGGAATTTTATGTACAGAATCACATGCACCAGTTTTAGGGATTCTCTCTAACCCATGTACAGAATTTATTTTGTGACACTATCGTATAAGCAAATTTCTCAACACTCAACGACACTCTTTTTCTACTCTCTCACTAGGAGTGAAAGAAAACGGAGAAAATAGAGGGAATACTTTATCTACAGCATATACATATTAATACGGGTATATTATCACAATAAAATGCCAATACTACAACATACACTTTCTAATGTAACATTTGCACTAGAATAAATGTTCAATTAAATGATACTAAATATAGGTTGACAATTTACATGATAATTTGTGTGTGTAATTTTAATAAACAATTACTTGATAAAATTTATATTTTATCTACTGTGCAGAATGTTTTTGCCGAACTTTGTTACATTTTCATACAGCTCTTATTCTCTATAGCGTCAGAAGGCCAACTGAAGTCCCAATTGTTGGCTTCTCAGGAAAAGAAGTAGGAATTGTATGTTAAGTGGCGGAAATGAAAATTAATTCCCAAGTACGGTGTGTGTGTGTGTTCCTGCAATGGAAGTGTAAATTTGAAGGGCTAGGAAAGGATCGTGAAACGAGGCGAACGGAGTGGTTTCCTATTCCGCATCAGGAAGAGGAGGGACATCTGGGGATTTGTGTGTCACATCGCCTTGTGACATGAATTGGCAATTTTTCCGAAACGCCTGATGCACTCTGACGGGACAGCCTTTGGCGTCCTCCTCGACTCTGACCCCGTGCCTGATGTTCCTCAGGAGGATGGTCTCCCTGAGTTCAGCCGTGTCGCCGAGGAAGGGAGTGGATGACTGTCGTGTGACTCTTTTATCATGGTATACATCATCATTTGTAGCACTGTCATTTGGCCCCTCATTGCCCCATCGACAGACCCCATTTCGTATTCTCACGTCGTCCATAGACAAGGTCGTCCTGTAGCAACTGCTGCTCTTCCGGCTGTTGACGCTGTGCGTTAAGAAGCTCGACGTTGTGGTGTTGAGGGGTGTCGGCTGCTTCTGGCGCGTGCACCACATTTTGGCGCTGGAGCAGTGATAGTACCAGCAGCACAGGCGTGTGAACCCCTTGCGAAACTTGGACGACATTAAATTATACAGAATGGGATTTATGGCGGAGTTGAGGTAGAGCATAATGCGAGAGAAGAAGAGCACATTGTAGTATCTTTCGGCACTCACACCTTTCACGTGCTCATCCGGCGCCACCACGATCCACAGCGTGAGGATGCGAAAGGGCAGCAGGCAGCTGAAATGGGCAATCACCACCGTGGCGATGATCATCACCACCTTCTTCCTCGCCTTATGGCTCAATTCGGACTTGGTGGGGCGCAGCCTCAGCATTGATATGTCGTTCGATATAAGATTTTTGGCAATAATCGAGTAAAGTATGATGAGGACCATGAGTGGTAGGATGAAGAATACGGATATTATCATAAGGAAGAAGGAAATTGTCCACGCGTTCGACGCCTGAGTTAGGCACACCGCCACGCGACTTCCATCCACGTAATCCATAATCTTGTATTCCGCCACCAATAGAATTGGGCTGCAAAACGTGTAATTTATCGCATTTTTTATGTGACTATTTTTCACAGGGAAAACAACTGACATGGTTAAGCAAATATGCAACACGGAAGAAGGATAGGAAGAGTCACAGAGAGCTTGAAAACAAGCAAAATCCTCACTTTCACGACAATATTGATTGAAATTTAAACCACCCGCTGTATGAGTGAATATATAGAGGTAGTTGACCCTGTCAATCGCCTATTAAAATGTATGCCGAAAACTCATTAACTGAATCTTCACGTACAGCACTGAGCTCGGTATTGGACTAAATTGTTTATTTGAGCAATAATCTGCTAAATTCAGTTATGGTTAATACAGCTATGAAATGAAGCCATCCAAAATATTTCTCTAACATAGTTGCTGTTTTATTGGCAATAATAATTTTATAAATATCATGCAATGAAATAAAAGATAATCTCTGTGAGGAATAAATCAAGAATTGATTCCTCACTACTGCAACTTAATTGTCTCTCGTTGCGTCATTCTGTAGGTTTTCTCGCAAGAATGCACTGGCTTAATTACAACAGTAAGCCAATTTCGGGAAGCATAGGATTTCCCAAGAAGTCTTAAATATCCTAAGCCTAAGCAAAGCAGAATGATGGACATTATTCTTTTTTATGTCCGAGGGGAAAATGTAGAATGACTTGTAGTTAATGATGTCCTAAATTCACTATATTCTCTCTTTCTTCCGGCTTCATAAAAATAGTTAATAAATCCCATTGAGATATAATCTATATCCCATCTGTGTTGAAAGAGAATTGCTTAAGAGAAATCTCTTAAATTGCGCGGCAGGAAGAAAATCAATAATCTACCTTCTCATATTCAAATCAAAACAAATTATTTTCGCAAATTCCTCTCAAGACCAACCATCGTTTGGTAGATGTGAAACACCAATATTACATTATTCTTATATGATCCACAAAACCTGACTGAAATTTTGATGTGTCGTCTCGTGGGCAAAGTTTTCTGTATGGAAGCTGCAACATCGGACAGAACGACATGTAATATTTTATACAAAAATTTCCTTATTGTTGTTGTATGCATAAATTTCTCAATCTTATTTGTGGCGTTCTTGAGCGGTTTAATAAATTCTTGAATTTCCTGTAGGCAAACATCGTTCTTTAATACGGCCCTATTTTTTCCCCGAACGGCGGTGGAAATTGAATATTGGGCCATATTCTTCGACAGATCGCAAACTTTTTATATGAGTTGCTATAAAAATTTTAGCATAAATTGTCACCAATCAATATTTCAGTGGGAGGAAGTATGTTGATTTCCGCCAGCTATATTGATAGAATGAATGAATATTAATATGGTGTGATTCTATTTTTCTCAATTGTTAACCGAAGGGTGAGAAGGACGGCATTGTAATGAATTGAAATTGATAGAACGTAATACTTTTGGTGGACTAAATAAAGGACATAATCTGGACGCAAAAGTCCCATCAGACAAAGACGTGGAAGAGGCATGAGGAGATGCTCAGATAGCACATAATAAAGAACTGGCGATGGAGCAAGCAGTAAGAAAAGTTTCAAGTTCCTCAATACGAATTGAATAAGAAAATACTCGAGAAGAGAATTTTGCAGAGAATGGCAAAAGTAATTTATAACAGCGATAAGCTTTCGATAATAGTCCGTTTGTTGAAAAAGATGGACAAAATACTAATATAGATTTTTTGGGGTGCTCCATAGACCGAAGTTATTACGGCATCCGTGGCCATATATACACAATAGATAGAATTGCATAAACTTTATGAAACGTAAAAACGAAAACATTTTTCTGTGGAATGCGTGGGGGCGGCGGGGGTTGTGTGACAAAGAAACAAGATACCGCTCTATTGTGCCGAAGAATAAGGAGGTTGTGTGTGACGGCGTACAAGAATGGCATGTCAACATTGCATGCGGCAAAGGACTTTTTTATCCATCAGAAGCATTATGGGATTCTCACTATTAAATCAATTGACAAATTTTATACTTGGCAAGTCGCTGTAATAAGCCATAATTCACACCCTCTTGTAAGTACAACGTAATAAAACGTGCAGAATCCATATTTATGCTTCATAACTACATAAATTTCCCTATAAAGTCTCTATGTATGAAAAATTATTGGTGTATCCAGCAAAATGAGCTTGTAGCAGCTTAGAGCCAACATTAAACCACCAAATCCTTCTACTTTAGTAGGTTTAACCGAAGCGAAATGATTATGCATAAATAATATTAAATACGAGACGTTTACGATTAATGAGATATTTAACCACTTGGTAAAAGTTACTCTTCTGGCGGATCATGAACACTTCAATATTTTGACTAGAAGTGACACCATGTGAGGGTGAATTTATGGAACGAAAAAATTGCTTCCTTAAGTGCCTATATTGAGGGAGAGCAAACAAATTTCTCCTTTATTTGCACATATTGAAGTTCTGTTGGACTTTCTTCAGATACCGATTCGTATTCTCTATGGTAAATGGTGAAGATTGTGGGCCAAGGTCAGTTGATTTCCAGTGCTTAACACTTTAATATTTGCTTAGTGGGAATTGCTGTCGTCATTCCAATTTTTTTTTTGCCTTTCTGTCTGAAAACTGCTTAAGAGAAATATTTAGTTCGCCTGGATATTCATCATATTTTGTTACAAGTGAGTGAGATATGTTGATTAAATAGGGAAATTTTCTCTCTGAATTGACGATAAAATCAATGACAAATATGATAAATGGCTGGATGCATAAGTATGCTTTTATTATTCTTCGGCTTTGGCACAATCCTCTTATTTTCATTATACTGTGAAAGGAAGAAAAATCGCATGGAGACTCATCAATATTGAAGAGGATTTATCACTCAATCCCGCCAAATCCTCCGTGTGTGCGCTTTTAAAAATGACATCAATTATTGGCGAATTTCTGTATCAATCAACCGATAAGGTCACACCAGGTCATTTGGGGAATTCGTGAGAGTGAAAGTAAGAGGATTTCCACTGAAAATCAATTTGATTGAATTGAATCTGGCGCAATCTCATGGCCTGATGGGCAACATTTGTTATGTTGACATGTAAAAATCATAATATTATCGAAGAGGACGTTGTGGGTGAGGTATAAAAACACAAAACGAATTTATCTCTTCCACTCATTTTCCTTGTGCCTTTTTCCGCCGTGCCTCAGCATCAAACAAAAAGGATGTGTTCATGGTTAGTGTTTAAGGAAATACGCCTTGTAGTCTATAAATGAGGAAATTTCTTTGACTGATGTGAGGATATTGAATTAGCCTATATATCGGGGTCGCCCATACATTCAATGTTCATTGATTTCGCGCAATGAGGAAAAAACAAGACGGAGTGATGTGAGGAAAGTAACTTAAGCGGTGATGAAATGTGTCAATAGATTAGGGACTAACATAACACGCAAAATACAATTTTACTCAGCAATTTCTCCATCCAAAATCCCCTGACAGATTGTCTTCACACGAGTAAACGATATTGGCTCGGCATTATTCAAAAATAGGCAAATAAAGCTTATTAAATCATCTTGAGGGCATTCATGTTTAAAAAGATAAAGATTGTCGTAAAAGTTGGAAAAATTGCATGATAAATATGTCAGGAGGAATATTTTCGGCTATACCGAATCGCGTGTTGTTTCAGACTTTAAAATATGTATATACATATTCTGGAATTGTGGTAAAACTTTCTCAGATATTGTAAGTTTTCTTTCGGACTAGTGTTGTTTTTTTTCAGACTGAGATTTATGGACTCTTATTCTGTCAATGCTTGAGAACAGGTTGATGTACGCTGAATTAGAGGCTTGGCTGGGTGAAAATTTCCCTCCAAGTGAGATGAAAGCGTATAAATAGTTCGCTTCCACCTCCTGTTTACGATTTGTTGTTGCACATAAAATAACCATCCTCATTAGTGGTTATAAATTAGTTGGAAAATTATTGAACTTGACTCAACATGGCACAATCCTACGCCTTGAGGACTTCAAAAGTCGAAAGCGTGAGTGATATTTGAGATGAGGGAGTGAATTTCAGATGATTTTAATCTATGTCTTTCTGGTGAAAAAAGTATATTCATCATCAAAGGATTTTTATGGATACTTTTGTGCGGCACATGTTTATATATACATGACTTTTATGTATAACACTGCTTCTCCGATGCGTTTAATAAAAATCCCAGCAGATTGGCAATTAATTCAAGTGGAATAGCTTCGAATGATATTTACATAAAGCACATAGCACTAAATACAGATATGATGATTTTGGTGAATCATAAAAATCGTCAACTTTCTTTCTTGTCTGTAAACCCACTCTCGTTGAAGGTGTAGACTTGTCTGTTCACTATATATATACAATATCATTTAATAATCTCTCTCCACTACGAATCATGTCTGAATTCGAGTGAAGTTTATTTATATAATACATTCGATAGTAAAATGATGATACACAAATTTCTCATATCCATGGTGGAACATAAATCAGAAAAGTTTGCTATATACCTACATATATTGGCTACGTACAGAAGAGCAAATATTTACACGCATTTGTTGGCACGAGAGACACGAGTGCGAAAATTCTGCCCAAAGTGAATTCTTTTTCGGTGAAAAGTTCATCACAAAACTATTTCCAACTACCAAAATAAAAAATCCTCAGAAAAACAATACCACTCTAATAGTATCAAATCCACCCAATCATGTAAGGGAGTGTCTCAGATCAGCTACGATGGTTGGATACACAGTCTCTGGCAAAGAGCATTGAAGAGGTTGTGTGAAATTTCAAAACAATACCATTTGCTCATGGGAATTTAACCACAGAGCAACAGATATTTCCGAAAGGGATCAATAGAAACTCTCAGCATATTTGCCAAATGTACAAATCATTGAGCAATATTTCAGCCAATTTACACAAAACCTCCACTTACTCCGTGTACAAATTCTCATTATGCATGCTGGTTCGTGTGGTGTTTTTTTTATGAATGAAAGGGCGAAATGTTTGCCACCGCTAGACTACAATATATTTGCCAACTGTTTGAACGTTTCACAGTGATTAAGCAACCGAAAGTGAAATTCAACACTACCGAATAGAGAAGCGAAGCAAGGAAAAGCACAACGTTAAGTGGGTGGAAAGGGGCCTACCTTGTGAAGAGCGCCGCGACTATCCATGCCGTGATGCAAATAAGAATGGCTCGAGCCTTGGTGCACACATATCCTGCCTTCAGGGGCTCGCAGATGGCGTAGTAGCGCTCAAAGGAAATAGCCAGGATGGTCAGGACACTCGCATGAGCCACGGTGAGTTCCACGAACGGCACTGCCTTGCCTGATCGAAAAGACATTCAAGCTAAGTTCATTGTCTCAAAATTCAATTTAGTAGTTTCATCTAATCTTTCTTGTGATAGTTTTTCACACAAGATCGGAGAAAGCGTGGAATTACACGGAAATTTAACTTTGTCACTCTGACTTCAATTTCCTTCAAAAACTATATATACACACACACACATGTTGAAGAACAAAGTGATGAAATTCAGTGCTAAATGAAGGTCTTGATGACTTCAACTTCAAGATGAATCTTTATACTCGCAATTTCCAAGAATTTCTTCATGAATAAGCGAAGTTAAAATATTGTCTCCATGGCAAGCTTCAATTTTATTTGCATATTTCTATAAATAGCAATCCTTTTAATTTTATATCACATAATTCCATTGCTTTGAGGATCTACCCTCCATTAAGATATGTATAGTAAGTTGTAAACTGTTCTCTACGCGGCTGAGATTTTATATCATTCATGCTATGAGATTTTTTCTTATTGACACACGCACGTATTGCTTTACGCGGGAAAATCCTTGAAATTTTCCAATCTTCCCAATACATTTACGTTAGTTTTAGCCTTTTGTGGTGCGCTCGAGGGTTGTTGCTTGAATTTCATCTCCGTGCCGTCTTTTCTGGCTTTCACGATGGTCCTTTCATTAAATAAGCACACAAGGATAATTCTTATGTGCGCCAGAGTACACAAGGAGCACACACTTAATATTCAGTAATTGTATTTAATTAGTTGAAGGGAAATTTCGAGCATTTGTTTCTCCATCCAACGGACACAAGTCAATATTATTGTTTGGGTGCAGGAGCTGAGGAGGTCAGAAGCTCAGTCATGGAAGATTTCTGGTCATCCTCTTGCCGTCTTAATGGAATTTTTCCACTATGGCAGCGAGATGACTCTTCGGTTATTTCCAATGTCTGCTATTTTATTTTTCCATCGATGGATTTATTGGCATTTTTCATCATTCTCATTCTTCCGGGTGCAATAAGAAAATTTTATGGGGGGAAAAATATGAAGCGATGAGAAAAGTTTCATAAAATTCTAATGAGCGAAATCTTTGATCCGGATCGTTTACACGATTGCTTAAGTGTATAAATGCACCACTCAATAAAGTGATACACAAGAAGTTAATGGAAAATAAATTGACTGATGTAGATGTTAAGAAATATGATACAATTAAAGTGGTTGAACATAAATAATGATATACAAACATCGAGCGTGTGTCGCTTGAAGATGAAGACAGTATCGCCTTTAAGCAAATGGGGGAACTAAATTTTAGCTCACAGACTGAATGGCTTGAACTGAACATTTCTCTAGAATTTTCAGAAAAAAACTTAAGGTTTTAATTTTTCTTTATAGTAGATTAATATTTGTGTTTGCTAGAATTAGTCATTCTTCCTTTCAGATGACAGTTCAATTGCCCCATTCTGTGTGTGTGTAGGTATGTTCCCTCTATACTGAAATCCAAATACCTTCTACTTTATCTCTCCCACGCGACTTTATTAGACACTCTGTATTCTTTTCCATATGATTCTTTTTCATCTGAAATGCTACTCCCAAGTTTGTGCGGTGGAAGTTTAATATCTGAGAACTGTGATGTATGAAGATGTATGAAAATATACGCGCAAAAATAGAGTGGTTTCATGAAAATACATTAAATATTATCCCAAAAATTCACTAATTTCTTCTACTTTCACAGGGAATAATATTTGGCTGTCCGATTTCTCAGCAAAAGGCATTCATGTTTATATTTCCAAGAGAAGAGATCATCAAATTCGACACCCACATAATAGACCTTGTAATGAGAACTAATTTCTCCACGGAAACTCTAATGATTTTGAAGAGCAATCAAAGTATGTAGAAGACGTTGAACTCTTCACCGTGTGCCAAATTTTTATTTATTCTCAATACCGGCAGAATTTGAGGCTATAGCGCATAAAATAATAAATTACGAGTTATGACTCCAACCAAAAGACTCAAGTTTAAAATGAGATTTATACAGTGAGATTAGACAGTGTCTCGAGATGAGGTAGTTTGAAGTTTACGGAGATTGTTCTGCGAATTGATTTTCATAAAACAGCAGATGATGTTCCCCAAAATGGGTCAAAAAGTCCTTAAAGTTAATCTTAAAGTTGCCATGGAGAGAATATTTCGCTTCCAGCATAACTTGATGCTTCGCTCTGATATGGACTAAACGACTTTTGTGTGTGTTTTGGCGAATTCAATAGACTTTCAATACCGGCAAAGTGATACCGTGGACCGTCATTTATGTGTGAAAGGCAATGAAGGTGTCCTTTAGAGGAATAATTGAATACTTACACATTTCTTGACCGAGAACCCATGTTTCCGGTGGCGTATTGACTTCCACGAGAACGGTCGGTGTGCAAACGAGGAGGACCAATAAATCGGCAATACTGAGATTGGTGAGAAAGATGTTGGTGGAGTTTCGCATGTCTTTCGTCTTCAGAATGACGATGGGGACCTTTTTGTATCCCGTGGTGTCATTGTAAATGAAAATAAGAAATCAATACTGGATGATAGTTTCATGGTGGAAAACATGAAAATATAATCACAAGCACTGTTCACACTCTATGTACATGAAACTGCGCAAAAAGAATTCAGCATGGTCATGATTCTTCTCAAAATGATAGGCCACAAGGCACGGCTGGCTTTAATAAATGCAGCAATTGGGGAAGGATTTGGTAAGGGAACGCTCTCTTAACTTAAGAGTTATGATAATTTGTGCTCTAGATTCATTATAATGCAAAACTCATTCCCTCAATTAATGTTCTTTGCAATTTTGCGGCTATGCTTTGCCCTAGAGTTGTTTATTTAATTTAAGTTACACCCATAACAATGCAATTTAATAATACATGAGGGCTAAATGAACAATTAGGACGCTTTTTCCTCCCTCAAGCTTCAAGCAAACAGTGAACAACAGTGTGAATAATTGAACATCTTCTCACCATGATGTTGCCAATGACACCCAGGCATAGGATGAGGATGCAGAGGACCATCGCTGTGGTGCGAATATAGGCAGGTATCTGTGGCTGGCCAAAATAATCCGTGGCATTGTGTGTGAAGTTGTCGTGGACAACAGAGGAATGGATGGAGTTATTGAAGAGGCGAGCTAAAGTCGAGTTCTCCACTGCCGTCTCGTTGAACGTGGCGAAATCATGAGGTGAATCGCGGTGAATTATCTCCACCGAGTGCACCTGCACCTGTTGCTCCGGAAAGTGAATGAATCCGTCGCTCCTCCGTACTGCCGGCCGAAGGAAGTAGTAGGGAAAGCTTGACGGTTGCTGACTGAAGGCGCGAATTGATGTGATGTTAACTGTGCGAAGTCTGTCGGCAAAGTAGTTGATCACATTTGGCACAGCAATCACTCCTCGGAGCCGAATGATGGGCAAGAATCCGGATGGACTTTCTCAGATGCTGTGGGAATGCCTGTGAAATCACTTTGACTGCTTCCGTATGGTCACGATGTGGCGTCTGTTGGAATGCAAGATGTTGTCTCGGGTTAGTTTCCGCCCAATAATGTGCAGTCCAGAGTAGGGCAATATAGGCTGTAGGGAATGCGTGTCAGACAGATTTTGTAGCAATTTCGAAAAGTGTCGGACAAGAATACACAATGAGATTTGTTTATTTTTACTCCATTGCGCGAGAAGACGAACATATTGAGCTAAGCAGAAGTAGTAAAAGTGCCCAATTGCCATTGTTCCATATGGACCAACTTTGGGACGCTATATTGGGGAGCCTTTCCATGGAGTATTGCGGCCACAGTCGATGATTGGGGACATATGGTTGTGATTGCTTTATGGCAAACCACTCTAGCATATGTCTATGTACTGCACTTTTTAACGTACTCCCACATGAAAGTTATTGTTTCGCGGGAATTAATTAGCGAGTTGTGAAGTATTTTTTGCGCCAAATTTTTTATCACCACGGGAAGCACTAGACGAAGCTGGCGCTCTTCTGAATCACTCCAACAGGAATAAATAATGCAGGATTCACCGAGTGAGATATCACGACAGTGTGGAAAAGCGTGGGTGGTTCAACTATCGCAATGCAGTGTCTTTCGACATGTATTCCAACAAGCGAGGTGGTGTGATAATACATTATAAATAATTAATAAGGTCTATTTCTGTCACACCTATTAATTTTCCAGAACAATGTATCTGTTTTTAACTTGCTGCTGCTAAATAAAAAATTAATATCGCTCTTTTGGAAGTCCCTTGGGAGCCACATGACACAATTTCCACAATCATTTAATTAAGCTCACAATTATACGCTGTATAAATATGCTGATATTTCAATTTTAAATATGACAAGACCCCATTTCTAGACTATTATTAATGGGGAATATTATTTAGCTTTCCCATTGAAATCCTAATTTAATTGTATCAATTCATTTTAATGAAAGGATTCCGTGGTCATGAAATGTTTATTTATATTGTCTTTAATGCAATTTTCCTGAGTGTGGAAAGCTAATTTGCACAAATGCCTTAACGCTCAATTGAAAGGAGAATTAAATTCGCTTGGGAAGTTAGTAAATGTTTTCCCATTCCATATGGAACTATCATAATGTTTGAAATATCATAAACAATAATTGTTTATTTGCATAAAATGCTATTTCAGAACACTTTGTGAAATATATCAACTGAGGAAGCAAAGCCCGCCACCCGAGGCAGAGGCTGGCTGGTATCCCCTCGAGAAAGTTTATACGTTGCCTATTTAAAATCGAATTAAGTGGCAGTAATGAAACAATCACCATTTTCCAATTAAACGGCAATGAAATTGAGCCAAATGAGGATTACAATATTATTTCAATCAGCCACTGATCCAATTTCTCTCTTGATTTAAGGATCAATTGGGATTTGTTGGAGAATTCAAATGGGGGCTCTCACTTAACTCCCCTTTATTATCACTTAGACAGGCCCCGGATGGAAATTTACAGTGACACTTTTATGTAGATCCTGAAGGAGTAGAAGCGGGAATCCAATGGCGAAATGGCGAAGTGGGACGGGGGAGGGCGCGGGGAGGAGGAGGTAAGGAATGTCGGGGCTTCATGCAGAATTCAATTTGCATCCAAATTATTTATTCGTCTTTTATTGGACAGAAAATCCCGTGTAACTTCCACACAGTGCCTCATGTGAGGCGAAAGCGAGGTTTTCCTCGAAAAGACGTGTGAGTTGCAGTAAAATGGGATTTGACTTCTTTTTGCTGGTAAAACACTTATCACTTTCACGATTTTGGGGCCAAAACATGATGTTTGTGTAAATCTTGTTTTCCAACGCAAAAACAATCATTTTCACTCTCGTTTGAGAAAATACTTGAGTAACATATGAGCTATTTTCACCGTTCTCATCCATTCACAAGAAATTTTCGTCAGAACTTTGGAAAGTTGAATTGAGAAACTCCCCAAAGAGACATTGAATTTATTGATAACACATTTTTTCTCTCCCTCAGCGACGCATTATTCCACCCACATGTATGGCGAATAAATTTTAACGAGAGCTCCTGCACAAGTTATTACTATTTGCATTATGCAAATTTAAGTGGTGCGGTTATTTTGTGATAAGACGAAAAGGAATCACGAGAATAGATTCAGTGCAGCGATGCAATAAATTGAATGGAGCGAAATTAACTGAACTGAGCAATTTTTCACTTGACTTGCAAGACACTCACATTGCAAATGATTCCAGTATCAAACTCCACAATTGCTTCCAATAATTTCCACTCTTTGATTCCTCGCCTGAGGATTCCTCACAAACTTCCTCCTTCTCACTCGCTTTTTCTGCTCAGGAAATTCCTTTAGCAGCGGAAAATCACATGGAGAAGTAGCGACAAATATTTTTTTCCTCAACAACTCTCGAAAGAACCGCAAATTCGAATAAGAACCACTCGCTTCAGCACGTATACGGAATTTATTAATATAGTGACAACTTGTAGACTTTGCAAGGGTCGTCACAGTTTGGAAAGTTTCGGGTGAATGAATGAAAATGTAAAAAGTATTGAAACTAAAAGCGTTTGAATTGACGCTGCTACCGAGTAGAGCATGCGTATTGCAGATTGAATTTTCGTATTTCTTTTAACTACTCCTATGTATACGCCGAATGTGAGATCTTGCATTGGTCGTGGAAAACAACACCACCAGGAGGAAGGAAAGAGACTATTCATCCAAGAAGTGATCTAAGTTAAACACTACTTCCCACACTTTCACCATTAACCCTCACGACATTGTGGCGAGGGAATGGCATTGGGGTAACGACGAGATGAGCAAAAGTCCCGTAAATGTTTATTAAAAGGACTTTTCACATAAAAATCCGTGATTTCACATCACTTTTTCTCAAAACTGCAATCGTTCGCTCCTCAAGAATCATTAGTGAGTGGGAAAATGACGCTCCGCCAGAGACTGCTTTCAAGTCTTGCAGTCATTTGGCAAGTCAATCTCAACTGTTTAGAATAAATAGATCAGCATTTGATGGACATCTTAAAGACACCATCTGTAAATAAAAACACTTCTCTGACTGCTTTGAACACAAGAGTCGAAGTGACGTGGAGAAGAAAGTGACAGCCAGCAGGAGAGAATGCAAATAGCTTAAAAACTTTTGAGTAAGTATTACCGTGGCCTAATTGATAACGCTTGATTTACTGTGTACACAGTGTATTCATATGAACTGACCTTTTTATGAGACGGCAAAAAGTAGAGGTTTTCGCTATATTTTGTCTCCTATAGTTTTGAGCATTTAAAATGCAGAAGAACACTGTGAAAAAAAACTGCATTTTTAATGCAGATATGACAATGGGTAATTTAAACTACTACTCCTCTAAAGACCAAGTAAAGATTGTAAATGGAAAAGGCAAGTGATTTCCCGCCTTTTCATATTTCAAGTTTCATCAATGCTTCGGGCATGGTTGAAACATTTCTTCAATGCTAATCTCCATGTTCACTTCTATTTGTCTGCAGATACCGCTTCGGGGCTTTTCATTTGAATTCCTAATTATTTGTAACTGATATGCAAAAATCTCTCACTTTAGCATGTAATTTCAATACTAAAGGTTGTGAAATTATGTGAACTGAACAAGCGGAAGAAGTGATTGTTCGAGGTTTATTGGAGAAATAGTTTTCTCATATTTTCTCAGAAATGTGCATTCTTAATTTAACACGATGAGAATCATTCATTGACGAATGCCACATATTGTACTTCCTCGTTCTCGTGAAATTTTCACACAGCGCTTTCTAGTATGCATCCTTGAGATAGTAGTAAAAATATGAAAATTGGCATTTCCTTCAAAAAATGATAATTTCATGTTATTCTCAAACGTACCTGAAATTGAAATAAAAATTTATCAGATTCGAGAATCTTCTCTAGAAATTGACGTTTGTGAAAATTAATCTTGAAATCAAGTCTTTTGAAATTTTGAGATGCATTTCGGAAGTGTCTGTCCATTTTCATAAGATCAATTAAGGAACATTGATTTTCAATTAAGAAACTAGTGTGGGAAGAAATTGTTGAGTTTTCTCACGCATTGGCACGAGTGCAAATATTAGCGTGAAAAGATGCTTCAAACTTCTGATGAGTTCATTCAGAAAAGAAATTTTTCTGGACTTGAGTGCTTTTAATTGGAAGCTTCTAACTGACAACTTAATTACTGTATTTGCATTATTATCCATCACTTTATGATTTCTTCTGAATAATTGCACATGAATAAAAAAAAAGAAATATAAATAATTGTTTCTATATCCTTTTTCTTTTCCGCTTAGTTGTCATTGAGAAAAATTGCTTTAAGGATTACTAATATCTCCAATATCTCAAATTGAATGACAAGATGTCTGAATCTGCGCGAGACAAGCCAGCCGATAATTCGCCGCGAGAGCGTTCCACTTTCGAGAAAAGGTGTTCAATTGCGAATGTGAGGAGACAACTGAAGATTAGAGAAGCGATCAAGCGAGCCAAACTGCCAGTCACTGAAGGCATTTGAATTTATTAAGTTTTCTTAATTATTGAAATCAAATATTACTAATGTGGTATTATCAATTGAAGCGGCAGTGAGACGTCTACAGAATTCGTAATTCGGATACGGATTGGGTTAAGAAATATCGTGATTCTCCTCGTTCTATCACACAGGTTAGTAAGACAAGCAGACATTCACGAGGAATTACTCACGTAATTATTCGTACATTCTCAGGTAGCGAACCAAGCACTCATATCCATTCCCGCACGACACATTCATAGCATTTGGTCTTAATTCTCATGTAATTCGCGTTATCAATGTCAGTACCACAACAATAAATAGTGGAACACACGCAAATTTTTTTTTTTAGATGGGAAAATATTGAAATGTGTAGTATTTCCCAGACTAGTTCTTCGAAAAAATATTTTCTCCCACTCTTAGCTTAGGATTTTACTTAATTGATCATCAGTGTTTCCCAGCATTTCGCTTCCCTACAAATAATGATCAGGTTCATTTGCATAAACACGCCAAAGTATGAAAGTAAAATGGAGATATTTGTACATATGTAATATCATGTGAAAAATATCAATATTTGCATTTTATAAATGAAGCTTGTGGCGCAGAGAGAAATATTCTTAGGCTTTCACAGACTGGCAATCAGAAAAAGATGTTTGCCTTGAACGTGAAACGAACAAAATTAATCCAGCATATTTTCATAATTTATTCAAATTTCTCGACGTCAATGGATTTAATCGGCAGAAATGCGAGGATAATGTCTATTGATTTCATAACTTTACTAGAGTTTCAAGTTTTTGCGGCTCGCTAAAAACTATTTTCAAATTATTTTTGATCTCGTTTTCAAAAGTCATAAAATTTCTATACGAAATGGAATCAATACACTTGAAGGCTTTATCAAATAACTGATTTTGACGTTAAAATTTTTAATAATAGGTTGTTATGTAAAGCAAAGCTTTTACTATGGTAGGAATTTTTTTTTTCATTCAGAGATTTATTGAAGTTCAACTATTGGTCAACCTTCGGGATGAATTCAAATGGTTTGAGTTGCAAAGTTTTATGGAATGAAAAATTCATGAAAAACAGATTTCCGAAGTCTTCAGCCTGTCTTTTATTCAGTTCAAGAGATAAACAAGAGATTAAATCATTTTCATGTTGTGAATTCCCTGAAATTTCACTACTTAAGAAATGATTCACCGGATTCACCTGATATTTGCGAGAGAAAAGTGTGATTTTGGATGACCAGCGCGTCAGAAATGTGACGCAATTCAAGCGTGTATTTGCACGAGTCGAGTCAGTTGTGCGTGTTATAAAAGATCAGCAGACCTCGTGCTACAGGTGAATACCCATTGGAGGCGTAAATTGTGGCTCGTGCTGAGAAGACGTCAGGAAGGCAGAAATGCATTTGGAGACACAACATCGGAGAAACCTGATTTGGAAATACTAATCCAGAATGGGCAAAAAAATTCCTAGAAATACATGTTTTTGCAAATTGGCATTGAGGAGGTAGACATAATGCGGAGTAGTGGATAAAAATTGACACTAAAACGTCTCTTTGCAGAACGAGTAATTAGTAATATTCTGCAAAGGTGTAAAGGTGCAAAGCTGGCTTTGTGTAGTGTGAAGACGCCCCATTACTGCAATGCACTTAAATGCAAATAATAGGGTTTCTAAGCAGCCATATATATCTGCAAATATCATCTGATCCTCCCACTCTCGATATGTTGGTAATGCTGATGTGCACTTGAAGTATGTTTGAAAAGAAAACCGAAGCGGAATGCTTAAATTCAATTTCCCCGCAGAATAATTAATGACCACCTCATGAATGAAGAATATTGTGTAACTAATAGATATGGCAAGGTCAGTGTTTCATTCGTGTATAGTTTTATTATTATGTAATTTCAAGCTCATTTACTTTCTTTTTCTCTATCTCTTTTTAGACGGTGCTCGAGCGAGAATTGTACAAACAGCTGAAGTAAATAGTGGAGTAATATCACGTGTAGTGCTATGTTAAATTACTTCTATTGAGAATCTAGTATCCGCCGATGGAGTAAAAAATCTTTTCACTTCTCATATGATCTTTTAAGTAATGCAGCAATAATTTTGCAGTGAGCTTTATCTATTCTCACTCATGAGTATAAGTAATTGGCTTGCATTTGTTGGAGTTTTTTTATAGTCTTTCCAACAATGAATAATACTATCAGTTGTATGAATGAGAATTAAATTAATAACATTGGAACAAAAAATAGACAATTCGCAACTAATTTTGCGAGACTTGCCTAAAAGAAATAGAATGATGGTCAAGATATTAATTGACCTTTATGCTCTTGATAGCCACATCCCATTTCTATCGGAATGGCTGGAATTCATGTAAAATTGCATGTAAGAGTGCAATCTATCTCATGATTTTTGAATATATGTTCCAGCTTGTGTTGCAGGCATTTATGGTATTTTTTTGTCAGTGTCGGGAAATCACTTGGGAAATCAATTGCGCCATTGAACGCATGAGGGACATAGCGTGATAAAAACGCATACTGATATCAATTCGCGCAGTGCAATTGATTTGAAACATATCTACAACAATTAATTCCCACAGATACAATACATTTTTAATTTATCTGTAAAACATTTTGTTCTGAAGAAGCAATTATTTCCTTTTTTGCACACACAAGCAATGCCATTTTGTTGTGGCTTTTCCTCACCTTTCGAATGTTGACTGGTGTGGAAATTTTGTGCGTGAGATAGAACCTGTTGAAGCAGAGAAATGAAAGGATATTCCAATGAACTGAGTGTGATTCTTTGCTTTTCTTTTATAAAAAATTGGGGCTAAACCCCTCAAACTGGTCTTACATACAATTCTACCTCTCAAAGCTTCACACAAGTCTGATGTGGTGTAGTGGTAGTCAAAGTGATGCATAAAACCGCCGCTGTCCGTAGCATAACAGACACACACACACATCAAGAGCCGAGCGTGTATCTTGGGAAAGGGAATTTTTCTTGAGCTCGTATATAAGGAAAGTTGAGTGAGTTGCACTGGTCAGTTACTGGATGGATGTTCAACAGGTGTAAGCAAAAGTGAAGTTTCGTAGACGTGATACTAAAGTTAAATTCAAAGGATTTTTCTACCAATCAAAAGTGTTTCAATCTCTCTAAACTGTGAAAACGCTTTGGATTTATTTACAATTAATTAAGGTGTTGTGAAGAGTGAAGACGAAGTTTCCAACAATAAAGGTGTGATTGCATTTCTTATGAATGAATATTTAAAGTAGTGATGATTTCGCTAAGAAATGATAGGAATAGCAATGCAAAATAGCTAAAAATCAGAGAGAAATCGTATGCAACTAAATTGAGTTAACCCCTTATTGACATCAATTAAGTACGTGGCTCGTTCGAAAATCGCCAAAATGTCACGATCTTTGGTGCAGTACTCACAACATACCTCTAATTAGTGGAGAAAAATCCACGCGGTTTCGCGTGTGAAGAAATCTTATTGATACGATTTGTACTTTACGTAAAAACGAGCATTTTGCAGTAACATTCCGCCATATATTAGTTTTTATTGGTGAAAATCCACTTTGTACGCCTGTGTGAGAGCATGTGATTTAAATTTCAATTAAGGAATCGTGTGAATATATCTGAGATACGATCAAAAATTTTATAAAATTTGACATTCACTTAAAATCAAAGGAAAAAATGCAAATATATTTTTTCGCTTAACCGTTGCCTCGCGCTGGAGAGTTCATTGGAGCGACGGATGAATTAATATTGAAATATTGTTTTGAAAATATTAGCTCAAATTAGGTCAATAAAAATTATAGGAAAAAATCGGTGGAATGCAATTAATTTAAGTGATATCTTGAGGCGAGACTGCAAGTGCAGCAGTCATTTTGAGGGCAATTACGCTTGAGCAGCCCAGGACAAAGATTAACAGCTTATGCATAGGTGTTAAGATCATAAAGCAAACCTGACAAATACTGGAATTTAGGGTAAACCGCAAAGTGTCATTATCCTGTCTCACCGTAATAATAGTGCTACACTTATAGGTAAATGCATGTCAGAATTTCCAATGAAATATCATGGATGTTAACGTTTTTTGACCATTGCTGACTACTAAGTCAGACTTTGTGCTTAAATTTATTTTGAAAAAAACTTCAAGTGTTGTACTTTTTTATCTATCGACATAAATCGATAATCAATAGAATAAATAAAGGAGATTTTTTGACAAAGATTTTCCGGCTAGAATCTCATAACAAACGAATTATTTGCTCAAAGTCCAATTTGCATATCATTTGCGTTGAGCCGCAGCGTGTTTAGAATCATTCCCGGGCAGGCATAAAAAACGATCTTGTTTACATTATGACTCGTTGTCTTGTCTGAAGGAATTATTCACAAGGTAATGATTGTAAATCAAGTCATAGAAAATCAGGTATTCCCGATAACAGCTGAGAGCTGCGTGCTGAAATCTGTGTGAAAATGGGAAATTCCATGCATAGCATCATTGAGGATTAAAAAAAAAACGTCACCAAGTTGTTTTTGCGGTTCCACGTTTCTTGCATTTGGATGGATATCCACAAGATATTCGATTTGCGCACCCAGATCGCGCCAACGCCTCCATAAAAACAACAAACGCGCGGTGGAAATGCTATTCATGGGGGGTACGTTTGAAGAGCAATTGGCAAGGATTGGAGACAAACTGGTTTTGGCTGGAGAATTGTGGTGAATCAAAAGTTAAATCTCGCTAATTAATATTTGATTGAAATTTCCGTTTTTTGTAATGAGAGGTTGTTTTTGTGGGGATGTCTGCTGATTCTTAATTTCCACCATTTGCCCTTATGTGTGCAATTCTCCATGGAGAATTGCGAGTGAATTTGTTTAATGGCATGTTCTCTGAATAATATGCTGTTATTTTTTGTGGCCAAAGAATTAGCCCCAATGACTAATTCTTATCAAAGCGAAACTAATAAATATTCAACATGAATTGCACTTGTGATTATTATACGGTTTTCCCCTCTCTAAAGTCAAGGCAAACGTTTAATTCAGTCTATTTGATGTGGTTGTCACTCTTTTGAAATATTCTTTTCTGCCAATTGGGGGTTTTGCTCAAAATATTTATCCACTCGCGCTCACATAATGGCAGAGTATTACGCTATTTCGGAATGACGGTTGTTGGCTTTTTTCGAAAGCCGCGTAATGTTAATTACACGATCTCACTGCAAATTCATTCACTATTTACTGGTACGAAGGCCAATGAATTACACTTATAATGCTGCATGCTCTTCGAATGTCTATATTTGCTCTATGACTAGATTTCAAGTATGTTTGGGGGCGATCTTGATGCATTTTAAGGAAGATTTTTGCTTCCTTCACACTATAAGGAACAATGACACTCTAAAGACTGCATTTTTTCTTAATTGTAATGTTTGAATTCTTAATTTTCAGGAAGACGCGCAATCGTGAGAAATGGGATCACTACCTCAATTGTCGATTCTAAAGGGATCGCAGAAGACGAGAGATGTGCAGCTATTGCACAAAATTTTTGAAGAAAAAGTCGATCAAGGATGCGGCAACAAAACCGCAATTATCTTCAATGGTATATCCAATTGCTTTCAAGATTTTTCATAATAACATATTAATGTTGTATTTATTTACCTTTTTCTGTGCTTCCTTACACGCTCATTGCACACCATTAGTGGACCACTCAAATGAGCGACGAATTAATTACAACACACTGAATTCAAGTGCGAATCGCCTGAGCGCCACAATTCTTCACAGAGTCCGCGAGGGACAGGAGCCGTGCGCCAATCAGGATGGCGATTGGCCGGTGGTGGTGTGCATGGCACCATCAGACAATCTGGTGATCACCCTCCTGGCCATCTGGAAGTGCGGGGCCGCCTACCTGCCCATCGATCCGTCGTTCCCACACAATCGCATTCAGCACATCCTTGAGGAGACAAAGCCCGTTCTAATAATTCACGACAGTGACGGTGAGCATTACCTTTCCTCCATCGTCAATCACAATAAATCTCTGCGAGATCTGGAGTATTGAAAGGCTAATTGAACGTGGTTTTCTTCACCTTCAGTAGCCACAGAAGCTTTTGGAAGTAGTCCAGCCGTGTCATTCGATGTGCTCAAGAGGCAGTCGACAGAGTTCAGCAACGCCAATATCAGAGATGATGCCACTCTCTCCGACGAAGCAGATCCCACCGCCATAATTCTCTACACGTCTGGAAGCACCGGAATTCCAAAAGGTAGGCATATTTTTTGCAACTTGTTTTCTCACATTCCACAAGACACACGAGCAGAGGGTCAGTATCCAGACGCGCAGATCGAGAGACGATTTAAAGCTTGATTCGCAAATGGGTTGGGTGATCTGGTATTGTGTTATCAAAAGTTCTCGTGTTTTCATAGCATCTGCAGTGATTAATGAATGAATATCAGTATACTTAATATTCTTTACCTCAAGGTTATTGGGAGAAGAAAGAATACGATTTATCATTTTCAACTGGCTTATTTTTTTTAAAGAATTATTTTGGCGGCAGTTTTCAGATGCTTATCGACATTTCAAGCCAGTCACATAATTAATTTACGAAAAATTACCCGACAGTATACCAACCACTTAGTGTTCTTTTGACCTTTGGAGAATACGAGAGGTTCTCAAAATATTGCACAGCAAGAAGATTTCACCTCAAGTGAATGGAGAATCTGCATATTTATATTCGAAAATATTTTTTTTTCAATCCCACATAACACGCTATCGGCTTTTTCCACAATCTTACACTATGGATTTTTCTATGGCTCACTAAAGATTTTAAATTTGCTGTAATATCACTTAAAATACTGTGCCATAAATGTCTATTACTTTTTTCATACTTTATGTTAGTTGAAATATAAATGTAGTGTTTTTATTGAGAAAACAAAAACAGTAAGAATAAAGTCTCAAGGATATTTTTCGCACATAGTACATGCATTTATCGTCACAAGAAAGAAGTTGTGATGCAATCGCTACCTGGTATTACGTGATATAATTTTGTCTGAGCTAATTATAGCTTTAATTAAAACTATATTTTACTCTCTGCACTTACAGGAGTTCGCTTACCTCACTCAGTCATTGCTAATCGATTATTCTGGCAGTGGGATGAGTTTCCCTACTCGCCATCGGAGTCAGTTGGGGTCTTCAAGACTGCGCTGACCTTTGTTGATCACATTTCTGAGATCTGGGGACCGTTGCTCAATGAAATGTCCCTGTTGTGCATCACTAAAGAGTCCACCAAGAATCCCGAGAAGCTCGTTCAATTGCTTGAGGAGCACAAAATCGAGCGATTGGTTCTGGTTCCAACACTCCTCAAGTCTATTCTCATGTACTTGGGGCTCCAGAAGGCCAGCAAGAAGCTGCTGCAGAGACTGAGGATCTGGGTGTGCTCCGGAGAGACTCTCTCTGTGTCTCTGGCCCAGGAATTCTTTGATCACTTCGAGGAAGGATCGCATATCCTATGCAATTTCTACGGTTCGACGGAGATTATGGGAGATGTGACCTACTTCATCTGTGACAGCAAGAAAGCTCTGCAGACAATGGAAAAGATCCCTATAGGATATCCAGTTGACAACACCGTGCTCTATCTCCTGGACACGGACTTCCGACCCGTCACTCTGGGTCAAATCGGAGAGCTCTTTGTGTCAGGAATGAACCTGGCTCGAGGATATGTCAATAACCGAGATGCTCATCGGTTCATTGAGAATCCCTTGGCTGTGGATCCCAAGTACTCCCGGCTGTTCAGAACCGGCGACTTTGGACGGATAGAGAAATCCTCTCTGATCTTCGAGGGTCGAACCGATTCCCAGATCAAGATTCGCGGTCATCGAGTGGATCTCACGGAGATCGAGCGGAATCTTCTAAGTCTGCCAGAAGTTGACAAGTCTTTCGTACTATGCCACCGACCTGGTGAAATTGATCAGGCAGTGGTGGCCTTCACTCTGCTGACCTCAGAGGCGAAGTCCCAGAAAACAATTGGAATGCACCTCGAGTCGAAGCTACTTGCACTCTTGCCCAGCTACATGGTGCCACAAGTTGTGATTATTGACGCAGTTCCGCTGCTGGTGAATGGAAAAGTTGACCGGCAGTCATTGATCAAGCAATACGAGAATACCAACAACAACGGTAAGTCTCTTTAGTCCAAGCACTTGAGATGCAACCAACTGGTTCTTTTTTAATTGGCTCTCTTTCACTTTTTAAAGATGACTCCAATGTCACCGTGGATTACGACTACACGGGCGTTCCGGATGATCAGCTGAAGGTGGCCACGGATCTCTTCCTGACCATCGGCAGTGTTATTGGCAGATCCACCAGAACTGTTCTGACGCTCAGCAGCAACTTCTACGAACTGGGCGGCAATTCGCTCAACTCGATCTTCACAGTGACTCAGCTCAGGGAGAAGGGTTACAACATCAGCATTACGGACTTCATTGCTTCCAAGGATCTCGGGGAGATCCTGCAGATCCTCCACGAGGGAGTGACTAAAGAAATCTCAAAGATCAACCCCAAGATAATCGAAGAGGGCCAACAGTGGAAGCTATCGGCGATTCCGCTCAACGACACTCACAAGCAGGATGTGATTGAGTAAGAACGAGTTTCTCTGGTAAATTAATTATGAAATATTTTCAATGTTCCTCTTTGCCTCTCTCTTGCAGAATAATAACGTCGAGTTTCTACGAGAAGGCAGACCTCGAGCAATGGCTGAAACCAAATATTTTGCGGACGGACTACGCGGACATTCTAGAGCTTATCTGGGATGCTCTCGTGGAAAAGGACCTCAGCTTTGTTGTGGTGAACGAACAAAAGCAGGCCGTGGGAGTGGCACTGAATTTTGACGCCCGAGATGAACCTGAGGTGGCAGTTGAGAATCTCCTGATAATTGTTTTTGAGTTCCTAGAGTTCGTCGAAGGTCCTATCAGGGAAAACAAGCTCCCTCCTGGCAAGAATGTGATCCTGCACTCGTTTATGATGGGCACGCACGAGGAGTTGAATGCACAGGAGAATATCGTTCTGATTCAATTCATGGAGGAGGAAGTAATCAAGGTAGCGAAGAGGAAGAAGTTCACGGGAGTTTTTACTACCAACACGAGTCCTTTGACTCAGGTATGCGATAGATATGAAAAATCGATGAGAAGGACATTTTAAGTAACTGATTTTTTCTTACTTTTCCAGCAATTGGGCGCTGTGATGGGCTACCAGGAACTCCTGGATTACCAAGTGAATCAGTATGCTTACACGGATGGAAGCCTGCCCTTCGCGAAAGCTCCAAATACTCAGAGAGCCATCGTTCACTGGAAGCCTGTAAATGCCGACAATTGATTGCCTTGAGAATCTCTTATTTTGCACTTTTATTCGTACTCATAATTTGGCCTTTTTATATATAAACATATAGATTTTAGAATAAACAAAAACGAATTTATTCTTAAGATAAATCTGGAGTATTACTATTATGTACGTTGTAATATCACATCTCTCAATAAAACATTACTTTTATTGAATGTTGAATACAATCAAATTTTCTCCTTTTAATTTTGAGAGACTTTGGGAAAACTGTAATTTTTCCTTCAATGTACATGCTTATTTTGAAAAATCACAAATAAAAGTACTTCCGACATTTCGTAACATGTTTCTACTGCTTTAAATTTTTCTTTACGTGATGGAAACAATAAAATTTTGGGAGAGAAATTATGAGAAAATAATCTTAATTCAAACATTTATAGCCATTATGGCCCGAAAAGGCCTTTCGAGCGATATATCGAAAGATATCCGATATTTGATTTCGATATGTCAGCTCGCGTCACGCCGCAAACTTCACGTCGCAAGGCGAATGTCATGAGTGGAGTTTCTTTTGTATCACAATATACCCGAAATTATCGAGTTTCTACTTACATTCACTTATTCAAAGTTTAGTTCTTTGTACATTTCAAGTGCTTCACTAGTGGGACTGCGTTGAGAGCTGCTGATAGTGGGTGAAAAGTGTGTTTTTCCGGGGGTGTACGTGGATTGCAAGTTGGGGGCACATTAAAACAAAAATGGCGGCCAATGTTGACACTTGTTTGTGGCTGCATAACAAATTGGGGACCTCCAACACCAACGACAGCTGGACCAGCGGCTCCATCTGCTCACAGCTGAACAAGGAGGTGTTGAAGAACATCAAGGACTGCTTCCCGGACCTGCAGACGCAAGTGAAATTGAAATTGCTGCTCAGCTTCTTTCACATTCCGCGGCGTCATGTCGAGGAGGTGAGTCTCCGGATGGGCGGGAATGTGGCACTCAGGTCGGAGTAATGAGTGTGTCGATTGTTTTTGTAGTGGAAGAAGGAGTTGGAGGAGATCATCGAAGTGGCAGGTCTGGATTCGGAGTTGTGGGTGTCGATGGTAGCGGAGACGATGAAGACGTTTCCTGCCACGGGATCTCTCAATACGGAAATCTCAGACTACGATGAGACGCGTCCCATTTTCACTGACATGGTGAATGACCTGAAGAAGCTGGTGAATAAGCACAGCGATCTGTGCATGCTTCCTCTCGAGTGCCAGTATCTCAACAAGGCCGCCCTCATCTCTGTCGTAAGTATTTGACACAAACAGCGTGGCTCGGTCGAGGTGTCTCACGGTTTATGTTTTGCAGGTGGGTCAGCAATCGCCTCCAGTAAAGCACTTTACACTCAAGAGAAAACCCAAGAGCGTCCAACTGCGTGCGGAGCTGCTGCAAAAGTCTTCGGACGCCCAGTCGACGCTGAAAAAGGCCAGTGCGCCCACTATTCCTCTGAGATCCCGCGGAATGCCCAGGAAAATGACAGACACGACCCCCCTGAAGGGGATTCCCTCCCGGATGCCAACGTGCGGCTTCAGATCACCGACTGCGGGTTCTGGGCTCAGTCGGCCGAATCTGAGTCGGACTCCCGCGGGCCGGAAAGATGGTGGGATCAAGTTGCTGGACATTGCTGATCAACCTCTGGGCTATGCTGCGGCGAAGAAGAGGAAACGACAGATGGAATTGGAGGAGCAGCAGAAGAAAGCAGAAGCCATGGCCGCCGCGACGGCCAGTGGAGCGTCCAGCACCCCAACAAGCTCTGTGTCTTCGTCGACGCCTGACTATGCGGCCGGCCTGACAGCTTCAGCAATTTACACTCAGCCAGCAACTCCAGCTTCTTCCCTGACGGCCAGCGTGAAGGAGACTCCGCTGAACTCTGTCAATTCTGTGACGTCTGGAGTGTCCAAGGGTGTGACAGGAGCTTCCGTTATCTCTACGTCGTCCATCGTGGCCAGCAGTGGAGGCGCCACGCCGAAGCACAATGTGATGGAGGCGATGTATGACATGAAGCAAGTGATGGATTGTAAGGCGGATTCGCCGACGGAGGAATACGAGGAGATTGTGACTTCGCCAACAACTCCCAAAGCTCCCAAAATGTCCACTAAGCTCATCACTTCGGCTACGATTGTGTCACAGGCGCCTAGTTTGGTGAAGGCTGAGCCAACATCACATATTCCAGCCGCGTCTTCCACGGTGACTTCCTCACCACAGAGCGGCGGAGCTCAAGTGATATCGCAGACGGTCATCTCGTCGCCTATGTCGCTGAATATGCCGGCGCTGACGGTGTTCTCGTCCCCGAGCGCAGTGCAGGGATCACACATTGTGCGGCAAGAGGTGCCATCGGGTGGCCAAACAGTCGTGGTGTCGCAGGCGTCAACGGCGTCGCCGCAGCAATTCCACCAAATAGCGCAGATGCCAAAGATCGTGCAAATCAAGACGGCGCCCACGATCATGATGGGTCCGTCGAACACCAGCAGTATCCCGCCACTCATACCCAGTCAGCCGCATCAGGTGATTGGGTCATCTCACATAACAACTCCCACGTCCAATGTTGTAACTCTGGTGGCTGGTCCGCAGACGGGTCAGACTCAGACATTGGGCCAGACAGCTCAGATAGTTACGGGACAAGGTGGGCAAAAGTTCGCCGTGATGTCAGCGCCCAATGTGAAGGGGAAGACCTTCATCCTCACAAATCCTGGCATGTTGGCGCAAAAGGGTGTCATTATCAAGAGTGTCGCTCCGGGCGGTAATACAATTTACCAGCAGATCCCCATCAGCAATGTGTCGGGGCTGCAAAATCTGACTGGAACCACAATTCTCACCGGCTCGCCGGCGGGCATTATCAAGACGTCTGGTGAACAGAGTGGACAAGCTACGACAGCGACTCTGAATCAAATCCCCGCCCTTGTGCCGACGAGAAGCATCTCGCAGAATATTCCTTCTCTCACGCCTGTGGTTATTGCACCGCAGAATCAACAGCAGAATATCCCAGCTCTAATCACAAATGTGTCATCGCTGCAGCAGCAGAACACAATTCAGAGCCCACAGGGCACGATAATCAGACCGGTGTTGGCGACTAATATGCAGGGATTGAATGTACTTAATCAGCAAGGGTACACACTCATACAGCGACCTGGCGGACAGCCCACCCTCATTCAGGCCATCCCGGCGTCTCAGGCAACTGTGCAGCAAGCTCAGCAGGCGCCCAGTCAGCAGCAGGCGGCGCAGATTCAGAGGAGTGCCACGGTGCAGGCGGTACAGCAGCCTGGCCAGCCGAGACAAGTGCAATCCGCTCAGCCGATCCGGAAGGGACTCTCGCTATCGGTGAGTGACTCGCTTTATTCAATTTCCGTTTGACAAGCGAATGAAGATATATTTGAATGCGGTTGCTGAGCAAGGAGAATGTCTCTGTGGTTTTGTTGTGACAAATTCAAGAGAATATGAGTTTTCTGCATAAGAATTCGATCAATTTTGCTGGAATATTGCTGACCAAATACATCAAAACGTAAACATCCTGCATAATCGAACACTTCTGATAGATTTTGGAGCGTTTCTGTGAGAGGTTGATATTTCTATTTTTGCAGTGATTTGGGAAATTTATAGCTCTGAGGAAATTAAATTTCATCAACTGACTGAATTAATCCATGTCTAAGGCTCTTAAAGCTATTTATATGCATATTTACGTGTAGAATAGATATTTACTGAAATTAATCGAGGAAATACTTTCCAATATGCTGAGAAAGATTTTCTATATACATCCAATTACTTCTTTCAATTTTTCTGTATAAATTGTCGAAACGTCTTTGCATAATGAACTTTTTAATAACTCTTGCAGTCACAATTTTTCGAATGAATGGAAAAATCCTTCTTTCTCATGGCAGAAAAGGGGGCAAATCGCCGTATAGAAATACGAACCAGTTTTTTGCCAGTACAGTCCATTATTTTCCAGTGATTAAAACTATCCTTTGGCCATTATTGTCGCCAGAGAGTGAAGTGCAAAGACGGCCAATATAGTGCAATAGCACATTTATTAAAATTTTACGATGGAAAACGCCAAAGGGGGTTCTCGCCAGAGAATTCCTATTCAATCTCAATTATGCCATTAGATGGAGAATCTCGTAAAAGCGAGTTGGTGAAAAATAGGCAATAGAGTAACACTTAATTGAGTGAAGATTTTCTCGGGAAATTGCATTACGGTGCGCACTGGGAATTGTCTTAACTTCGCTTCTGTATCTGGGATGGGAGGATGAGATGCAGTTCTTCGGCACGAAACGATAATTAGTTTGATGAAATATCATTGATTTTCTATCTTTATCTCAATCATCTCTCAATGTCTGTTATTTATTCCCCACTACAAGCTTTGCGGAAGTAATTTTTATTGTTATGTGACGTTTTTTTTTTGTTGCAGAGCGAACACGTGAATAAAGTGCATGAGATGTTCAGAGGTGCTAATCGTGTCACGAGACTGGACAAAGCTCTCATATTGGGATTCATTTCTGGACAGAGGGAAAATCCACGTCCAAATCCCGACAACGTTGTCACAATAACTCTCAATCAGACAAAGGTGAGTGACAGCTGGGACTCTTCCCACGCGACAATTCGCACGCGGAGGTTTAACTTGTGTGTTGAAATGTTGCAGGAAAAGGTGAAGCAGGAGGATGACACCGATGCAGTGATGCTCGTTGAATCTTTCATACGCTTGGACTACAACACAATGGAATACAAGACTTTCCAAAAGTACCGACGTCTGGATCAACCCGCGACACACGACAATCAAAAGGTAACATCCGCTAGTGGCAGCACGCAGAGTTCGGTCGCTATATAATGTTGCATCAGTATCCGGAAAAAGGGACTCGCTTTCCTTTTTTTCGCTGAAGGCTATCAAAGGGAACAAAAAATACCGAGTTTGGCGTGCGATATTCTCTCTTTGACGAGGTCGATGATGAGCAAAAAGCGTGAATTGCACTTTGCTGATATCAACATGATTTTGCAATGAGAGAATTGAGAATTTAGGTGATATATTATAATGCCCGTTTTAGCATGATATGATATAGAATACGAATGATGAATTGATTTCAGAGGTGAAAAATGACAAAATATCGCAATATTTCACTCTATGCAAGATTTTGAGAGGATTCTTTAGAAGAATTGATCCATTTTAGATATGATTCTATTGAAATTGAAAATAAATTCCACAGAAATAAAGAAAATACAGATTGAAATATAAATTTGAAACTTTTCTATTTGTTCAACACTATGCGAAAATAAGATGGAAGTTTATCCGTTTTGGACACTCTGCTCTAACTGGTTATCTGGCTACCGTATGATATTGATAAAGGAATTAGCATTTTACATTCAAATGTTCTCGGAAATGTTGAGGAACTTTGGGCACATTTCTGCACAGTTTTACGCCTTTTAACTTTAATTTCTAAATTTCTCAATGCCATTATTTGACTCAAGAACACTATTTTTCAATTAAGTTTCTTTAGCATGAGTAAATGTTCAGAGAAGTAATTGCTGAGCAAGCTCTCTTCATTTTGCAGCAATTAAATGATTTGAAACAATTCTAACCAGTTTGGCCTGACGCCAAATTATCGGCCAACTAAAATCAACTGTTTTTTTGCTCATACAAATCCATTTAAATGGAATTCAAATGAATATCCGAAATAGTACCATTTGTTTTCAATCAGATCTTTATGGTCAGGCTCATTGTCTCAATTAACATTTGTGTCGTGTTTTGGAAGAAGAATAATATAAAATGACTGTAAATAGTAAAGAAAATCAAAATTAGTGTTCAGTAGTAACATAAAAAATATTGCCAAATTCTCATTATCAGCCAATTTACAGAAATAATTCCGTTTTGTGTCAAACTTCCCGAAAAAAATTTATTCCATGAGTAATTATGGCGTTAATGCTCTGTGCAATATGTGTTAATTGAATTGACTGAAATAATTGTAATTTGGAAAAGTTTAATTTCAGAAGAATGTACGGTAGAAAAAAGTCAACATAAATTTCATATTAATTGCATCGTTGTACCCCAGGATATTCCAATGGGACAAATTAAATGACGCAAAATATACCCATATTATTCAATTTGGAGAGCATAGTGTTTTTTGCGAAGTAATGAATTGCTGTCCATTTTCTCTACATGAAACCCTGTATTTATCCTCTCGGGTCTTTTCTATGTAGCCGGTAAATTATTTTAATTAGAGGGCACCAATGCATCACCTTTTCGCAACAGTTTTTCCCTGCTAGAAATGCAATATAGTATATATTCTCTGTACCAACCGTTGCAGTGTTATGAACCATGCGTGAGTTGCTATTTTGCCGAGTGGGTAGTTCATAAGCCTTAACTGTATATTTATTGCGAGAGGCGGGACGCGGGGAAGGGAGTGCAACTGGCGTTGTTGTGTAGAAGGATTGTTATAATTTTACAATTATATATTTACATAATAGAAATTTATACAGAAAAAAGTGGTATATATTGATGAAGGATGTGTAACAAATCATACAAGTCAAATTGCAGAGAGGTGGATTGGTGTAAAATAGTTGTTTTTGCTCTGAAGCTGTAGAAAGGATTCCCACAGAATGAACAAAAAAAGAAATATCCTGTAAAATGTGTTCTCAGAGACGATATGTGAGTGTCGGCGAGGCGAGAAGATGTATACAACAAAAAAAAGTGGATAGAGATTTTATTGACGAGAGAATGTGTATGCTTCTAAATGATAAGCTTGAACTTCTCCAAAAAAGGAACTTATCACAAGTAAACTTGAAAATTCAAATAAATTGTAAAGTGAGTAACGTTGAAAAGCGTGTTATTGGCATTGACAGTTGAAATTTCCCCTGATTAGTTGAGTGTAATTACAGGGGGGAAAGGATTTGCCTTATCAGCGATACGGCTTCTTAATTCCGTCCACGAAAGTCATGTCCATATGTGGTGAGAGAGAGAACGTCCCGAGAGAGGGAAATAAGAGGATCAATTTCTGCGGGAATTGTCTCAGGCACCGGGTGATTCCTTGTAATTTCACATCCCCTTCTTTTTCCGGTGTCTTTTTTCTGTCTCACCGCTGCTCTGTATAGCTTCGAAGATGCGGAGAAGGGTCTTGAGGCTCGGAGGGGATTTCGGGCATGTGTGGAGAGGAGAGATTTAGCTGAGGCGATGGAGAAAATGCCACGAGAGATTTTCCACCCTAATATCTGGGTCGTAAACACGAGCGAGAGAGGAGAGAGAGAGAGAGAGAGACAGTGAGTGAGAGAGCGTGAGAGTGTGTGGTGGGAAAAGTGTGGAAAATTGGGAAATTCTCCAAATATCCAAATACTTCCATTGACGGTGGCACGACTTATGTAAGACGGCAGAATTAATCTTGACAAAAAATGTACACATGCCTCGAATCTATTCACCACTCGGTCGGGGATATAAAAAATCGAGGAAGTTGATGGAAAAGAAATCGTTCATGTGGATTTTGCCAAATTCAAGAGGATGCCCTAATAAAAAAGTAGCCTTCCTCTCTGAAACATGCCAAACATCTCGCTCTCCCACTTAATGATGCTCAATTTGTACTTGTACAATTCGCAATAATTGGCTACCGTGGAGAGCCGAATATTGGGCGACTTGAAGAATGTCTTGAGTGTTATTTATAGATTTATTAAATATCGTGAATTGAAATGAATTTCGTCGTTGTATTTCGCCGAGATGCTGGATTGGCGCGTCGATATTAGGGATATCACTCGGTATTGCGTCCCAATCGATGCTCCCCGAGCTAAGCTTTTGTGTACACAGGACAATTTAATTTTCTCCGAAATTCTCTCTATACAGTCTGATTCTTGAATGCACGAAATCTCTTTTAAATATTATTTGTTGTTTTTGCTTTCGGGGGATTTTTTGCTCACTCAATAATGGACCTTTTTTTGCACACGTTCAAATTCTAGAATTACAATTCAGTGGTAACTTTTTTAAACGGACTTTTGAAGTATTTTCAAACTTGTTTTGGATTTATAAAGTTATCGCTACATGAAGAGAATAGAATATAATAAAAAAAAACACCGTGAATTATTTCATAAAGAGCTTAAAAATACCTGTGCATACTTACGAAGTATGCATTTTATGTGCTTCTCGAGAGCAAAACTTTTCTTTCTTCCACAATAAATGAGAAATATTTAATATGTTGTAAATTTCTGAGATATTTACTGAAAGTTGCATTGTATAATTCTATTCCATATCCCTTGTTTTGTAGTTCGATTTACGCTAACACAATCTCTGGGTAAAAGTTGACAAAGTTTTAGTTGACAGAAATTCCTGGAGTGTCTCTCAATGGAGTTGCAAAGTGTGGGATTTACGGGGAATTGCAGATGTTGAGCAAAATGTTGCCACACACACACACAATTGAAGTTTGCATGATTATACATTCTTTCTGTTTAATTTGCAAATGCACATCTCGAAAACTTCCACTTTTATTCGCAGTGGAAATTTATGTTATTACCCCGGAGAAGTGAAATTGAGAACCCTGTTGAGAACGATAAATACTTGAGATTCTTATTTGTCGATGGTTGGAGGCGATGCTTGAACTGGCTGTTTTCTTCTTCCTCACGACTCGCCGCTTCCCGGTCACTCAGACATTCGATCCAAGCCATTCGGAGGGCTTATGTTCGGAATGTGCTTCTCATATTTGCCTGAGATGATGGTTAATGAAAGGGGTGAACTGTCCCCACACCAGCCACCCTGCCGGATTAAATTCAAATCCGCAAATAATCCTCAATTACAATCCAGCTCCCGGGGCGAATAGTGTGGAGATGCGCTGAGGGAAAAAATAAGATAAATAGGTGGGATGATTGACGTGATGTTTTGGGAGGGAAAGAAAGAAATGAATATGTCTATAGTTTGACCTCGAGTGAGGGCAAATATCATCAAGCTTTTTCCTCTTCTCAGCCATTGAAGCTGATGGTTTTCCATATCAGCGCTCATGAAAACTTTTACTCTTGCATTTACATTACAAAAGCTCCATCCAGAGGAGAGAAGAAAAAGCAGGCGAAATTCAACACAACTTACATCCATTAAATCGCAAATTTTTTCGATTTCCATTTACGTGGAAATAGTTTTTCCAAGCCAACATCTCTGCAATTCTTGTTGGCACTTTGATGTGGGGGAAAATGGATGACTGGCTGTTGACATTTTCACCATCTGGATGGCGGAACATTTGCTTCGTCATGTGAATCACCTAGAGAGCTGCGCCACATTCAATTGGAGATGACAATTTTCAATACATCGACCAAGAAGTCTCCAATATCAATGAAATTTTTAAATTTCGATACTGTCTAAGAAAAGAATTTTAACTACTTTGCTCTACTTTCGATTGTCATCATTGTCATTGTGAGACACGAGATGTGATATTAGTTTGAATAATTTCATCCTAGAATAACAAGCTTTCTTTTCATGTTCTGATTTAATAACTTCTCTCTGGGGTTTTCAATAACCAACAACTTTCCATTGGATTTTATAAAGCATGAAGCCAAAGATCTATTGAATTTTTCTACCATCAGAAATCGAGATTGGTTGGTTCTTTTCAATGCAAACAAACTTCTGAGTGCAACTTTTAATTGGCTTCCTTGTATATTTGAATCAGTTTATACACTTATTACGATTAAGTTGTAAAAAATTTTGGGTGGAAACTCAGCAGATATAGTGAAAAAAAATATGGGTGGAAATTCAGCAAGAACCCAGCTGGATAGCTCGGCATCCCGGGTGACAGTAAATCACAGGCGCATATAGTTTTCGCTTTGATATATTGTAAGTCATCACGGAAAGTTGGGCAAAAGTTTCTGGAAGATTTTCGCACACGATATGCAACTCTCTTAATTGATTGAGGCACATTAAACTTGTACAAGTGGCAATCTAGCACTTTTCACTTACAGCGACGAAATAGTAAATTTAATAACGTCACCCAGAGTCTTCACGTCCAGAAGATGGCTTATATTGCCTCAGGGCTCTGATATCTAGTTCAATATCACCCGATAGTTGACCTATTTTCCCATTCTTTGAACTATGCCACTGAAAATTTCTGTCTCGTCGACTGGCGCTGGCCGCAGAGGCAATTTTGCAATGAGGAGTCGTGGCAACAAAGTTAGAGAAGAATAGAGGTGCTGAAATTTGGGTCAAATGTATGGGGAAGTCTATCAAGGGATTTTTTTTCGTTCTATTAAATCGCTTTGATTGCTTAGAAAGTTTTGCGTGTTGTCGATTAGGGACAGTTACTTCCTTGGATCAATTCAGAAGATTTCCATCCGAAAGAAGGCTGGATGATTGAAAATAATTCTGTGTGCTTAATTAGGAGGAAAGAGCCATTGAGATAAATAAATCGATAGAAATTGATTCCCAGGGCGAGAAAGAGAGAGAGTTTGAATTGCGAAACTTGGTCCTCGGCATCTCATGGGTGTGTATCCGAAAAATTTGTGTGCCATAAGTAAAAATGATAACGATAATAACAAGCACAACGATGGTCCCGGGCACGGAGTATATAAATATGGAAAATCGATGGGGTAATGAAGTTTTATTACAATATTACATTCATAATCTTTTCTTTCTCGCACTCACAAAAGAACATTCCGGCAGTGAAGAATATCTCACCTTTATATTCCATCCATTTATTTACCTCCTTCTGCGAGCGCCGCACATACAATTTTAGATTTTTACACCGAGAAGAATGGAGGGCTGTCTATTGAAGCGCCCCGTGTACATGGGCAGATATATAGCAATATATATAGATCCGAGTCTATATATTAAATGAGCAATTGTCGTCGAGGTATGACGGCTCGCCGAGAGACTATAGTTGCGGAGCTTCTGGAGCTTCTGCTTTAACTTCAGCTGCTGTCGCTGGATGCCTAGCTGCGATCGATAGAGCTCCAGTGTGTAGGGAAGAGTATAGTACAAATTCTCTCACCTACGCTTTTGGCGTTCGCACTCCTTCAGCTCCGACGAGTTGGGGGCGTTCTTGGGCTCTCCGCCCACTCTTCGCGCCGCATTTGCACAAACGGCATCACAATTGTTTAATCTGAATTATGCTCTGTGAATTGAGGGAAATTTGAGGGATAATTAAAATAGTCTACCATATCATCCGCACTGCTTGGCAAATATTATACCAAAAGGCACAGAGAGACATGATATTGCGGGAATGCCGAAGTGATGTGAAGTCGACACCGTGAGGCGAGAATGTGTGAAAAATAGAGCATTTTACATTTACAATCACACCGCATGAGGAACCGGTGGAGGTGGTAAAAGTGAGTACGAGCCTTTCTGTGAAGTCAGGCATATCAGCTTGCTTCTCCACACTGCATTTGTGGCTCAACACAATTTTGTGGAAAACATTAATGTACGTAGCACTTGACTCATTCACCACGACGGAATGTGGGGAAGTTCGGGACACTCTGGAAAGACTTTTTCACTGAATTTTCTCAAGCACCCCAACCACGGAAAATTGCAAAAGTATCACCTGTCGAGAGGCGTCCAATGACAATTGCATCGCAACATTGCAGCTCCGTGTGAAAAGTTTCGTGTTTCGCCACATGAAAGCCAAAATCGATAGATAAAAGCATTTTGTTCATCTCTTTCACACGAGTGACACTACAGATTCCCCACTTTTGAGCTCTTAAAACATACATATTTGAATTTCAGCACTTCACAGAGATGTTGACTTGCAATTGGGATTGATAAAAGTGTTCATAAATTTTTCACTCCTATTTCAATGGTCAATCACTTAAGCGATTTTGTGGGGTGATTTTTTTCAGAGCTATCATCAATACCAATTTG